GCAGGGTGAAGCTTATTTACTCTAATAATTTGCAAGTGGTAGCAATTGACAACATCAAAAGTGTTTCTTAACAATCTCCTGGTGGCAATCAAGAGCACATTTCTTGTGGACAACCAAACACAGAGAGGAGAAGCCTTCAAAGGGAAAGAAGGCAAATGGTAGCAAGTTCGTACAAGCAAAAGCGGTAATTGAGTATCAAAAGTATTTCTTGGCAATCTCCAGGAGGCAAGAGCACGTCTCTTGAGGTTTAGAAAACATGGGCATGTAATCAGAACCAGGGACAACCATTACCTCATCAGGTGGATTATTTTCAATTATCCATCTCTGTAAACCTTCCTTTATTATGACATCTACATCACATAGGATATAAGCTCGAGGAATGGATCCATATTTCTCCTTCGTAACCCCCACTTCTTTTTGAGTTGCCTCGTCACTAAACAAAGCCTGAGGTCGCAGCAGCGACATTGCTAGTGTAAGATCCTGTCAAGGTTTCTCAGCAGTAAAAAAGAAAATTCAAACAAATATACTTAAATCTTGTATGAAGAGATGCTGTTTACCTCAGTAGGGGAGAGATGGTAGAACTGGGTTGCCATGCAGTCGGGCCCAAACAACAAGGACGTTGGAGGATTGTTGGGCCCATTATCAAACATATATTGCGAGTCCATTAAGTCTATTCGTCTGGCATACTGATAAACCATGTTCGAAGTAAATATCAGAGAGTTTAGAGGTGGCGTTATTATGCCCACTCTTTTATGTTTTTAGTCAAACCTGAACAATTTGAAAAGAAAACAAATAATAAAATAAAAAATATTAAAGAAAAATCCTGAAAAAAAACAGTAAATTACGATTTTAAGAACTCAAACGATATTTTTTTTTAGTAAAAATCACTCTTACATCATGAGCACGATCCATAAGTTTTGAAGTCGAATTAAGCTTAAAAAAACCTTAAAATTAAGTCAATAATGTTTTTTTTTAACTTCTGTCATATTAATACTGTTTCATGAATCACCAGACCTGTTAATCCGTATCAATAAAAGATCTGAAATAACAAAAGCCAGGGCAAAAAATAACAGCCCTATAGCTAAATAAGACATCAAGAAAGCATAGAATATAGAGTCATGCATGCTCCTTGCTTCTCTTATTCCTTAAGAAAATAATTCTTCTCTGGAAGCATTTAAGTTTGTCTGAGTGTGTGGGTTGAGAGAGGGAAAGCACAAATGATACCTCTTCTCTTGCAGATGTGAAGCTGAGGTCAGGACCTGGCATGATAGCTGCTGCAAAGACTGCAGAAGAAATTTTCTCAGGGAACCTTTCCATTGCAACAGATATACCTAGTCCACCCATACTGTGACCCACTAGAATCACCCTTTCTTCTGGCAGCAAAGATGCCATGAATTTCATCAATGGCTCAAAATAGTCTGAGATTGATTGGAGCTCGTCTACCCGCTTAGGATGTACACCAGAAGCAGCCATGTCCAGAGCTGTAACTCGGTGACCAGCTGATTTAAGCAAAGTTGCCACCTTATACCAACACCATGCTCCGTGACAGGCTCCATGGACTAGCACAAAATGCCTCTGCCTCTCCATCTCCTACCACTCCTGACTCTTACTTTCCTATCCGCTGTGTGTGTATTTTGTCCGGCTGGCTATATTATAGCATGATTGAAGGAGTCCAAGTTAGCCGACAGAGCTTTTATGATAAATACAAAATTTCGCAGCTGTCGTCACATTTGGAAAATTCAAAGTCCATCTATATTGTCGTTTCACCGTCCCTTGATTTGACCACAAGTAGGAATCCTCCTAAGATAAGATGGAACATTTAATAGGCGGTGCTACACATTAAACCATCACGGGCAGATAAGATTAACTTACAGACAGAGCCACAAACTCGGAAATAGACTACCCCAGAGCCCGCCAAATGTCTTAAGCATTGACTCTCAACTGTAAGGAGAAGCATCTGTCCAAAAAAAAACCCCACAAAAGTCAAGTTCACAAAACCAGAAGTCAATCTCTATATAATAGCACAACAACAACAAAAATGCATAGCCAATTAAACAAACTTGGAAAACATATATCATCTACAAATACATGATAAGATTTATTTGTCTTCTACTGTGATGCCTTGTCATTTATGCTTAATACATGTTGTACACCTTAAACGCACAGCATATATATTGTTTAGGCCATTGGTTCATGAGATATGAAAGAAATCTGTGAAAATTGAATTAACTTCTGGTATATGACATAAATCATGTTATTGCATCCTATGTAAGAAGTGAAGCTAGGGTTACAGACATAAATCATGTTATTGCAGCATCCTTCAACGTGTAAGGAAAGAATCTCATTCGCAATTGCTCCAGTCAACCCCTGCAGAGGAAAAGTTTAGATTATTGCATAGAAATCACGAATGAAAATTAGTGAATATATCCTTACTAGAAGCACCATGAAAAGAAGGAACCAATTAAAGTGAGAGTTTTTTAACCCAGAGTTCCTGGCCATAGTATTGAGGACAATTGATGCACGATGGTGATGTTCCAATGGTAGGCCGTGCAGCTCTTTCATAGGACGACTGGGCAGGGGCAGCTCCATTTTAGGTGCAATTAATTCCCTATTGTATTAGAGCATCTCCAATTATACTCTTTACTTTTAACTAGTATTTTTAATGTAAATAGAGAGCATCATTAATTATATAGATTGAAGATCAATATCCTCTCTAATGCTACTCTCTACTTAACTTTTTATTTTGACAAAATCTATAAAACCTGAGAAAGACTATTGATGAAAAGGTTGAGTAGCATAAGAAATAGTAATTTTTATTAATAAAATTTAAGATAAAGAGTCATTTAGACTCTCTAGTATTAAAGAGTTAAAGACACTCTCTATATCAATTTTAAAGATAAAGATTGTGATTGGAGATGAAATTTAGATCAAACCTCTTTATTATAAAGAAAAATCTTAATATAAAGAGAGCATTGGAGATGAAATTTAGATCAAACCTCTTTATTATAAAGAAAAATCTTAATATAAAGAGAGCATTGGAGATGCTCTTACAAGCATAAGAGATGGACACTAGGCTTACTAGAATATCATAGTCCATTCTTTTACGACCTACGACCTTCCGTAGGGCAAAGCCCATCACCAATCCAATTTTTTTTTTTTTTTTGTAACTTGGATCCGTGGTTTTTTTTTTTTTTTTTAGAATCAAATGAGTTAGTACATAATTAATTAAATTATTTAAATAAATTTTATGGATAAATCAAGCATACATGTGAAGGGTTCTTGAGAACATGTTAATGATAAGTTAATAGACATATCAAAGTACTAATAAATAGTATTGTAACTTGTAAAAATAATGATATCTCAATCAATTAAGATGGATAAAAATAGTGAAACTACATGGAAGGAGGAGAAAACAATGCTAACAAGGCATGAAAATCACTTCGCTTATAGGTGGTAGATAGATGAGTAATCAAAGTCCGAGTAAGTGGAACTTTCAAAGTCATGAGATATAAGTTTGTAAGAGTTCTAAGGAAAAGAGTTTAAAGTTTTAACTTAAAAAGAAAAAAATCAAGAATGATTGGAATTCCTTCACAATTTATATATTTATAATGAAAGAATGACTCTCTTGACCTTTAGAATTGCAATATATCATTTAGGTTTGGATGCTAGAATTTGAGTTAGACAAAAAGAAATGGACTCAAAAGGAAAATGAGCTTCTTTTATACTAAACTACTTCAACTTGTTAATGAAAGTTAAAAAAGGTAATAACTGAATTTTTTTTTTAGTAGATTCTCCTCTAAATCTATCAAATCAACCTTACTAATGCAATTTCAAAGATAAAAGCAAGAATATTAACCCTACTAGAATATTCATGTCTATTTTTTTATGATCTAGTGCCTTGCACTACATAAAGCCCACCATCTGTCCAATACACTTGTTTGCTTTGTAGTTTAAATTCATGTCAAGTTAAAAAAATGAGTTAGTACATAATTAATTAAATCATTTAAATAAATTTTATGGACAAATTGACCATATACAATTAGACATTTAAAGAGAATAAAAATTAAAAAAAAAAAATTGGGCATGAAAATTGTAGTTTTCTTAGTTAGAAAACATACCACTCTATCGATGAAATACAAGTTTTTTTTTTTTTTTGGCTTTATTTTTTTATTAATTATTATTATTATTATTGAGTCTTTATGTTTTTGTACTTGATTGTAACTTGGTCTTTGTGTTGGTTTGTCATCACAATTATTATTATTATTATTATTTGGCCTAAAATGTCCTTCATTTGTAAAATTCTACAATCAAAATTAAATTTAAATTTAAAAGGGTAATTTAAAATTTTTCTAAAAACAAAAATCGACATTCAACTCAATTTGGTCAACTTCCATCCGGAGACTAACTTATGCTTATCAAAAAAGAAAGGACTAACTTATAAAATCATAAAAAACACAGGAACTAAATTATAATTCACTCTAAAATGAAAAGAGAATAATTAAATAAGAAAATCTAGCTACTATACGTATTTGCTTACGGTTCACTATCCGGATCTGAAGGAGGACAATACGCGAAAGATTTGATTTTGGATTTGAGTTCGTGACTGCTTGGTTTTTTTATTATCATTATTTATTTTATTTTGATCCTGTACTTGCGTTTGGATCTAGGTTGGTTAGATCCCTTTTCATGTTTCAATACGTAAATACATATGTCATCCTCCACTTTGAATATGAACGCCCAGATTGAATGCATTCCCCACCTTCAAATGCATCTTAAGATCGTCATGATCCATTCATTGGGATCGGTGATGGCTACTATTCAACAAGAAAAATAAGAATAAATCATTAGTAATTATTAAAAAAATAATAAAAAATAACATGAAGGCTTGATGCTTCTTGACGATAAAAAGGCACATGGAGTTTCCATCTTTTCAGCATACAGTAATCTCTTTATATACAACCAAGCAAGAACTTTATTGCTATCAAGTCAAACAAAAAAAGATGGGAGAGGCCAACAATCAAAAAAGGCATTTTGTTTTGATCCATGGTGCAGCTGCAGGAGCTTGGATATGGTACAAGGTGAAGCCAGTGCTACAGGCAGCTGGCCACCGTGTCACAGCTCTTGACATGGCAGCATCTGGGGCGAACACAAAAACTATCGAAGAGGTTCGTACTTTTGACAAGTATAATGAACCCTTGATGGAGTTCATGGCCAATTTACCTGAAAATGAAAAGGTTGTATTAGTGGGGCATAGTTTAGGCGGCTTGAATTTGGCTTTTGCTATGGAGAAGTTCCCGGAGAAGATTTCTCTTGCTGTTTTTGTTACTGCAATCTTGCCTGATACTGTGCACAAGCCATCGTTTATGTTGGAGAAGGTACCACTTTGTGTTTAGTTTAATGCACTAATAATTAAGATCCCACTTTGTCTTACTTCTTCTTTTTTTATTGATTGCTTATAATTAAGAAGATCTTGCATGAAATGGGTTGATCTGTTTTGTTTGGTTTATGTTTTTTGAGTAAATAATATGAATAACCCTAGTTTGACGAAGGCTAGTTCAAAAAAGAATCATTTAAAGGTTTTTTTAAGAATTTTTAGTTGATGATTTTTGGTTAGCCTAACTGGTAAAATTCTTTAGCTTGAGGTCCAACAAGCCTACCAATAACTTACCACTGGAGCAAAGATCTGATGCCCGAAACCTTTTGCTCACTTTAAGAAGAATTAGTATGCACGTATATACATACAAATGCAAAGACATTATCACTTGTTTCTAACATCAAATTGGTGTTTTGGCCTTCTTTTTAGCATGCTGAAACCGGTCCCAAGGGAGAAGAGTGGAAAGACACTGTGTTTTCATCTTATGGAACTCCTGAAGAACCGAATACATGTGTTCTCGTAGGACATGAGTTCATAAAGTGCACGGCTTTTCATCTTTCCTCCTCTGAGGTACGCAAATCTGATTGATTACAAACTATCAACCTTGGATTTGATTTCTTTGTGACAACTAATCAGTATCATATTCTTGTTTGCATACTTTTCATCCAGGATGTCGCTCTTCAGATGCTTTTAAATAGGCCGGGATCGATGTTCCTGCAAAGTCTGTCCAAGGCAAAGAAGTTTACTGATGAGAGATATGGATCAGTTCCGAAAGTTTATATTGTTTGTACTGAGGATTTAATGATGTCTGAATCATTTCAGCGTTGCATGATTGAACACAATAATAAGGTTAAGGAAGTGGTGGAGATTCCAGCAGATCATATGGTAGTTTTTTCCAAGCCTAAAGAACTCAGCCGAAGTATACTGGAGTTGGCATGTAAACATGCTTAGATTGACGTATATGTACAGTACATGTCGTATCATTAACTGGTGTGCTGGCTTATGAATAAGATAGTGTGCAATTTATATGATTTATAAAATATGATTGTGTATCATGACTTATCACGGTAATAAAATAAGAGTTGCAAAACGATGTTATTAAATTTATATATTTTTATTAATTAAATATATCAATAAATAATAATATTTTTAATTTAAATATCATTTAATAATAGTTAAATTTATTATAAAAACAATGTTAATAACACTATTAATAGATTAATATCATATAAAAATAATATATTAATTATTTAATCTTTAGATCTATGGAGATTATGTTTAATTTAATATTATTTTATTTCATAAAATATTTTTTTCATCAATCTTACCATGATATAAATCTATTATTTTTATTTTTCTATTTTTTAAAATAAAAAGGAAAACAAATTAAAAATATCTAGAGAGTAACTTATGCTTTTCAAAAAAAGAAAGGACTAACTTATAAAATCATCAAAACCGCAGAGACTAAATTATAATTTACTCTAAAATGAAAAGAGAATAACTAAATAAGAAAATCTAGCTACCGGACGTATTTGCTTACAGTTCACTATCCGTGTCTGAAGGAGGACAATACGCCAAAGATTTGGTTTTGGATTTGAGTCCGTGACTACTTGGTTTTTTTTATTATCATTATTTATCTTATTTTGATCCTGTACTTGCTTTTGGATCTAGGTAGGTTAGATCCGTTTTCATTTTTCAATATGTATATACATATGCCATGCTCCACTTTGAATATGAACGCCCAGATTGAATGCATTCCCCACCTTCAATGCATCTTAATATCATCAGGATCCATTCATTGGGATGGGCGATGTCTGCTATTCAACGAGAAAATAAGAATAAATTATTAGTAATTATTAAAAAAAATAATATGAATGCTTGATGATTCTTGACGATAAAAAGGCACATGGAGTTTCCATCTTTTCAGCATACAGTAATCTCTTTATATACCGCCAAGCAAGAACATTATTGCTATCAAGTCAAACAAAAAAAGATGGGAGAGGCCAACAATCAAAAAAAGCATTTTGTTTTGATCCATGGTTCAGCAGCAGGAGCTTGGATATGGTACAAGGTGAAGCCAGTGCTACAGGCAGCTGGCCACCGTGTCACAGCTCTTGACATGGCAGCATCTGGGACGAACACAAAAACTATTGAAGAGGTTCGTACTTTTGACAAGTATAATGAACCCTTGATGGAGTTCATGGCCAATTTACCTGAAAATGAAAAGGTTGTATTGGTGGGGCATAGTTTAGGCGGCTTGAATTTGGCTTTTGCTATGGAGAAGTTCCCGGAGAAGATTTCTCTTGCTGTTTTTGTTACTGCAATCTTGCCTGATACCGTGCACAAGCCATCGTTTATGTTGGAGAAGGTACCACTTTTTATGTGTTTTTAATATTGTACTAATAATTAAGATCCCTCTTTGTCTTACTCTATCCTTCTTCTTTTTTATTGATTGCTTATAATTGAGAAGATCTTGCATGAAATGGGTTGGTCTGTTTTGTTTGGTTTATGTTTTTTGAGTAAATAATATGAATAACCCTAGGTTTGACCAACGCTAATTTTAAAAAAGAATAATTTAAATGTTTTTCTAAGAATTTTTAGTTGATGATTTTTGGTTAGCCTAACTGGTAAATCTAAGCGCTTTATGCAGAATCAAATCTTGCTGACACTAGAGTAGGAATAATTAAAGAAGGGGGATGATGCTCCTCAATTCTTTAGCTTGATGCGCAACAAGCCAACCAAAAACTTACCACTTGAGCAAAGATCTGATGGCCGAAACCTTTTGCTCACTTTAAGAAGTAGTATGCACATATATACATACAAATGCAAAGGCATTATCAATTGCTTCTAACATCAAATTGGTGTTTTGGCCTTCTTTTTAGCATGCTGAAACCGGTCCCAAGGGACAAGAGTGGCAAGACACTGTGTTTTCATCCTATGGAACCCCAGAAGAACCGAATACATGCGTTCTCATGGGATGTGAGTTCATAAAGTGCACGCCCTTTCATCTTTCCTCCCCTGAGGTACGCAAATCTGATTGATTACAAACTATCAACCTTGGATTTGATTTCTTTGTGATAACTAGCATAGTTTTAAATAACGGTCATTATATTAGATAATGATCATTATTTAACGATTTCAGAACATCTCATTATCGTTATTTTAATATTATAATAAGTTATAATTTATAATAATGACCGCGATTGTTTTTTTGAAAATTATGATAACTAGCTAGAATTATATTCTTGTTTGCATGCTTTGCATCCAGGATCTCGCTCTTCATATGCTGTTAAATAGACCTGGATCGATGTTTGTGGAAAGTCTGTCCAAGGCAAAGAAGTTTACTGATGAGAGATATGAATCAGTTCCGAAAGTTTATATTGTTTGTACGGAGGATTTAATGATGTCTGCATCATTTCAGCGTTGCATGATTGAACACAATAATAAGGTTAAGGAAGTGATGGAGATTCCAGCAGATCATATGGCAGTTTTTTCCAAACCTAAAGAACTCAGCCGAAGTATACTGGAGTTGGCATGTAAACATGCTTAGATTGACGTATATGTACAGTACATGTCGTATCATTAACTGGTGTGCTGGCTTATGAATAAGATAGTGTGCAATTTATATGATTTATAAAATATGATTGTGTATCATGACTTATTTCAATAATAAAATAAGAGTTGCAGGACGATGTTATTAATACATCATTAATTATTAATAAATTTATATAATTTATATATTTTTATTAGTTTTATTAATTAAATATGCTAATGCATAATAATATTTTTAATAGTTAAATATCATATAATAATAGTTAAATTTATTATAAAACAGTGTTAATAACACTACTAATAGATTAATATCACATAAAAATACTAAATTAATTATTTAATCTTTGGATCTGTGGTGACTATATTTAATTTAATATTATTTTATTTCATAAAATATTTTTTTCATCAATCTTATCATGATATAAATTTATTATTTTTATTTTTCTATTTTTTAAAATAAAAAGGAAAACAAATTAAAAATATCATAAAATTAACAAAAAAAAGGGCTAAATAATTAATTTTTGAAAGAATAAGGATCAATAAATTTATTTTTTCAAACTAAAAGAATTAATTTATAATTTATTCAATTAAAGCCTACTTTGAATCTTATGCATGCAAGATGCAACTTAAAATTTAGTTCAATGATAGAGAGTAAATTATATATTAGTCCCTCTTTTGCGAATGAATCAATTAGTCTTTTTTGTTCAAAAAATAATTATTTAATTTTTTTAATCAATGTTAATTATATTTAACATAGTTAGAACTAGAGAAGAGAAGTGGCGTGAATTGTTCGATAGTATTAACAACAATTATATGACATTATTTATACAAGTTCTCAGCTGTAGAGTTTTATACAAAATCTATGATAATCAATACAAGGAGTAAGTATTTGGGTTGCATGATAACACTCATCCCTTATCCTTATCATGTTGTTGCGAGTGAGTCACGAGGGGAGTTACATAGTTGCTGGAGTCTCTGCTCGCTTCCAGTGTTGGCAGTAACATTAGAGTCTTTGCTTGGAGCTTTTGTTTCGCCATCCTTAGAGTTCCTGTCAGAGAAGAACTCGATGCGTCTAATACTCCCCAAAACCGACCGTGGGGTCTTGCGATGCGTTAGTTTGTCTCGAAGAAACTAAAATCTCACGATAAATAAGGGTTTGGTTAGAACATTAGCGATTGATCTTGACTGGAAATAAATTTGACTTGAAGATTTCCTTTCGCTATCATGTCTCTTATAAAATGAAAATCTATTTCAATGTGCTTTGTACGGGCATGAAATAGAGGATTCACTACGAAGTAAGTAGTGTCTATGTTGTCACACCAAATAATGAAAATCTCATGATAGATAGGGGTTTGGTAAGAACATTGACGATTTGATCTTGACTCGAAAATAAATTTGACTTAAAGATTTCCTTTGGCTACCATGTCTCTTACAAAATGAAAATCTATTTCCATGTGCTTTGTACGGGCATGAAACAGAGGGTTTATCGCCAAGTAAGTAACGCCTATGTGGTCACACCAAACGACGAGGGCGATCGGCCGAGTAACACCAAGTTCGTATAGTAAAGATGTAACCCAAGTCAATTCAATCGCCGGATCGCCTATCGCTTTATACTCGGCTTCTATTGAACTTCTAGCTACAGTCTTCTAGTTAGAGGATTTCCAAGTGATAAGATTGTTACCCGAGTACACTCGCATAACCCCCATTAGATTTTCTATCATCAATAGACCCTACCCAATCGAATCCGAGAACCCCGAAAGAAATGGACGTGACTTGCGAATGTGGACCCCAAAAGTTATCGTGTGGTGAAGATACTTCAATATTCTTTTTATAGCTACCCAATGGTCCATTTTGGGATTGTGCATGAACTAACAAACCTTGTTGATCGCAAAGGCAATGTCCGGTCTTGTAAGGGTGACATATTGCAAAACACCCACAACTCCGTCGATATAGTGTAACATTATTGAACACTTCTCCTAACTCCTTTGTTAGTTTAGAGGTAGTTGGCATTGGAGTAGTTAAATGATCGACATGATAGCATTCCTTATCCGGCAAGAATGTCATTGATGTATTTTTTTGAATGAGTATCGGTCCTTTGGAAGTTTCAATCACGTCAATGCTAAGAAAGAAACCGAGTTTGCTAAGATCCCTAATTGTAAATTGTGAATTAAGTGCATTTACAAAAGAGGATATGAATTGTTCATTATTACCTTTGAGGAGAATGTCGCCCAAATACATAAGTAGAAATATCTTGAACCCATGAGCACCGTAAATAAGCAAAGAAGCGATCTGTTTTTGAAGGCACAAACCCGAATTTGACCAAGAATTCCCGAAGACAGGAGAACCAAGCTCGTGGTGACTGTTTTAATTCATATATTGATTTGTGGAGCTTGCACACATAGTCCGGGTACTGCTGTCAACAAAACCAACTAGTTGAGACATTTAGACATCCTCTTATAGGATCTCATTCAAGAAGGCATTATGCGGATCTAATTGCCTCACCGACCATCCATTGTTTATCGCCAAAAAAGAACACACTCGAATGGTTATAGGCTTAATGATTGGACCGAAGGTCTCTCCATAATCTACCCTCTCGTGGTGGTGAAAGCCTTTGGCCACTAATCCGACCTCGTGTCTCTCTAGATCGCCATCCGTCTTTCTCTTTGTTTTGAAGACCCATTTGTTGCCCACAATGTTCATGGAAGGAGTGAGAGGCACTAGGGACCATGTGTCGATTTTGAAAAGTGCATTAATCTCTCGTTGCTATGGGTAATCTCCAAGCCAAATGCTTACTTGCTTCGTGTAACATGTGGGTGATTCAAGAGGTGAGTCGGTGGTGACTCGCCATGGAAGCCCATGGGTGAGATCTTTTGGTCATGTGCCGTAGTACCATGGGATGAGAACGGGTGACTTACGAGGTGAAATGAAGCACCAACTTGTTGTGTTTCCATGTCATAGTTATCGAAATTAAGCACCAAATTCAACCCTTCATTAGTTTGATGTGAGATGAGGTCTATTCGTCGTGAATGGGAGAGGCTATTGTACCTATGATAGTGGGGTTTGAGGAAGAAGGTTGTAATGTTTAGGTCGGGCTTGGCGGGCTTGTTATTCCGGATGTGTAAGGTGGGTCGTGTGACGAGTTGGATGGGCCGGTTGTGTGTCGTGTGTTGGCTCGCAGTCCGGGTGGTCCGGGTGGGTGGCGTGTGTTGGTTGGTGGGTCGGTCGGTATGGGTCGGTGATGAGTGTCGGCTAGCCGACCTAAGAGGCTGAGCAGTGGTCTCGGCTGGACGTGTGTTGGCTAGCGGGCGAGTGGGGTGATGCTTGATGTGAGCTAAGCGTGTAGTGTGTGTTGGTCGGAAGACTTGGCAAGTTAGCAATGGTGTGAGGCATTCTTTGGTTAGTAGCAAGGACCAAGTGATGCAAAATAATATGGGTAGAGTGAGGATTTATATGAAGAGTGAAGCTACCCCAAGGAGTAGAGTACATGGATGATTGTGTTTGGGAGTTTGGGTGGAGTTGTTTGGAAAAAGGAAATTAGGACTCTACGAAGTGAACATGGCGAGCAATGTTAAGTCGATTAGTTTTTGGATCTAAACAATGAATAACCCATATGGGAAGGACTATATTGAAGGAAGAAACAAGTGGCGGACCGAAAATCCATTTTGTTTTTGTTTATGGTCGTAGGAAAGGAAAACAAAGACAACTAAATATTTTTAAAGATGAATAATCGTGGACTTTTGAAAAAACTATTTCAAAGGGAGACTTATTTTGTGTGACAGGAGATGGCATTCGATTGATTAAAAAAACCACTCGTTTCAAAAGCATAATGCCAATACTAGCAAGGAACACTTGTTTTCCCAAAGAGAGTCAAACCGGCTTCAATAATATGACGATGGCGTCTTCCAACGAGCATCGTTTTGTTCATGTGTGTGAGGGCATATTATGCGGTAAGCTATGCCAATTATTTTGAAAAAGGAATTTATGGGAGCGAAATTCACCCCCCGATCAGTTTGCACTTATTTTATTTTACAATTGAATTGTCTCTCAACAAGCTTTTGAAATTGTAAAAACAAATCAAATACTTCTGATTTTTTACGTAGTGGATAAAACTAAATAAACTTAAAATAATGGTCAATAAAAATCACATAATATTTATGGCCATCCATAATTGGAGTGAGTGATAGTCCTCATACATCACTAAAAATGAGATTTAAAAGTTCAATACTAACATTAACAGAAGAGGCCAATGTTAATCTATTTGTCTTTCCAAGAGGGCAAGAGAGATAGGTGTTTGTGATGCGAGAAGAAGTAGCTAAATCATGATATTTATTTAAAAAGAGATTGAGAATTCGTTTATGTGGATGTCCTAATCTTGAGTGCTAAATGTTTGGAGATGCTTTTGCAGAATACGCATGGGTAGTGGGATGAGGGAAAACATATAAATCAGCATCACTCGGTCCGGAGAGGATTGGGGTCTTATGTACCTAATCCTTGAGACAAAAGGTAGAGGGGTAAAATTTCCAAAATAAATTATTATCACAGGATAATCGTTTGACAGAGAGAAGGGGTGAGTTATTTGTGTAACATGCAACACATCAAGTAAATGAAGAGTTTTAGAAGGTGTATAAATGTAACTAGTGTCAATATGTGTAATAGGTAAGTACTCACAATTTTCAACCAGTAGCTGATCCAGTCCTTGATAAGGTTCATATGTGCTAAGGCTTGCGAGATCCGGGGTGACATGGTGTGAAGCGCTAGTGTCTCGACACCAGGTTTGATTGTGCGGTGGAGAGGGATGCACATTAGACTAGGAGGCTAAGTTGGCCGTGGGGTGCTGTGGCTATATGTAGCGCTGGGAGTAGTGTATGGCAGTGTGGTTCCAAGAAATACACAGTTGACACTTACTTTTATTTTCCACGGGAGGCCGAGAAACTCTATTGCCTCTTTCATTTGTTCTGTTAATATATCTCCCCCTTCCACTTCCACGGTAGTTTCTACCTCTTCCACGGCTTAGTGAATCTGAACTGTCAAAAGTGATACCACTAGATCTTTGAATAAGGTTAGCAGTGGGTGGAACAGGTAGTAAATCGATGCTTGGTGCACCAAAGGGTGAGTCACTGTGAAAGTCTTTGTTCATGAACTCATGACTGAGTAGAAGACTATGAAGTTCTGTAAATCCCACTGGTTCAGGGCGTGTAGATAAGGTGGTAACAATGTCTTTGAATTCTACTGAAAGGCCTTTGAACACATACAAATTGAAATCTATTACCTGTAATGGTCGGCCAGCAGCAATCAGCTCATCACTGTGTGATTTTTCCTATTGGAGAAATTGGGAGACGGGCTCATTAGTCTCTTGACACAAGCATTGCAAAGCCATGTGCAGTGTCATGATGCATGTGCTGGAAGGGGAGGCAAGAGCATTCTCAAGGACAGACCAGATTTCCCTTGATAAGTTGCAGTCGATGACCATAGGAAGGACTTCGATTAAAAGAGAATCAATCAGTGTGCTCATGAGTAACTAGTCTTGTTGGATCCAAGAAAGGTGAGAGGGGTTGATTTAAGGGGCATTTGTGCCAATGGGGGGAAATGGCTGGGTGGGCAAGGGTTAAAGTCATCAACAAAGCCCTGTCTTAGAAGAAAAGGCTTCATCTCAGTTTGCCACGGTAGGAAATTGGTGGAGGTGAGTTTCAGGGAGAGAAAGTTGTGGGCATTATTCAGGCTTACAGTAGCAGGAGTGGGTAAGCTTACAACAGTAACAGTGGTTGTTGTGGTGTTTCGGGTAGGGGAAGTGGTGGTAGAGCTAGCCATTGCTTAAAAAAAAAAGAAGGGAAAAGAGCGAGCTGGAGCAGGCTCTGACACCACATTAGAACCAAAGAAGAGAAGTGGCGTGAATTGTCCGATAGTATTAACAGCAATTATATGACAATATTTATACAAGTTCTCAGCTGCAGAGTTTTATACAACATCTATGACTAATCAATACAAGGAGTAAGTACTTGGGTTGTATGATAACACTCATCCCTTATCCTTATCATATTGGTGCAGGTGAGCCACGAGAGGAGTTGCATAATTGCTGGAGTCTTTGCTGATTCCAGTGTTGGCAGTAACGTTGGAGTCTTTGCTGCAGCTTCCGTTTCTGCCATCCTTAGAGTTCCTGTCAGAGAAGAACTCTGATGGGTCTAACAAACATAATATATTTTATTCCACAAAATATTTTTTTCATCAATTTTTTCATGACATAAGTTTATGTTTTTCTTTTTTCTATTTTTTTATACATTAGACCCTCTAATTTCAATTTAAAAAAAAAATTCAATAAGTCCTTTCAAATTCAAAAAATAATTATTTAATTTTTTTATTTAGAGTTGATCACATGTTTGTCACGTATTTTTGGATTTCAACATAATTGGTCGACTTGATTACAAATTTAAAAAAAAATTATACTACTCATATTAAAAAATTAAAATTTGGATATTAGTCTCTGCTTAATAATATCGAACATATTAGCCAATAAACATTGATAATTAAATTTTAAATATTTTAAAATTTTTCATTTTTCTCTATTTTTACCCTTAAATTGTTACTGACAAAAGCAAATAGAAGCATTGATTTATAAACATAAAAATTAATATTTTAAACTATTAGCAATACAGGAATTAAAAGTTTCTAAGAGGAAAAAAAAGCACAAAAAGAGAGAATATATTACCAAGTCAGTGACTATCTTAATCAAACAGTTATGCTGCTCGTGATGCAGCTTCGATTCACCATGACATTTCTTCTCGTTTTCAGTCTCCTGTTGAATAATTAATTAAAACGAATTAAAGCTTGAAAATCATGCATTTTTTTGAAGTCTCAATCAAAATTAATAAACGAGAATGGAGTAGTTTACTTTATCAGAATCGAAATCTAGTTCACGAATCCAAGTCTGAATTTCTCTCAAAGTCTAAAAGAAGCAAAATCAATGTAAATGTATATGAGGAGCTAAAAAAAGAAGAAGAAGAAGAAAGAAGAAATAGCGAATGTGAAGATTCGATGAGAGAACAGACGATAACCTGAGAGAGAGAGAGATTAGAAGATCCTTCTCCTTTGCTTTTGTTGTTTCCGGTCCCGGCAGGTGTGGGTGGAGATAGTCGTCGACTAGACGACAGAGACGAGAGAATTTGGAATCAAGAGGCGTTTTTAAGGGTGCGGTTATGGCCGGGAAATTCGTTTGGCTTTCGACTTCAAAAAGTTGGCGATTTTATGGCGTTGGAGATGGTGGCGATCGACTGACTGACTCCAACTGGGTCATTTGTTCGTCATCCGTGACGAATGGCAACGCTGCCGTTTAACTGGGTAGTACATTTTTTTCTCTTAATTTTAATTTGCCTCCTCCATGTTTACGGATGTCTCAATTTTACCCCAAAATTTTGGTTTGCATTAATAACGCCCAACTTTCGTAGCAATTTCAATTCCCTCCTTCGTCTATTTTCCTCTTTTCTGTCCATAGCGAAAATATGTGCAAATATCACAATTTCTCTCGTAAAATTTTTGGATAGATCCAATACTATTCAAAAAAAATTGAAATCTAAAATAATATTATTTAATAAAAATAAAAAATCGTTATGAAAAGAACCTTTTTTATAAATAAATAAAAAATTAGAAAAAGGCTTTTCATCACAACTATCTACACAATCCTTCATTTGACAATTCAAAACTAAGATTCCACTAAAAATAGATATGATGACAAAAAAAAAAAAAAAAAGAATAAAAAATTGAGGAAGAGGCTTAGAACTATTTAAATTTTGGATTTTATTTAACCTTAGTATATTGGCAAAGAAAAAAGATGTTAAATTTTGAAATGATCTTAAATTTTTCCAGTATCCTAAAATAATCATATATTTTTTTATCTTCTTAATCTTAGTATGATTCTTGAAATATTTGTGTAGTCGAATGCGTAATACCTAATCAAAGTTTAAAATAAGTTAATTTTGAAAATCACATGAAAATTTTTTAGAATCACATTAAAATTATATATGTAAATTCACATGAACATCTCAGACATTTTCAACAAAAAAAAAAAAAAGAGATTATTCTAGTTTGTTTTCTATTTTTATAATTTATTGAATTTTTATTATTTAAAAAATAAAAAATAATCTCTTATTTCAAAAAAAAAAAAAAGAAATTATTTATAAAAGGGGATAGGATTTTTCTTTAGCATCTATAAAAAAATTCAGCTCAAAATATCCAAAATTTTTATTTTTTAAGAGGTATTTGATTAATAATAGTTTAAGAATAAAATTGACTGAAAAATGCTATTAAATCGAGATGGTTCTATCCTTCTCCTTTTGCGAAAACTTTTCCTGTTTTCTAAGGAAAAAAAAAAATTGAACATTGTGAAATGCATGCTATTTAATCACTATATTTTTTTCTTCTTTAAGAAATCCACTGTTTATAGAATATAAAGATCAAAAGTTTCTTGTGTATTTTTCCTCCCCTATCACCTCCGGCAGCATGATCTACCATGAATTGACAAATACGTGTTTGAAAGAGGAAAATAGGCGACAGATTTTGCTTTTGGATTTGAGTTGGTTAGATCCTTCAAAGACCAGCCAGCTTCGTTGTCTTATCGTTATTATTATTTATTATTATTTTTTATCCTGTACGAAGAAAACAGAAGAAAGAGTTGCTTTTGGATTTGAGTTACGTAGGGACATCCTTTTTCATTTTGAATGTCTGACCTCCTCCACCTTGAATGCATTCCCCACCCTCCATGCATCTTAAGGTCATCAATGATCCATTGGATTGGACGGTCCTGGATGACTACTTTTCGACAAAAAAAAAAAAAAAAAGGGTTAGTCAACGAACATGAGAGCCTAGATGCTTCTCGCTGGTACAAGGCCACCTGGATCAGGCTCTAACTTTTCTGCATCATGTACTTCATTCTCTTTATATACCACGGAGCAAGAACATGATTACCATCAAGGCAAACATCAAAATATGGGAGAGGCCGACAATCGAAAAAGGCATTTTGTTTTGATCCATGGTTCAGTTGCAGGAGCTTGGATATGGTACAAGGTGAAGCCTGCGCTAGAGGCAGCTGGCCACCGTGTCACAGCTCTTGACATGGCGGCATCAGGGGTGAGCACAAAAACTATTGAAGAAGTTCGTACTTTTGATCAATATAATGAGCCCTTGATGGAGTTCATGGCCAATTTACCCGAAAATGAAAAGGTTGTCTTGGTGGGGCATAGCTTAGGAGGCTTGAATTTGGCTTTTGCTATGGAGAAGTTCCCAGAGAAGATTTCTCTTGCTGTTTTTCTTACTGCAATCTTGCCTGATACCGTGCATCAGCCATCGTATATGTTAGAGAAGGTACCACTTTGAGTTTAATTTAATATACTAATAATTAAGACCCTTATCTGTCTTTCTTTGTTCATTTATTTTTCATACAATTAAGAAGATCATGCACGAAAGGGGTTGATCTGTTCTGTTTGGTTTATGTATTTGAGTAAATGATATGAAGAACCCTAGGTTTGACCAAGGCTAATTTAAAAGGGAATCATTTTAAGGTCTAAGGATGTTTTCTATGAATTTTTAAGAAACCTTTTGCTTACTTTAAGAAGGATTAGTATGCACATATATACATACAAATGCAGAGGTATGATCAATTGTTTCTAACATCAAAATGGTGTTTTGACCTTTTAGCATGCTGAAATCGGTCCCAAGGGAGAAGAGTGGCAAGACACTGAGTTTTTATCCCATGGAACCCCTGAAGAACCGCATGCATGTGTTCGCATGGGATATGAGTTCATGAAGTGCAAGCCCTTTCATCTTTCCCCCCTGAGGTACGCAAATCTGATTGATTACAAATTATCAATCCTGGATTTGATTTCTTTGTCATAACTAATTAGTAATACGTTCTTGTTTGCATACTTTGCAGGATCTCTCTCTCCAGATTCTTTTAAATAGACCGGGCTCGCAGTTTGTGCACAGTCTGTCCAAGGCAAAGAAGTTCACCGATGAGAGATATGGATCAGTTCCGAGAGTTTATATTGTTTGTACTGAGGATTTAATGTTGTGTGCATCATTTCAGCGTCGCATGATTGAACACACTAAGGTTAAGGAAGTGGTGGAGATTCCAGCAGATCATATGGCAGTTTTTTCCAAGCCTAAAGAACTCAGCCAAAGTATACTGGAGTTGGCTCGTAAACATGCTTAGATTGACATATATAGCATAAGTCGTATCATTAACTAGTGTGCAATGCATCTTGGCTGCATTTTCCAGGGATTTGTCGTAGAATGTTAGAAGGAACTGGCTATTAAAGAAAGAAAAAGGAGAAATACATGTAGATAACAGGGCACTGCATAGATGATTTTCATCTTCACGATTTGGGTTTTGGTAATTAGTAGTTAAAGTGAGATCAGGTTCTGTTTGTGTTTAGTTAGTTCCATTACTGTGCCTCATTTATCTTTTGAGGACCGGTTACACTTTTGTTATCATTATTCACAGGAATTTTGAAGTTTTTTCCACTTTCCCTGTGTGTTAGTCTTGCTAGCTCCTCAATTGCTCCTTTTCTTATGATCATCAAACAGAGTTGCTTTCTTGCATGATATGTCCACTTCTGCCCCTGGCAATTCAGCAGAAATAATATGGAGTTTATTTATTTCGCCAGAACAAGTCTCCAAAACCCAAAAATCATGTCTCTTTTGGAATATATGCTGATGACTGCTACTGCTATTAACTATCAGTTTCATTACGCTCTATGAGCATCATGGAAGAGATGAAACCAAGAAACATGGTGAGATTTAATGCATCAGATGAATCGAGCAAATTGATGATGTTTCTAAATAATTCTAACCAAACCCAATTTATGTTGTTACTTATTTCTTCCATCTTGTGTTGTGCATTACTTGCTATCTGCAATAAGTTCACAAGAGTATTTACATGTATTCATCGCCAATCTCCAGGAGGCAAGAGCAGAGCTCTTGTGGTTTAGAAATCATGGCCATTTGATCAGAACCAGAGATGACCATCACTTCATCCACAGGATTGTTTCCAATCATCCATGTTTGCCTAGGATCATTTTCTTGGTCACACACTATATAAACTCGGCGAACAGATCCATATTTTTCCTGGGTGACGATTGCAGCATTTTCAGTTTCTGAACTACTGTATATAGGAAAAGGTCTGAGCAACAATGTAGCTAGCATCAAATCCTGAATCAATTTATAATGGTTAGATATTATAACAAGCCTAATCAGGTTAATGGGCACTGTATTTTTCCTGAAAAGTGAAAAGGGAGGTCTTCCCTCAGGTGGGGAAGGTGGTAGAACCTGGATGCCATGTAGCTGGGAACAAGGACTAAGACTGTCGGAGGGTTGTCAGGGTCATTACCAAACACAGATTTTGTATCCATGTAGGAGAGTGATCTATGAGAAGACTGCAAATGTTTGCAAAGCAGGCATCGTTATCTAATCCGTTCAACATACGCAAATGGTAATAACCCATTACTAAAAACAATCCAGCAACAAAAAATAGAAAAGCCTGAAAAGGTTTGAAATCTCTCCTCAAGTAAATCAGCTCGTGCTGCTTAAATTCCTCTGTTCTAACTTACCTTTCAACTTCCTCCTTCAACTTTCCCTTATGTCAAAGCAATATATATATATATATATATATATATATATATATATATATATATATATATATATCACTTAAATTTTGTGTCGAAACCCCATATTTTTATGCCAAACCCAGCTGAAACGACATCAACTTGATCTTCTTGAAACGCCATCTTAGTATCAAAATCTAAGATAATATACATGTTATGAAAATCATATAATGTGAATCTTATGATGTTTAGTGATATAATGATAATTACAGAAAGCATTAACTAATAAATCCCCAATCACAACCTGTTATGTCATCTAGTTGAGAAAATGTAATTAGAGAATTAAGCATCTCTTCTGCTGTGCATCGGCAGGCTGATACCTATTGCTCTAATAATTTGCAAATAGTAGTAATTGACAACTTGAAAAGTATTTCTCGGCAATCTCCGGGAGGCAAGAGCACATCCCTTGTGGTTTATAAAATACTAGTTGGATACCCACGTTATGTTACGATCCGACAATCATCGCTTTTAGTATATAAAAAAGAATAAATAACAAATAATTAGTGTTATGTATACATATATATAATTAATTTTTAATAAAACTATACATATGATGATTTAAAAATACGTTTTGAAAACATGAGAGACCAAAAATATTTTTTAAAAAACATGAGATGTGAAAAAAATATAAAGATTTAAAAATATATTTTGAAAACATAAAGGATAAAAAACGAATGAAGTGTATAATTTTATAATAAATATTCAAAAAATTATAAGAAAATTATGAAAATGTCCGTCGAAAGAAATCACAAAAATGTCATATTGTAAACCATGAATTAAGATGAGTGAATGAAGATAAATAAACAGTAAATAAATAGTATTTTACTTTGCTGTTCTTTTGTCCCACTTCTTTAATGAGCATGTGATCAGAACCAGGGACAGTCGTTACTTCATTTGGTGGATTATTTTCAATCATCCATCTCTGTAAATCTTCCTTTATTATGTCATCTTCATCACACATGATATAAGCTCGAGGAAAGGACCTATACATCTCCGTAACCCCCACTTTTTATTAAGTTGCCTTGTCACTAAACAAAGGGTGAGGTAGCAGCGACAACATTGCTAGCGTAAGATCCTGGTCAAGGTTTTTTTAATATATATATATATCAGCAGTAAAAAAGAAAATTCAACCAAATACAGCATCTTTTCGGATGGACCCCCTGAAGCAGACATGTCCAGGGCTGTAACTTTATGAGCAGCTGATTTAAGCAAAGTTGCCACATTTTACCAACACAATGCTCCACGACAGGCTCCATGGACTAGCACCAAATGCATCTGCCTCTTCATCTTCTACTTACCACTCTTGACTCCACCTTCCTATCCCCTGTGTCTGGCTTTTCGTCCCGCTGGTTTTATTACAACTTTGATTGGACGAATCTAAGTTAGCCAACAGAGCTCAGTTTATCTTCTTTTATGAAGCTGTTGTTAGTCGTAAAATTTCGTAAATTTCATTTCACATTTGGGAAATTCAAGAATGGCCTTTTAACTGGACCCACAACTGTCATTTCACATTCCCTTGAGAGCATCTCCTTTTAACCACAAGTAGTAATCCTCATCAGATAACACAGCAGCCGCGGCCACTCGTAGACAGAGAGAGGGGGTTTCTGTGGTCCCTGCTGCAGAGACCAAACTTCAGTTCGTGCAATCAAATTTTCTTTATGTTCAAGTGTTAAAATCACGTGGATGCAACCTTCATGAGGGATGGTCATGGTGCAAGTCCAATTTCAAATGTGCTGCGGAAACTAAATCTACTACTGAGGAAAAAAAAAAAAAAATTGAAATAAGCACAGCGTATAGGATATGGAGAATAAACTACCTTTAATGCACGACTGCATGAGGGGGCTACTTTCCCTTTACCACCTGACATTCAACCAATTCAAAAGGTGACTGAATATTTGAACGTTTGACCACAAAACATTGAACGGAGGTCTCCCCATTTGCTCTGATGAACACTCCAATCTATGCAATTGATACCTTTGTGGAATGGCTAAACCTTCTTTCCCATAGGATCTCAAATTTACTAATTCTGGAACTCAGATAGCGGCAGTGGCACTCAAGTTCCTCATAGTTCTTTCAGTCTAGGAAAGCCATAATTCTTTTAGCTATAGCACAGCTCCTGAAATTTTGTTAAACTGCAAGAAGAAAGCAACCAGTCTAATGTCAATTTATCCATACAGATTTTTACCAAATAAGCCACAGCATATGAACATGCACTCAAGGCTCATTGATGCCAAGGAATCTTAAACTCACACATATAGGGTATCGCATGTAGACTATTACAACTTTTTCCATTACTAGCATATATCACCAGTTCCATAACTAGCATATATATGAATCTGTCTGCATCAATAAGTACATCATTAATGATATTGGCTGATATATTTGGAAATGCATTAGTTTTCTCTGCAAAGTTTTTGGGTCCACTTGAGGAAATCATATAAAATTTGAATAAATTATATTATTTCAAAAGTTGTTTAGTGCATTGCTTATATTAACAGTTGATCACTGAGGGCATGACTTGAGCAAACAAAAAGATATACAGCACACAATTACTATCCCAGATTATTGGAAGAATGTTGAAAAAAACATCAACCAACTACGCTAAAGTCTAAGTTAAAAATAAAAAATACACGATGTTAAAGTCAACCCCACACCCACACACACAACAAAAAAAAAAAAAAAAAGAGAACTGATAAACGATGTGATAGAAGACGGTAAGGAAGACAACACACCGTTTCAGGAGCACTTCTGGATTGTATGGAAACAAATTCTTTCGACAAAGACATTCCACAGAAGCTTTCAATGAAAGCAAACAATCTTTGGCTTCCTTGAATGGCTGTCTTTTGTTATTGTAGTGTTTACAGACATATCCAAAGTCGCCCTTCTGTTCTTCCCCAATTGATTGAGGAATGCCTTCTACAGGAATAGATGACGACTCTCCCTGAATATCAGAGACATCCAACAAAAGCCTTCTCTTCTTGCAACACGTTTGATTTACAGCTTTCCCATCCATAGGAAATGTGACAAATACATTCCATGAACTATATACTGTACGCAAACACCTATAATGAAACAAGTACAACAGTGATCTGTAAGAAGCACACTAAAGTGACCATTGGGGTTCTATATAAAGACTGAAAAGAGGTGAGCTCCAGAGACAACTTATGCTGCTACGTGGGTTTGCCACACCAATTATTCATGATGAGCCAATTAAGTAAGTGGGGTAAATTAACATGACCCAACCACTGAACTGCAACAAGTTAAGAGCCAGGATTAGCATGTTCAAAAAGCAACTGGAAGACATACCTTAAAAGATATTCTGCGCAACTGATTCCTATATCTTTAGAAATAAGGTAATCGAGAAGCACTTGGTGGTCATAATGCAACTGCAAGTGAACAAGAAGCATGCATGTCAAAATTCAGGGTGGGGGTGGGGTGCTGTTGGGCGTTTGGGAGTGGCATTGTTTTTATATACATCAAATCCTATACTTGCCTCGGCAAGGAATAGATGGAATAGGTACACAGGATTAAAGAGGTTTGAGACAAGATGAGTAACATCTTTCACATGTTGAGATGTCCACTTGTCTCCATGTAACCTGCATATAACAGAATCATCCATTAAGCGCCCCTAATCGATTCATCTTTAATAAGGACAACAAAGCAACTGGCGTGTTGTGTTCACCATTGCTCAGGAGGGGATGGCACACTGAGAAGTTGTAAAAGGACCTTAAATAACACATCATCCTGCATTTCATCGGAAACAAAGCAATTAGAACATAGAAGTCCCAATGACAGTAAGTATGAAAGGGAAAAGTAAAAGAAAAAAGAAACCAAAAACTCTAAGATCAAGCTTATTGTATTTCCAAGCAGCAAGTTGAGAAACTTCAAAAGGTTAAAAAGAATGATTTCCAATGGGTTAAATGACAAACCTCATGCATGTATAGCTGGAGGAAAGATAAGGAAAAGCCCATGCATTTTTCCAAATACCTTTCGTGGTCAACTAATGTATCATCTGGAAGATGCCCTTGAAGCCAATTATAAAGCTCCAGTAAACCTTTCTCTCTGCTACAACAATCGAGATCTGAGACTGAGTCAAAAGTCAAGCAAGACTTGAGAGTGATCTTTGAAGTCACACATTGCTTGCTTGTCTCTTCTGTGAAGCTGATCAGACTGAAGCAGCATCTCAGGAAAAGGAGCAGAGTCTGCCTTTGCAAATGAAAGGAATGCATGCCATTCAGTTCTCCATTAGAAAGACTTAACAGAAATGGAGAGCCTTCTAAACATTCATCCTGACCAGCCTTGAGTTTGCTTATGGGTTTCCGCAAAAGATCTTCAAAGTACTCATGAAGAAGTTGCAACCATGAAATGAGAGTAGAGCAACCTAGACAAGTTCCGTAACTAAGTCTCAGCATTAGCATCTGCAGAACATGTCTCAGTTATTGCAAGGATAATGAAGCTAAACAACAATGATATATACTGCTAAGTGATAATTGATCCCTATCAGTGGCATATTATCATGCACTTGAGCAAGTGCCAACACAATAACACTATAAGCAGTTCTAAGGACAATTAAAAGGCAACTGAAAAGACATCACACCTAGCGTATAGACATTAAAGGAAAACATTCCTGCTTGGATAGTCAAACAAGTCTATTTAATTCATCTCAATATGAATTTTTTAAGAAAAATATGTGAAAAATATTCTTCAGTATATACATTGAAAAAAAAAGAGATGATTTCTCAAAAAAGAAAAACAGAAGAAAAGAGCAAACAAATCATTTCTCAGAAAATAAAAAACAAAAAACAGCTAACAAATAAGATAAATTAATACCAACAATTTGTGTCTGAAGTATTGAGAGACTGACAGCTTCAAACTCTTCCCTTGCTTGCCAAGGCACCAGCATGCTAGTTTAGGAATGAGACTGATGATTATGGAAAGAACTGGATGCTGAACTTGAGAACCAACCTCAGTTTCCACAGCACTACTTAGCTCAACCATAGAGCTAAGGAACTGAATAAAATTCCCTAGAAACAGAACTTTTGGCTCCTTTGCACCAAAACTTCTGAAAACTGAAGCATCCTTAGAATAGCAATTCTGAGGATCACCATCCCAAGTGTCACAACCCTGACCTACAAGAATCTCATCCATGGAATCCCAAAGCACATTTGAAAGAAGGGAACTGACAGAACCCAAATACACTTCAATAAGTTGATCATCACACTCTTGCTTCAAATGTTTCAATATATTTCTCAAAACTTGAACGATTCCTGCTGCTGTAGACAAGTTAGCACCTTTCAAAGTAGATTTCAAGACAACATAACTTGAAGAATCACGATTTGAATACTCAGCTCCAGTTCTTGAAGGTTCCCAAGAACACGAAAACACATTGGCAATTGCCAATTGAAGACAAGTACACATCAAATCAATAAAAGAATCCCACTCTTTTCCCTGCAAAACATGCATATAGCTAACCACAATGAAACACAAAAAACGCAGTGGTGCAAAATAAACATTCACAGACAAATAAGATTAACTTACAGACAAAGCCAGAAACTCGGAAAAGACTACGAGAACATTGCCTGCCAAATGTTGTACATATTGTTTCTCAACTGTAAGGAGAAGCATCTGTTGAAAAAAAAAAAAAAAACCACAAAAGCCAAGTTCACAAAACCAGAATATCAAGCTCGATATAATAACAGAGAAAAGAGTAAGAACAGAACAATGAATGCATAGCTAAACAAACTTCGAATACATATATCACACATGAATAGATGACAAGATTTATCCAAAATCATGTTACTGATAAATTTTCTCGAGAAATTTTATAGTTATCAAGGAGCAACTAATAATACTCACTCCATATGACAGAGATAGACACAAAGAAGAGAGAAAAATTAAAAAATAACTAAAAATTAAGCTTAAGTGAAAATATTCTTATCACTTTTGGAGTATCCAAATGGGATTTTCTCCTTTTTTTATTTTTTTTAGTCTCTCCTCTCAAAGTGAATCCATAAAAATAAATATTGGTAATTACTTCTTGAATATTTTAAAATTTCTCAATTTTCTCTACTCTTACCCTTAAAATGTTACAGAGAAATGCAAATAAGAGCATTAATATTTTAAACTATAAGCAATACAGGAACTAAAAGTTTCTAAGAGGCAAAAAAAAAAAGCACAAAAAGAGAGAATACATTACCAAGTCAGTGACTATCTTAATCAAACAGTTATGCTCCTCGTGATGCAGCTCCGATTCACCATAACATTTCTTCTCGCCTTCAGTCTCCTGTTGAATAAATAATTAAAACAAATTAAAGCTTGAAAATCATGCAATTTTTTTTTTTAAGCCTCAATCAAAATTAATAAACGAGAATCGAGTAATTTACTTTATCAGAATTGAAATCAAGTTCACGAATCCAAGCCTGAATTTCTCTCAAAATCTAAAAGAAGCAAATCAATGTAAATGTAAAAAAGGAGCAAAAATAAAAAGGAACAGTGAATGTGAAGATTCGATGAGAGAACGGACGATAACCTGAGAGAGAGAGATTAGAAGATCCTTCTCCTTTGCTTTTGCTGTTTCCGGTCCCGGCAGGTGTGGGTTGAGACAGTTGTCGACCAGACAGCAGAGACGAGAGAATTTGGAATCAGGAGACATTGTTTAGGGTGCAGGCATTCCCGGGAAATTCGTTTTGGCTTTCGGCTTCAAAAAATTGGCGATTTTATGGCGCTGGAGATGGTGGTGACTGACTGACTGACTGCAACTGGGTCATTATTTGAACCGTGACTCATTTTGATTTACATTCTTTATATTTTTGTTTTTTCTTTTGATTTTGATACATGAACTAATGAGCGTTTACATTAGACCCTCTCTATCATTATTTATTATTGAAATTTCTTCATTTTGGCCACTAAACTACTTCAAAAAAATCACCAAAGTAATTCTTTTAACCTCGCAAACAGCATTTCAAAATAAAATAATTGTTTTAAAAATCAAATGGAAGGATTTTATATTTCAACTTCAAAAATTTTATATTTTAAAACCCAAATTATGGATGAACTTGTAATAATCACTTGGTAATCTCATCTTCGATGGTAATAAAATGTTAACGGATTCCAATCCAAACAGCTCATCAAAAAGTCTATATTTCAAGAATAGTGATTTCTTATAATAAAAGATTACCGGTTCAATAACATATTAATTGTACTAGAAGTTTTGAGTGTGTGAGTTAAAAAAAATAATAATAAATCCAAACACCTTATAATTTAGACATTAAATCGGAAAAATAAAAATACAGGGGTGTAGATCCAAATAGGTAATAGTTCAGGGGTCTTTTGTTTTAGTTTTTCATTATTATTTAAAAAAAAAAAAAGATATTCAGGTGTGGCAACCAACTATTCTTTCTTATGACATAATTATATGACCTCTCTTTCGTTAACAACCTTAATACAGAAATGCACCACCATAACCTCTCTCAAAAAAGCTCATCAACTCCACGCTCTAATCCTCACAGCCACAACCTCAAAAACCTATGCACAATGTCCATATCTGAACAACAACATCCTCTCTATGTACGGACGTTGCGGTTCTCTTTTCGACGCAAAAAAACTGTTCGACATAATGCCTCAAAGAAATCTTGTTTCGTATAATGCATTAATTTCAGCTTTTTCTAGAGATTCTAATGATGGGGTTTTGAGCTTGAAGTTATTTGCACAGATGGGTAATCGAGATTTGAGTCCTAATGGGTCAACTTTCTCGAGTTTACTTCAAGCGTGTTGTTCGCTTGAGGATTGGCTTATGGGGTCTTTGATTCATGGTCAGGTTGTTAAGTTTGGGTTCTTCAATGATGTGTTTGTTCAGACATCATTACTTGGGATGTACTCGAATTGCGGGGATCTCGAATCTGCATACAAAGTTTTTGGTTGTGTTGTGGAGAAGGATGTTGTTTTGTGGAATTCGATGATATTTGGGAATTTGAAGAATGAAAAGTTAGAGGAAGGAGTTTGTTTATTCGGTCAAATGGTGAGGAATGCTGTTGTTCCTACTGAGTTCACGTACTCAATGATAGTGAACGCCTGCGGTAAATTGGGAGATTGTAGTCGTGGACAAGTTATTCATGCCCGAGTTATTGTTTCGAATGTACTAGCTGATTTGCCTTTGCAAAATGCTTTGCTTGACATGTATTGCAGTTGTGGTGACACTAAAACTGGAGTTAATGTCTTTAATAAAATTGAGAGCCCAAATTTAGTTTCTTGGAACTCGATGATTTCTGGGTATGCGGGAAATGGAGAGGGAGAGGATGCTATGAATCTGTTCGTCCGGTTGGCAGGAATGTCTCTTCCTAAACCTGATGAATATACTTTTGCTGCTGTTGTTTCTGCTACTGGTGCATTTCCAGCCATTTGTTATGGGAAACCTCTTCATGCTGACGTTATGAAAGTGGGGTTGGAGAGGAGTGTCTTCGTAGGAACTACTCTATTGTCAATGTATCTGAAAAATTGTGATACTGACTCCGCTGAAGAGGTTTTCAATTTGATTGAAGAGAAGGATGTTGTTCTCTGGACTGAAGTGATTATGGGTCACTCCAGATTGGGGGGTGGGGAAAGTGCAATAAAATTGTTCTGCAAGATGTGTCATGAAGGTCTTAAGAGCGACAGTTTTGCTCTTAGTGGAGCTTTGAGTGCCTGTGCTGACCTTGCAACTTTGCTCCAAGGAGAGATAATTCATACCCAGGCTATAAAAACAGGATGTGATGCTGAAATGTCTGTTTGTGGTAGTCTAGTAGATATGTATGCAAAAAATGGTGATCTTTGTGCTGCTCAATCAGTATTTTCACAAGTTTCAAATCCTGACTTAAAGTGCTGGAATTCAATGCTTGGGGGGTATAGTCAACATGGAATGGTAGAGGAGGCAACGATGCTCTTTGCAAAGATTGTAGTAAATGGTCAAAGACCTGATCAAGTAACATTTTTGTCCCTGCTGTCCGCTTGCAGCCATAGTGGCTCGGTTGAAAACGGAAAGCTCTTGTGGAATTATATGAAGAAAAACGATGTTGTACCTGGGCCTAAGCACTACTCTTGCATGGTAAGTTTATTGAGTCGAGCAGGATTGCTGGATGAGGCAGAAGAACTGATTATCAAATCAACTTACAGCAAGGAGCATTTGGAATTATGGAGAAATTTGCTGAGCTCTTGTGTCAATAAAAGGAATTTGAGAATAGGAGTTCGCGCAGCAGAAGAAGTATTTAAATTAGAACCAGAAGACAGTGCAACACACATTCTGCTTTCAAATCTCTATGCCGCTACAGGGAGATGGGATGGTGTTGCAGAAATGAGGAGAAAGATAAGAGGACTCATGCTCGAAAAAGACCCTGGACTAAGCTGGATTGAGGCCAAAAATGATATTCATGCATTTTCTTCTGGTGACCAATCAAACCCGATGATTGATGAAGCCAGAGGTGAATTGCGTAGATTGGAAGGGAACGTGATAAACTTGAAAAGTCTATAGGTTACCAGAATTGATAGTTTGTTCAGATTAATGGAAGTGGGAGCTGAAGAGAAAGGAAATCAACAAAAACTTATACTGATATGCAACTTATCATCTTGTGCATGACACGGCCTTTTGTGGATCAGCGGCTTATCTCAAATGGTGTTTTGACTAACGACTTTGAATATCTTACTTCGTTCTTCATCAGCAGCTGCTCAGACAGGAGCCAAATCTTGTGTGAACTGAAAATGGGACAATTGATCCTAGCCTTCAGCAGCTCTATTTTATTGCTTGTCATCTCTCTCTATCTCTGTTGAATCCATCTCTCTCTGTTGAATCCATATTTTTTCCACTCGGCGAACGTACTGGGACTAAAAATTGAGGTCTGTTGCTATTTTGTTTTTATTTTTTTCTTTTTTATTTTTCTTTGTTTTTTTCTTTTTCTTTTTGAAGTTGGAGAGATTATTAGTCAAACCAGAAGTGAAGGTAAAGTACTGTAAACTCAAAAAGCTGAGAGTTTCAATAGTTTGTCAGTCTTGTACGATGTAAAATGTTGGTCTCAGTAACTCGATTGTATATTTTTGTCTTAACATGCCAGAGTTCTTGTTTGGTGCAGTCGTATAATAAAGCATGAATATGAGTATGAAAAGAGTAATTACTCTGTTGAATCCATTTTTTCCTACCCTGCAAGGTTTGGATTAATGCATGGTTGCCATGTCATACTACTCCCTTCAAGCCTAGTTCTCTGCCCCATATTTCAGGAGTAACGGTTTCAACGAAAATTAATAAATTATTTTTGAAAAAGTGGCTTTGAAGTTAAAGAAGAGGAAAATATTTTTCTCTTTTTCTCACAAACTGTCTAGTTCTCACGTTATTCACCTTTCTTTGGATATATTTTAACAATTTTTTTCTTTGTCTCATTTTTTATTTTTCTCTCTCACAAACTGTCTAGCTCTCACGTTATTCACTTCTTTCTAGATATATTTTAACAATTTTCTTCTTTGTCTTATTTTTTATTTAAAACACATCAAATTAATTTTTAATTATTTCTTATCAATTATTATTAATTATTTAATTATTTTTTTCTCTATCTCTACTAATATTTAATTTTTCGATGTATAAACATATTAAATATTCTTAAAAATCATTTTTACACTTTAAAATTATTTTTATAATAAATATTTCAATAATTTATCTCTATTTTTTCATTTAATTGTCAAACGTCAAAAAATATTTTTATAAGTAACAATTTTTTAGAAAATAGCTTTTCTAAAATTAATTTGCCTATTAGAAGTTGTTTTTTGTCAAACAAATAGAACTTAATTCATGACGATTCTGGTCAGTTAATTGCTGTTCTGATGACAAGTTTGTCGAAGCTTAAGAAGGCTTCAATTTGGACTTCTTTTGTGGAATGGCAAAATTTTGAAATACAAAATCATTTTTTGGCTTCATGATCTTCATGTGGATGCTCCTGAACCTGCTGTTGTTGAAGCAATTTTACATGGTATACTTATAATGGTTGATGGAGCAGGTGTTTCCATTATCCATCATGTTAGGAGAACTTGTAACAAGGCTGACAATAGTTTTGTCTTCATGCTTTGTTGAATATATCTGCAGCTCCATGTTTCACTTCTGCCCTGCTTAATGCAAATGTACTCGACTATTGTTGTACTTATGGATGTTCTATTCTATTCTATTCATATTAATGAAATTTCCTATTGTTTTTTGCAGAAAAACGAGCAGAACATGAAACAGAAAAGCCTCTCCTCTTCATAATCTGCTCTTAAGTTTCTGCAAGAGGGAGGCAGGCAGGAAATACACAAGGATGGGAAAAAAGGAATTGTTTACACAAACAAATGAAAGAGAAAATGTTTTCTAGAGAAACAATGCTCTAAATATTGGAAATAAATACATGACTGTCCAACAATAAACAGATCAGCTGAATGCTGACAGTAAATGAATCGCACATCAAGCTCGTGGGCCAACAAAATCCAGGCAAAAAGAGGTAAATATGACTGCTAAAGAAGTTTATTTGATATGATTGATTGATGCCTTTGACATGTAACTGCCATTTTTTCAATCTGATCTACTTCGAAATGCATCCTACCTAAAATTTATACAATGTTACAGGAACATGGTGCAGCATCTTGTGCAGCATTAAGAGCATAAACGAACAGAACAGATAAAGGATGCTGCCTCCCATGCACATATGAAAGGAAAATAAATTTTCTAAGACTCAACAAGTAGGAGAGTTGTAACACTTGAACAAAAGCCCCAAGAAGGCCAACATGTAGAGCAGTGAAACAGGTTCTCAGAATGAAAGTTTACGATCCTAGTCAAATTCAGGCAACCATCAGGCCAGCTTACAAGTTGACTTCAGATTTCAACATATAATGCCATGGTGATTAGCGGCGGACAGTTCGAGATTTTGGTCTTGATGGTTTCTGTAAGACAGAAGAAAAGAGCAACGTCTAATTGAGGCTTGAGGGCACTTATTGAAAATATGTACCAAATTAACTGAATTTGTCCCCCCCCCCCCCCAAAAAAAAAAAAAGAAAAAAAAAACACTCACAGATGTAGGTCCAAAGCTAGCCCCAGATCCTGCCACGGTACCTAGCAGGAAAAATAAACAAATTCATTCAGAAACAACTCTTAGTCGCTGAAACTCAATCTCTTTCTTTTATCTTGGTAATACTTTGCACATACTGTAGAAAAATTGCTGAGATTATAGTGGTTACACAACTTTAACTTCCTTCAAGATACTTAGGAAGCACACTGTATGAAAATCCACCATTGGAAGCTTTAAGGATCCAGTAGAACACAAACAGTAAGAAGGTACCTGAAAGGGGTGTTGAAAATAGGGAACCTCCAGAAGAAATAGTACCAAAAGCTGGAGCTGTACTGCCAAACAAAGGGGAAGCTGAAGCAGAGCCAACAGCTGGTGCTAATGATGGAGCACCAATAGCTTGAGTCGCACTGCCAAATAAAGAAGGAGCTGTAGCTGATCCAAACAAAGAGAATGCTGGAGCAGAGGTTGTCGGTGTTGCAAACAAAGAAGATGACATGGAGGAAGATGGCACAGAAGGTGTGCTAAAAAGAGATAATGCATTTCCTGAAGATGATGTTGCTGTAGATGTCTGGGGAGCAGTTGATGCTGAAGAAGTTGCCAAGTTTGCAAACAACCCCGCACCTTTTGTGGAAGGCTGTGCATTTGCAGGCAAATGCAAAGTTGGATGTACCCTTTTAGCAGCAGCTTCTTGTCTTGCTCTTTCACGCCGATCAGCCTCAAGGAATGGATCATTCCCATCCCCTCGACGACGCTGGTCAACAAGATAGGCTGTTTTCATGGATTCAATGTACTGATGAATGCTCTCCACCTATGGGACATTAAAAGACACAATTGAAAATATGCTCTAACCTTTGGCACACAAACATGCTTGCACTTTCAAGGAAAATCCACATGTATGTTAAATCAAATATGAACCTCGACTATGTGGCAATTTTTACTTGAGTAATATAAGCCGCAAGTACCATCCAATAATTAAACTAGCATGGCATAGTTGTTATGTGCATGTATTATGGATTGATATTCTATAACGCTTAGGAAAAAAGAATAAAAAAGAGCACTTCAGATTTGTGATCATACTTTTAACTGATTTCAAATAAAAAATAAAATAAAATAAACCATCAAACCCAACTGTTGACAGTCAGAGAAGAGGATATTTTCATAGGTCTATCCTTATAAACATGGCAATGAGAAAATTCTCAGATCACATGTCCATCAGCCTACAAATATACTGTGTAGAAAGATATCGACCATCAAAACATATTCCAGCAAAACACAATGGCATATTAACAACAGGTTAAGGGTTACAAGCATATTTATCTTTATTTACCTTAGCAGCTACATGAACAAAAAAATCATGCACATTTGACATGACTTTTGGCAGAGACTGCAACAATGAGGATCCAGGGTGGGAAGAGTTCCTGTCAGAATCTAAGAGGAGCAATTGCTCTAATTCTTCAATCCACTGCCTGCATTCACCCAAATACTTTTCAAATCTAGCAACTGTCTGCTGTAAAAAGGGAGATGGTTTCTTTGGAAGTCCACTGTAAAAATCAAACACTGGAACTATAGAGGAAGATGTTGGCTGACTAGGGGAACCGGCCATTGCTGTTGTTCCAGAAGGTTGGGACGGCGCTGTGGCATTTGAAGCACCAATTAATGCATTCGAATGAAGGAATCTAGGACGTAGCATTATGAAAGAACGAACAGCCATCTCTGTGTTCCGCAACATGTCTTTAACATTAGTCATAAGCTCTTGTAAAAGAGCTTTCTGTCTCTCCATGGAAGTACTGATTCCCCCAAGCTCCTGAAAATATGGCTAAAATATTCATTATCGTCCCACGTGCATAACTAAAGATCATGGCAGTACTACAAAGGGTGACTAGCCATGAAACATGTGAATCTTAGAAAATCTTTCATTCATGAAGAAAAAAGATATCCTGAAAAATAAGTAGACTAAATCTTTATCTTGTGGTCACATAATATACATTGGTAGCCTATATCTTTACGTGCCACCTTAATTCTCCTGCAATTAACATTGCCTTAGATTTCAACCCTAGAAAGCATATTCAAGTTTATACAATGTATATGTTTAAAAAGATGCAATATACATGTCATGCAGATGGAATCAACAAGCCATTCTTTGCCACTAGCAAACTATAATTTCTAAATTACTAAACCTCATAAGTGGTTTGAGTTACATTAGGACCATAGCATACTTTCAGGTGTCAGCCAGATTTTCGTCCACATGACTATAGGAATCCACAAATATCCAACAATGTGCAATCCAAGTAACATCAGTTAATTAATTAATTAATAGAAAGATTTTTACACACACAAGCAATGCCATCCACTTATTCTGATGCACACAACAACAATAATTGGCCACACAAAAAACAGAAGTAAGAACCTGAATAATTTGGCTCGCATCAAGCTCAAACCCTTCATTGGAAACTGAAGAGTCATAGAGGCGACTACACTGATCTAGCATCTTACTCTCATCCCTATACTCCAAGACTCGCTCCCTACATAAAAAAAGAAAAAAATTCACTTGAGAACCTCAAAGACCACATATTAGTTGTAACAAATATCACACAAAGAGTTATATTTCAGCTCAAACACAACAATTTACCAAACAAGAAAAAAAATCCATTACCCACTAGTTCAGGACAAAGAACCCTCAACATTATTTAACTGCATAATCCTTAATTTTAACCTTTTAGGGGTCAGAGGATTGAAACATGAATCCTTTCATAGGCCCAATTCAGATACTTCAAGTTCCCTTCAATTGCTAATTATAGAGTAAACTAAACCAAACTCTCAAACCTTAAGTATACTTGGCTATCTAAATAAAGCATAGAAATCAATAACTTCTACTTTCACAAACCTATAACAAAGCATATTTCCTAAGATATCTTATTTTCTAGCAACAGATTACACAAAATAAACAGAACACATAATTCAAGGTCCCACAATGTACATTTATTAGACCTTTTTACGCAATTATAGGTCTCAGAAGCTAATTCTAGTTAGTCAATAAAAATATATTTCAATGCTATTCTTTTCTTCTTTCTTTTCTTATCTTTTCTTTTCTTTTCACATGTCCTCGGTAACCAGAAACCCAAAACAGAAAACTCAAAAGTGACAAAAACTCAAGAAAACATACTCAATCTGAAGCAAAACTTTCTGGGAATCAGGGTGAAGATCTGCCCATTTAGTGCTATAACTTGCCGGAGCCCTATCATTAGTAAAAATATACAATTGCTGCTGCTGCTGCTGCTGTTGAAATTGTTGTTGCTGTTGCTGTTGCTGTTGCTGAAACTGCTGCTGCTGCTGTTGTTGGGGAAACTGCAACTGTTGTTGTTGTTGCTGCTGCTGCTGCGGAAAAAGAGGGCTGCTTTGTTGAAAAGGTTGAGGATGAGGCTGAAATAAAGATGGGGTTTGCTGTTGTGGAGTTGAAAAAGAAAATGCCATCTGGGTTTTCGATTTTGATGTCAATGTTTGTGTCTCTGGTTGTGATTTTGTTGTGTTCTTGGTTTTCGAAAGGGGTTTTGGTGAAAAACCCTAATTTGAAAACCCTAGAGAGGGAAATTGGATGAATTAAAATATCGAGAAAAGACCGATGGTATGAAAGACCCGCCTTTGCGTCTATTGATTTTTTTTGGGAATTTTATTTCAAAGGAGTGGTATTAGTGGTTATTTGCAAAAGAGGGGACCTTTTAGAAGATATTTCAAAGTTTGGGCAGTTTTCCTGATCAGTTTCGGCAAATTAGTCCTAATGAAAACAATTCCAACTTCCAACCCCTTCTTTTAGGCTTGTGCCACACTAATTTTAAGAGAAATTTTATAATACACCAGGAGTAACTAGTGTCATATACAGTAATTACTTCATGGATCCACTTTGAGGAGAGAGACAGATACATAAAAAAAGATATAAATTATATCTATACACATCAAAAGTGAGAAGAAGATTTTCACGTCCGCTTAAATTTTTTTATTTTCTCTCTCTTTTTTGTATGTTTATCTCTCTCTTCAAAATGGACTCATGGAGTAACTATTGTACATATCACTAGTTACTCCCGATGTATTATAAAACTTCTCCTAATTTTAGTTCCTCCTTTATAAACCTAATCCATGTCGCAATAATTTTTAGTTTTTTTTTTTACTGAAAACCAGTTGATTGGCTTGATTTGAACAAAAAAAAATTGTGGATTACTTGCTAAATTTTAACTTCAATTGAAGAAAAATATTTTTGCTTAAATAGGACGTTCCACTTCCTCTTATTTGCATGCTCTTTTGTATGTTTTTCTACAAGATTAGAAGTGCAGGGAATCACGAAATGCTAAGTTCCAAGATGTGTTTTTATTTATTTGATTATTTGATTATTTTAATGAAGGAAGAGATGATTCATTAATTGAAAACAAAGTCAAATACAAAGGGATGAAGCACCATTGGTTTGCCAACGAAAGCAAACCAAATAAAAAGGCCTTGCAGAACTTTCTGGTAAATCTCTCTATCGTCCACCATGACAAAACATACTCACAGAAACATCACCACTCACGTCACAACTCCCCATCTCCCTTTATAAATAAATAAGCGACTCCATCTCTTTTACTCATTTAAGCTTCTTTCAGACATTGTTCTCTTTAGCCAGAAAGTTTAAGCAATGGCAGAGAAAAGCAAGATCTTATTGATTGGAGGTACAGGATACATAGGAAAATTCATAGTAGAAGCAAGCGTCAAGGCAGGCCACCCGACTTTTCTTCTTGTCAGAGAGGCCACTCTCTCTAGCCCTGCTAAATCCGTTCTCATTAACAACTTCAAGAATCTTGGTGTCAATTTCCTCATTGTAAGTGTTCTGTTATGGACCAGCAAAAATTAAATGAAAATTCTCTACAAAACTGACATTGCAAATGATAAAATCTTTGCTGTTGCATCAGTGTGTATGAATATTTGGTATGATTTGTTTACTCGTATGATGGTATTTGGTTTTGTAGGGAGATTTGTTGGATTATGAGAGTTTGGCGAAGGCAATAAAACAAGTGGATGTTGTGATATCTGCCATTGCATATGATCAGTTAGAAAATCAAAACAAGATCATTGCTGCCATTAAAGAAGCTGGAAATATAAAGGTATGTTGTTAAATTTGTTTGAGCCTCCTTATAATTTCAGAAGAAATGAAAAGAAACTGATTGGTCGAATCAAATTTATTAATTCGAAAAAAGAATCAGGGTAGCTAATGAAAACTGTTTTTATTACAGAGATTTTTCCCAACAGAATTTGGAAATGATGTCGACAGAGCACATGCTGTTGAACCAGCAACAGCATTAATTGATACGAAGGCTAAAATTCGACGAGCTATTGAGGCTGAAGGAATCCCGTACACTTATGTGGCATCTAATTCTTTCGCTGGTTTCTTTCTTCCAGCTTTGAAGCAACCTAGATCTGGGGGTTTGGGTTCGTTTATCCGACCACATGATCAGGCTTCAAGCATCGATAGCAATTCAGGAACAACCTCGAACCAACCTGGAGCTCCTGCTGCTGCCCCTAGAGATAAAGTTGTCATTTTAGGTGATGGAAATACTAAAGGTAATTAATAGCATCTTTTATTATTCAATTACAATGTTTTACTAGAGATTCTTCTTAATTGAGTGTAGTTTCATATTTCGATGTACAGTGGTTTTCAACAGGGAAGATGACATTGCCACATACACTATCAAAGCAGTGGATGATCCAAGAACAGTGAACAAAAACCTCTACATTAAACCCCCTGCCAACATCATCTCATCCAATGATCTTGTTTCTTTGTGGGAGATGAAGATTGGGAAAAGAATTGAAAGGATCTATGTTCCGGAGGAGCAACTTCTGAAGAATATTCAAGGTATGAATGTCATTTCATTGACTTTGAACGGAAAAGGAAAATCTATTCATTTCACTAGCATCCTTTAGGGCTAGGAATGGCAATTTGTCCCGCCTCGTCCCGGCCTGGTCAACGCGGAGATTCCCCAAGTTGACTGGAGAACGGGGCGAGACGCCCTTTCCCGTATTAATTTTGAACGGGAATGGGTTAGGGATAGTATTTATCTGTTCTGTCCCATTTGTCCGCTTTATTTCTTAAATTATAATTATACCCTATATAAAATCTGTAATTATTAACTTTTAGGGTTTATTTTCTATATAAACTATCTTTTTTTTTCTATAGTTTGAACTTTGATAATAGAATAGAGCAAAAACAAAAAATTAAACAAAATACCAATGTCCCGTGAAGATCTCCGTCCCTGTTTGGGCCAAGGATGATATAAGAAATATTGCTCAGCGCAGGGCACAGGACGGGAACAGGGCAAAATTTTCAGGAGCGTGGATGGCCCCCATTGCCATTCCTATTTAGGGCTCTGTCAGCTTGTGTAGAAAAATTTTACGAAACACTGTTGTTCATAGTTTCAGTTGTTCAAAGCTAAAATTTTAAAGTAAGACAGTTTGACATTGCTTCTCCTCTCTCTTTGCAGAAGCTTCAGACTTTCCACGCAAAGTGATTTTATCGATTTGTCACTCTTTGTTTGTAAAGGGAGATCAGACCAACTTTGAGATCGAGCCATCATTTGGCGTAGAGGCTTCTGAGCTCTATCCTGATGTCAAATACACTACTGTAGATGAATACCTTAACCAGTTTGTCTGAGTCTTCGCATTAACTAAGCAGAATTACCTCAATAAATAATCTTGTCGGTACCTGCAATGCTTGCATTTGTATCAGTCATCATGGTGCTTGCGTCGTACATATCTTAGGGATTATCAAGATACGATTCAGAATAGCACGGGACTTAATTGCTCAATTTCAACTTGATATTGTTTGCCTTTTGGAAACAGAGGTGTCTGATATATCTGATTCTATCATCAATGGTATTTGGGATGGTTATGACATTAATTAAATGGGAAAGTATAGGTGCAGAAGGAAGGTAGGCCAAGATCTGAGTTATGTAGTCCCATAACACAAAGACGAAAGGTATTTGGAAATCCATCTTGGAAATAAACCCCTCAAGTTTTCACAATCACCTCATTGGCAATCAAGGCACATCTAGAATGATAATCAATCACCACCTCATTCATGATTTTCGGAAGTCCGAGGAACAAAACCTTTGCAACTATCTTAGAAAGATCATATTGACGAAGCTAATGGGTGTAAAACTAAAAAGAAACTCGCTCCACTTACTTTTGGAATCGTAACAAAAGAATTATTATACTCAATCAACGATGGTCAAGTTGCCTCTTGATGGTCACATGTTCACTTGGTTTCAGACAGGCTCTATGAGTAAAATCGATAGGCTTTTGCTAGTCCTGATGGTTGCTTTTCTTCCCTGATTCCAAGCTAACGGCTCAGCAGCGGGGTCTTTCTGATCACTGCCCTTTTGTTCATGGTCCTCATTCAATAAATTGGGGGTGGAAACCTTATTGTTTCTCGGATTGCTGGAGGCCCATCCTAATTTTCAGAGTATTTTGAGGGAAAAGTTGAGGGAGTAGAATGTGTATAGCTTTAGGGAATTGGATATACTGCTTACGGAAACCTAAAAAAATATTGACATTGATCTCCTGACAGAAAAACTGGATTTCAATGCCTCTGAACTGGACAGCTACAGGTTTCTCAATGCCTGGTTATGGGATATCAGTCGTCCTATTAGAGGCAAAAAACTAGATCTTCTTGGCGCAAGCTAGGTGACCGGAACACTATATTCTTCCATCTATCAACTACTATCAGATCCATGAGTGGATGTCTCCATGTGCATTTGGGGCTAAAATCAAACAGCACCCATGGGGCAAGAAATTGTGCAAATTCAACTCTACCATTCAAGAAAAAACCTAAAAAACTTTAGCGAAAATGATAAAGAAGCTAAAAACAATTGATCAAAGAGCACTCTATTTTCGAGAAAGTTTCTCAAAAATCTAACCAAATGGCTTGATTAACGTATATTTTACCTTTAGCTCGAACAAAATTAGATATTGTTCTTATGTTTTTTTTTTTTCTTTTTTGATGATTTTTGTAAAATAATTTAAATTGGTTTTTAAAATTTTATTTAAAGAAAAGTTTAATATGTTTTTTTTTTAAATAACTTCTAAACTTGCGGTTGATATAACTATATATCTACCCTAATATATCCATTAAAAAATTTTCCATACAAAGATATATATCAACAATGATTATATTTGGAATAGGCAAATGTAATGCAATCATGACAATAAATGCATGTAAAACATATATGGAGGGCACATGAACTAACCAAAAGCACATCTCATAGAGTCAAACCCCCCAAAAAAAAAAAAAAAAAAAATCACAGTAATTTTAATTTTCTTTCTAATTTGAACCCTGATTTACTTTCTCGACACTTAAATACTACATAGTAACTAAACCCTTCGATCCATTATTAGGACCAAAATGGAAGAGACAAAAAACAAGGAACACCAAAATAACATACTATTTCATCATTTAAGACCATTTCCAGGAGTCGAAATAGCAAGATCAGGCCAAGAAAAGCAATCACCGCCGACAAACCCATTTTCCTGACCATTCTCGAACTGCCACGTGTTGCCCAATCCTGTTGTGGCAGCAACCCCGCCATGAGCGCCTATACCAGCACCACCATCTGCCATTCCCGGAAAAGGCCAGACCCCTCTTCCGAGAGCAAAGTTCACGTCTTCAAGCCCAGGCCCAATTCCAAGCCCAAATCCATTGAGAGCCAAAAACCCAGCTGGGCCTTGAGTATTCAACAAAGACGTAAAACTCCCACCCAGACCACCACCACCACAGCCTCCGTTGCCCTTCCCGTCACCACCACCCCCGCCAAAGTGTACGGAAAAACCCTGATTGGCTGTGAGCGGGAGCAGCACTGGGGTAGCAGACAACGGTAAGCTATCGATGTTACTGCCGGTAAGAGGACCTACAAAGGAGGCAGGAGAAGTAGACGAAGTACGTGACCTTTTAGCATTTTTTCGAGTGCCACCACCAACAGGGATGTCCCGGAGAGTGCCGCCGTGAGTCCAGTAACGGCGGCAAGACTTACAGAAGTGACGAGGCTGAGAGAAGTTGTAGTTGTTGTAGTAACAAAACTTAGTATTTGTTGAGTCACAACGGGGACATGGCAAGTGCTCTTGCTCCTGAGGCGGTGCTCCTCCTGGCTTGGTTAACGTTGCTGCTGTTGATTGCTGTGGCCGCCTTGTTGTTTCACTGCTTGACAATTCTGTTGGCATTTTTGGCAAAGAAAGCGTTGAGTTAGAGAAGTTTAGTTACGTTTTGTTAGGATGGAAAGATCGAAAGAAGGGTTTCAGTGTTTGGTCTGTGAAGGTGAGAAATGTGGGTGGCGAAGGGGGTGATAGAGGGGGATTTATGGAGAGAGTGGCTGGGGGAGAATCTAAAAAATTCTGAGGGATATAAGAGGGTGCAGTGCACGTCAGAGAGAGAGAGAGAGAGAGAGAGAAGCAGCAGCAGCAGCTTTTACAGTGTTCTGTTATAGGCAGTAAGCAGGCACGACATATTCAGTCGGCTCCAGAAATGGGTTTTTTTATGGGGGTCAGCTCTAGCTTAGGTATGCGGCTCCTGTTCTTACCTCTCTCTGTCTTTCTCTTTCTATCTCTGCTTTGAAACGAGATACTATTCTTACTACTGCTACTGTTTTGTTACTTGTAAAACTCGTTAGTCTTGAAATACACAATTGGGAATGGGATTACTGCTTGTCTGCCTAATCTTTTCTTGGTTTATGTGGTGAATAATGAATTTGATCTTGGAGTCTCCTGTCATTCTGTTCTACAGACTTTAAGACTACTCCTTAATCATATCTCTTAAATGGAAATTGTGTACTACTAAATTACATTAAAAAAAAAAAAAAGAGTAAAAATGTTAATCTAAGAGAATTAGTTTAAATAAAAATGACTCTAATCGTTTATATAAGTGATTTCAAGTTTAAATTCTTATATATGTAAAAAAACTTTCTAAATAGCAATCTTTGAATAATATTTTCGATAGAATAGCAAGAGATTAATCTAGATTTTTAGGTATAGTATACCTTAAACGATAAAAAAAGAAATAAAATTATGCTAATCAATTGATAAACTAAGATACTGAATTTTTTTTTTTAATTTTTTTTGGCTGAAATGATGTCGTTTCTTTGGTGGTGGGGGAAGGGATGTGATAAGTTAGGTGGAAACATTAGCATTATTAATCCAAAAGGGGGCCCTTTTAGTTCTTGATTAATCTAATACGATACCAAGAAAGGCTGAGATTAGAAAAAGAGAACAAAAAAACAAAAAGAAAATACATCATTTCAACAACCCAATACAAGCTCCATCTTGATTAAGATGGTGAGGAAATCAGATTCAAAGAAGCTAGCTACCTTCCAAATTCCAATAATACAAGCATTATAAGAGAATCATAGCTTTTTTTTTTTTTTTTTTACTTCATTAGGTTGTCCTTGCCCGTTAATTAATGCAATTATAGGTAATATATTGGTACCTAACTCGCAAATTATTTCATGTAAATAGGTAATTTCTTTGCCCCTAAGCTTGCATGCAATAATTAACATCATGTATTGTCAATTTGAATACCATACAATGAATCTCAGTTTCTCGATCGCAGCACTCTTTCTTTTTCACCATCCAATAAAATCCCAACATAATTTAAAAAATATCATTGACCTCGTGGCTCGTATTTTTAGATGAACAGTCACGTAAATAGAATAGAATAATAATTAAAAATTCTTTGTTTATTGTTGATTTCTTCTCCATAACGAATTTCTTATCCACGAAAGATTTCTTATATATCAAGGATTTTGGCCATTGTATATAGATGAGTAAGTGTGTGAATTTAAAACATAAAGGTTGGGAGGTTTTTTTTATTTTTTTTTTATGTAAGAATGGATATATAAGGATTTTTTGGAATGGGTTTTTGGATATAAAAAATCAAAATCATTTTCTTGTAATATTTTTTCTGTCCATAAAAAAAAAAAAAAAAGAGTTAAGAGATTTTCTTTAAATGTGATAGTGAATGTACAAAAAGTTTTGGAATTGGATTTTGAGTATAAAAATAATAATTATATTCTTGTCTTAATTTTTTTAATCAAGAATTATTTTCAAATTTGTAGAATAAATATAATTTTGACGAAGTATTTTAGATTTTTGTATTTTTCTTCTCTTTAATTAATTTTTTTGTGATGGTGTGTTTAATTTTCCCAACAAAAAATGTCATCAAATACTCACATAACCAATGCAATCATATGAATTAGATTTCATCAATGTCGTCTTTGTCACCTTCCGATAAAAAAACAATATGTCTGTCAACTTTTTTCTTCACATAGTCATCGCTAGGACGTTTCAAAACCATTTTTTAAGCAAAGATGACCAAACCCAACAACATGGTAACACTACAAGTCCATCGCTACTCACTTATTTTAATATCCCCCTAGTTGCCACCCAAAATGCACAGATTTTGTGGTGGGCTACACATGATCCTAAACATAATCCCACTCTAACTCCATGATTACTAAAATTTTGGATAGACGGGGTATTATAGAATGTTATGTGGGCTGGCTGGCTACTGGCTACTGGCTACTGGCTAATGGACCCGAGAGAGCCAAAGAAATTCAAGAAGCTACAGGCGGGAGAACAGAGGACAGGGATTTAGAGAGATTGAGAGCGACTTTTGATGAGATAGAAGTAGAAGGAGGAGGGTGATGGTGGTGGGACAGAACCGACAGAATCATGGGTGTCGGGCAGCGTGGGATACAATAATTGGGTCTTCCCTCTGATTTCGGACGCGTCATGTCCGCATCAGATTCCTTCCTCCGTACCACCAAACTAGCCTTTGCCCTAGCACTCTACTGCTTCTGACTCCTCTCCTCCTCTCTTATTACTACCACATCAATCTCTTGCCGGATTTCACGCTTAACTGTTGTCCTTGCCAAACAACACTGTTTCCTTCTTTGGACACACATTATCCTTTTCCCATATCATCACCCTTTGATTGTCATCTACTTATGGGGTGCGATGAATTCAAATCTGATGCGTGATGGTGATCAATGTCACATTAACCTAGCTACATCTTGTAGTCAAAGATTGAATGGGATGGATGGACCTTTGTTTCTCTGCATGTGCTTCTGCTCGTGGCAGCAGCCCACAGATTTGTTCATACATACATATATATATATATAGTCCAGCATGCATTTCGTTGGATTGGAAAATTTGAATCGAAGGTTTAAATCCTATCATGTTATTGCCGATTCACACAAATATTGTTAACCCTAAAAAGGCAAGAAATTCTTGTCAGGAGTTTCGTGTTTTATTTCTAAAGTCGTCTTGCTTATAATGGATAATTGAGTATAATCAATATCAGCTAATATAGAACAACTTCCTTGATTATTATCTTTTCTACTTCGCTTCCAAACAAAAAAACATCTTCTCATTTCACAAATCTTAATTTGTTAAGTAATGTCAACTAACAGTTGTACTTTGCCCAGGTCATGGGATAGGGTCTTTATAGTGTTTTTGCTCTGAGCCTGTAAAGTGGATAAGTATGTTGTACCCCTTGTCTTATTGACCATCCTCTTCCAATCTCTTGTACTTTAATTTTCTTTAATAAAATGGATTTCATTCTTCCAAAATAAAGAGGAAACAAAAACATTTGTATTTGATTCACCCATGATGTAGCTCTTCACATGCGACTTAGATATCTGAAGGGATGCCATCATCTTTGCTCATTAGCTTTTATATATATATACATATTGAATAAGAACACTGGCTAAACGTCTGGTTGATTAAGTTGGGCGAGGGCAATTAGCAAGTTTTTTTTTTTTTTTCTATTCGGGGGGCCAAGGATTGTCATTTACTTTAGGGTTTGGTAAATTCAAAATGTTATGTCAATCATTTACGAAGACAAAGCACTGTTGATGTGGAAAACTTCGTAAGGAAACAAAGAACAGTTTTTTGGGTCCCTAGGTTGAACAAAAGAGTTAGTAGATGCATGGTTACAAATTCGACAACACATATCAGAAAAAGAGAAATTTTATAATAAATAAATAGTAAATAATAACATATATATTAGATATTCTATACATTCATATGAAAAGAGAGATAAATAAATAAAAATAAAAAAATTATGCGAATGTAAAAATTTATTTATCATTTTTAATAAATACAGATGTAATTTTTTTTATGTATCTATCTCTGTTCAAAGTAAATTTATGAAATAACTATTATTTTTATTATTAATTATTATTTATATATTATAAATTTATTTTTAAAAGAAGACAAACATAAACTCTCTCTCTCTCTCTCTCTCTCTCTCTCTCTCTCTCTCTATATATATATATATATATATATATATATATATATAAAAGAGTACCAATTTAAGGAATTCACTTAAATTTCCAACAAAAGGATCTCTTTTCGCTTTTGTAGCTAGCTCTTCGTTGAACAGAAACAGAGTGCCATGCCTAACCAATACCGGTTCAAAACATGTGCCTAGGACTTAAGAGATGCCCCATGAACCAAATCATAGACAAGGATGTAGCTGGCTGGCTAAGGTTATCTTTTTCTCAGTCATACTAGTTAATTTGTAGTCAAAAAGTGGAGTCCCTAGAGCAGGGAAGATGACATGGGGAGGGGTCCCAACACATGAACAGAGACACCTGTCACCAAAGGACTTGAAGCTGTCGGCAGATAGAGGTGGGTCATGGCCATTGCTGTGGTGGTGTAATGGATTCGATTCTATCTCTCTCTCTTATTAGTCCAGTGGCACGCGGGGGCAGTGTAGCCATCTAAGTGTCTCCTTGACACAATCATACGTCGCTTTCAACAAAACATCGTTGAGTCGATCAGCCACAGCCTCAGCCTCAGCCTCAGGCTCAGCCACCCTTCTCGGCTAAGCAACCATATGGTGTAGCAGTTCAGTACTGTGTTATTCGGTCGCCCATAAGAACTGACAATCTGTTCTTTTCTTCAGATTGAAACTCTGCTCCCCTCCTTTTCTTTTTGGCATTTTCTCGGGGCATTATGATTCCGTCACATGGATTTTAGTTGGGATTTCCCAGTCCCGAGGTTTTCGTCCTCCATAAAAACGTGAATGCCATTATTAATTTGTCTAATCTTCATCCCTACCTTTCATATATAAGAGATCGTTCGGTGGTAGGTACAGCGTTATTCTCGCTCTAATTGTCAATCAATATCTCACTGCATGCATGGTGTTGAATTGCTGTTTTTATGGCCAGTGCAGGTCTAGCCTTTCCTAGTTTTATTACAGACCATTACTGGTTGGCTGCTTGCACTCGTGGATCCAGCATGGATGAGATAAATTGAAAAAATTATTTTTGCTTAATAATATATACTATATTAGAAATAGATTAAAATATATTGAATTAAATGTAAAAAAAAATCATCTAATTTTATAATTTATTCTTATTTGTGTTTTTCATAAATTTTGTAGGTAAAAAAAAACATGATTTATTCTTTCTTATGAATTGATTTTTAAATAAAATTTGTAATGATCTAAATAATATATTTAATCCAAAATTATAAAAATACCTTAATTTTTTTTATAAAACTACATCGAAAAAATAAAACAACAATTAATATAAAAACATGTACAAAAATTAATAATTTTTTTTCATTCTTATTTAATGATGAAAATATATGTTTTTTTTAATATGTACATTTGATTCATGTATATTTATTTACAAAAAAATCAATAATATTAGTATAAAAAGTTATATTTGAATCGAGTTGATGGTTCTTCTAAAATATTATTTTAATTATTTTATTTGTAAAAAATTAATTTTAGAATATTAAAAAAATAATAATAGCAAATGGTTGATGTTATTTATGTAGGTGCATAGTTAATTTTTAATAAAATTAATTAACTTATTTTTATACACGCAAACACGTCATTGATCATACTCGGTGGATTCATAGTGTAGGGAATAAATAAAAAATATTTTTTAAAAAATAAGTTGCTATAAATATATTAAAGTTAAAAGATTGAAATAAATAAATAAATAAATAATACAAAATTGATTTTGATAAATTTTGATTATATAAAAAAAAAACATGTTAATTCTATTTTTTTAATTGATTGTTTATTTTGTTTTAGAAGGTTTGAGACAAGTTATTTAAAATATAATTTTATCTTTTAACACTTTTATTTAAAAATCATAAGAATCCATTATATATATATATATAATAATCATGTTATAAAATTTTATTCAAAAATCCATACATAGAAAAAATATATATATTTATTAACAAATAAAATTGTATAAAAATAAAAAAATAATTTCATGAGTATTGTTTCGGTAAGAAACAACAAATCAAAAAAAAATTAATTTTAAATAATAAAAGTAATATGATGCAATATATATGTTCATTCTAAATTTTAAAAATATACTATATATATTTTATTACCGACTAAGCTGTGTGGAAAAAAAATAATGATTGGTTTTCTATAATTTTTTCACCCAATTCAACAATAAAAAAAATTTTTAAAAATTAAAAACCATTTCAATGAACACACACAGATATATATATATTTATCAGATCAAAAACAACGACTAAACAAAATTCACAAAGTCAAATATGTTGGATAATTAATTAGCATGTTCTAGTAGATATGCTATGATTTTGGTTAGCAAGGTTGAAGGCAAAGGTTGTTGTGCGGCTCGCTTGTTACTGCATCAAATATAATTTTCTCGATTTAGTTTATTTAAAGGTCGTTTGGTACCATTTTTTAATTTTGTTCTTAAAAAAAAATCATATTTATTGTTTACCGTTTTTTAATATTTGTTCGCATGCATGAAGAAAAAATTCTTATACGAACTTAATTATATATATATATATATATATATATATATATATATATATATATATATATATATATATAATGCATTATTAATTAAAAAATATATAAAAAAATATTACGTAATTTAATTATTATGATTAAATGATACTATCATGTGAATATATACATCGTAGTGGTAATACTATGATGGCATAGGTGATGATTGATATGAAGCTAAACGACAAAGATTATAATAATATCATTTTTTTTATATATAACTGTAATTTTATTGATAAATAATAATGATGGTAATAGGTGATAATGATACAACAAAATTGGTTGCATTAATATGATTATAACAAACATAATCATAATAATTTTACTAATGTTATAGGAATAATGGTAATGATATTGAAAGAGTTGATGATAGGGATGGTGATGTATAGGGATACTAGCAGTGAAAAGGTGAAATGAAAACGATGGTTAATTATCATGGTTGAATGGTACTATCATGTCAATAAATGCATGGTAATTATAGTACTATGATGACATAGGTGATGAATGAAATGACGCTATATGGTAAGGATTATAGTAACATTAATTTTTTGATAATTGTAATTTTATTGATAAATAATGGTGATCGTAGTAGTTGGTGATGATATATAATAAAAACAGTTAGTAATAATATGATTATAATAAATATAGTCATAATAATTTTGCATATGTTTTGAAGAAAGTTGTAATAATATTGATAGAGTTAATAGTAAGAGCAACAGTGATATATAGAGGTACTGGCAATGAGGAAGTAAAATGAAAATAGTGGTTATAATAGTTATGAAAGTGGCAGTTGTTATTATAGTTATAATGGTGGTGGTGGTGGTATTATGACTACTGTAGTTATTGTAATTGCGATAGTGACAATAAGAGTGATTTTGATGGTGTGGTGATGATTACGGTGAAAATTTGATGTTGTTGTGAGGATAACATGATATCTTACAAACAAATAAAAAACTAAAATAGAAAACCATGTTTTTATTGTTTTTAAAGGATTTGTTTTAATTTTTAAAATTATTCACAAATAATAATCATAATAAACACAAGATTGCAAAAAAAAAAAAACATTTTTTTATTTTTTTTAGGAAAAAAAAAAGAATCATAGTGATACCAACACAACACCTTAATATATATATATTTTTTCTATTTTAAACATTTGTAATTTTTTTTTTTTATTGTTTGAGTGTGCAGACTTTCAATTTTTTTCCAATCAAGTTTTCATGTTAGATTTCTTCAGGTAAATGTTGGTATGGCTGTTAAATTGGCACAATTGCATGCTAATGTGTCTCACCGCACGGCATGAAATTTTTATTTTATTTCTAATCGAATGTAGAAAGAAAAAACACATAATTTCCTAAAAACCTAAAACAATAAAAAAACTAATTTTTAAAAAGACTAAAAAAATAAATATTAAACCCTAGAAACCACAAAACTCATGAAAGAAAAAAAAAACTCATAAAATGGAAAAAAAAGTTATATCCATAAAGGCTCATGATAGAAATATGGCCATGACGATGAAATAAATTTGTAGGACACAAAATTTTTAAAATTTTTACTAGTTTTCCATTTTTTAAAATATTTTTATTGGATATTTCAATTGTTTCGAGAGGTTTTAACTTTTTTATGCTACTAGCTTTTTTGTCTTTCCTATTTATGGAGTTTTTTTTTTTTTTTTTTGTTGTTAATAGCCCAATCTATGCTTATATAATTAGATCATTCTCTAATTTATTCTTACATCAAGCTTCTAATATCATCATTTTGACAAGTTTTTAAGTTAAATTATCGAAATTAGTAATCCAATTTGCATATGATATTTTTTATTTTCAAAATACCCTTTCGGGTTAGACAAATGAAAGTCTTTAAGTCTTTTTTGTACAAATCACATAACTAATTCCGATAATTTTATATAAAAATCTTGATAGAAAGGTAGATTAAAAGCTTAAATATACATGGAACAGCAAAACTAACTCAATTATAGATAAAACGATAGATTGTAAAATTATCAAATTATATTAAAACATAGTCGGTTTTTTTTTTTTTTTTTTTTTTTTTTTTTGGTAAGCCGCAACCTGAATTAAAGCACTGAAGGCCAAAACCAGCCAAACATGGAGAGAGATACAAAGCATCAGCTGCGACTAAAAAACAGCAAGAGTACAAGAGCAGCAGAAGTATAGACTAGATCAACCAAAGTACCAACAAAGAACAAACCCAAAACGCATATAACTAGCAAAACCCAACCAATCCAGAACAAAAACCCAGCCTCTAAAAATTTGTTAAGTTTTTTAATTTTTTTTTGAATTTTTAAAAATTAATTATTTAATTTCTTAATTAATGTTGATCACTTTTAATTTAATATTATTTTATTTATAAAATTTCATCTTTTCGTATCAATTCTTTAATATTTTTTTTGCCTATTTTTTCTATTTTTTAAATAAATAAATCAAAATAAATTGAAAAGGAGTTAAAATGATTAAATTACAAGAAAATTTTAAAATATAAAGACTATATAATTTAATTTTAAAATAAAAAGGATGAATTAATTTGTTTCTCGAAACTAAAAGGACTAATGTATAATTTACTCAAGGTGCTGATCAAACATTTATATATAAACTTCAAGAATTAATTTGGAATTTGAATTATCAAGTGTTCCATGTGACTACTACCTCTGGTCAAGTTATATATATATATATGTGTATATAGTATTGTTTCAATTTTAACCTTGTTTAAGTTAATATTTTACTTCAAATTACATAATTATTAAAATTATTTGATTTTTTTTTAAAAAAATTGGTATAAAACATTATATACGTTTGGATAAAATTCATTTTATATTGAAGCAAGACATGAAATATATATATATATATATAAAATAGTGAAATTATTTATTAGATGGATTTGGAATTATATTCGATATGGTTAAAATTCAAATATAGATATAAAAAAGGATTGACTTTAGTGAAAAGAGTATTAAACGTTTAAACAATCTGGTTTCGAATTCGAGTTCTTATGTATATAAAAAGCTCTTTAGCTGATCGTTTTTGTTTTATTCATACAACATAACAACGATGCATTATTTTGAGTTTTTGAATTTCAGATACCTTAAAGGATTATTTTTTTAAAAAAAAAATTGAATCGAAATTTATATAATCTTATAGAATTCATTTATTGTTGAACAAACCAAATATAAATATAGTATCATTCATCTATCCTAATTCAATATAACAATTGTTTTCCTTCTAAAAACAAAAAAGTACTAACCACTGGGAAAGGACAGGAATTCAAATTCTCGATCCATTTGATGGGTTACATGGTTCCTGATTCTGTACTCGTTGATCACGGATGGGCCCTTCCTTATCCAAATCCAATTGATAAAATCCTTGTTTTTTTTTTTTATAAAAAAAAAGAAAAATACTTTATATGGGATGGATAGTTTTGTAATTTACTAATTTGATTTTTCAATTCCCGCTTCTCTTTTCCCAATTTCCAAATCTATATCCCAAACCGCTGCTGCTGAGCACCGAGTAGAAGAAACGAGCAAATTATCTTAATTTGTAGTAATTGAAGAGCAAACAGAGAAATGTGATTCGCGGAGAAGAAAGATCGTTCGCTTTTGCTGCTTCTTCAACGACAAACCCAATTCATTTCCCCAGACATACAGATCTAATCTCGGTCTCTGCATCTTTCTCCAGATTATTGGTCAGTTTGGGTTTCTATTTCTTTCTTTATTTCTGTTTTTCAAATTTAAATCAGCATTTCCAATCAAAAAAAATGGTTAATTATTGGTCTTTTTTTTTTTTTTTTTTTTTTTTTTTTTTTGCATATGACTGCTGAGACGACGGCATTTTGAATGAAACATTGAGAAATTAAAATTAATTTCATTTTTGATATATACTTCGAAGAATTCTACGTCGATCAATGAGTCTTTTTGTGAGGAAACTAGAATTCAATTCAGGAATCTCACTTGCAGCCGAAAGGTTTTGCACTTGGAAGAGACTTTGTTAGTGCTAACAAGGTAGATTGTTTTAAATTTGGAAAAATTGCCAAACTGATGCATTATCGTTTCTGTTCCATCGAACATAGCGAGTCAATGTTCGCATTAATCCTGCTATTATTTTTGGATGGCGATTTTTAGGGCAAATTTGGTTTGCATACAAGTTTCATTTATCAGCATTCTCTCTTGATAGATGCTCAGCATCGGCAAATGTTTCATGATAATTTTTGTAGGGAAAGTGTGGACCAGTGATTTTCAGTAATTTACATTTATCAGCATGCTTTCTTGATAATTTTTATAGGAAAAATATGGATCAGTGTTCTATACTGCAAATTACTGTTGAGAGTAGATAGAAAAGCTACATGTGGATTGTATTTGTGTTCTCCTCTTGAAGCTTAGATGTTTCTGTGGCCAAACAGGAAAGGAAAAAAATGTTTTGGAAAATGGGGTTCTCTAGGAGCTGGTGTGACCTAAAAAGTTAACTATTGCTTCAACTTCGTAGTTTTTTGGAAAGATCTTATTTATAGCTGGTACTGCTAGATACAGATTAAAGTGTAATGATTTTGGGATTGTAAGAGAACGTTTTAGTTTTTGCCTTCCTGTCTCACATGTGTCATTGTCACCCGCTTCTGCTTGTTGAAATTTTTATGATACAGAAAGAAATAGAGTATGAAGTGCAATGAGGAAGATACTTGTAAACCAAACTCCTCATCATGTAAAGATGTTATTATTGACAAGGAAAATGTTACCGTGGACAAACCAAATATGCCTAAACTCAATCTTGAGCCACAGCAGATGAAGCGAAAAAAGTACAATCTGCGGAAAAGTTTAGCATGGGACAGAGCTTTTTTCACTGAAGAAGGTGAATAATGAACCTTGGAATCTGCTATTCTGTTCAGTCACTAATTGTTTGTACTTCTACTCTACCATTGAACCTTGGGGTTCGTTTCTTTGTGGCCAGGTGTTTTAGATCCCTCAGAGTTGTCAACACTCAGTAGGAATGTTGGCGGGCCTGTGTTCCATGAAGGGAGAGAGTTAAGATCCGGTGGCTTGGACTGCATAAGCGAGTTACCAGATTTGCAAGCACTTGAAGATAATTTGTTCAAGGAATTGTCTCCTGACACTCTCAATGAGGGTGGCATGGCTGCTGTCTTCTCTCCAAAGCCTGCTTTATTAGCTGGAGATGAAGCAGGCCCAGCTTCTGTGGTTAGTTTTTCCCCACTCCCCCATTACATTGTCTTTTGTAATTGCTTAAGCTGACATACTTTTCTTGTTTCATTCTTTTTATCGTAAAGAAATTGTAAGGAACTTTTACCATCATCGTTTTGTTATACATGCTTTTCAGGCCAAGCGAAAAGTTCTTTCAGCCTCTAATATTAGTCAAAGTGCACCTAAACGCAGTGGTTGCCCGCGACTGGTGGCATCATCTTCATATCCTTTAGGTTCTGCTTTGTAATAAATAATGCAATGATGGATTGTTTCTATAGGCTTATTAGTGTTGTTCTAATCTATTTGTTCATATGGAAAAGTTAACCTTGACTTCTTTGAACTCTTAAAAGGCCTCCCAGTACAAACAAAACTAAAGTGACAGCAAAAGACTCAAAAGTTTTAAAACTATTAGCTCCAAAGCCAGATCCGTCGGATGTTTCCATGGCTCCTAGATCCGGCCGCTTGAAGCGTAATCAGATTCCTTATCCAGGTGGCCTTTGTGTATGTGTGTAATTCATCTATAAAGTGGTTTAAATTTTTATGTTTTCACTGTAAGTTTCAAACCTATTTTTTCATCTAATTACTTTTAAACCAATAGTAAAATTTCATAATTAGCTCAACATCTAGGGCTTTCTTATTCAAAATATAGTTTCTTTTTCTGGTATGTCTGAAATCAAACAATTAATTTCACACCAGAAAAGCAAATTGATATTTCTATGCTCTGTTGATTTATACAGCAGGTAATGGTCAAAAGAACAGTAGATTAAAGGGCACTTCAACTAATACCGGAACTGCTCGAAAAGATATGAAGCTTGGCCCTTCTGACAAATCGGGGGCAAAATCCACTGCTCATCATGCTATAAGTAAGGTAGTGAGAGCCTGAGCTTTTAAAAGTATTGTACTTTTAAACATGACCTGGAATATTCATGTTCCTGGCAACACTGGCTGTAAATCAACATATCAGTTTTGTCAGACTAAAGGAGAGTAGCAAATTCTGTAGCACATCAGTATGTACTTATTGTCTAATATGCATATGCTTCCTTCATTGGAATGTTTTAATTGGTACAGGTCAGTGCGGTGACAAAAGTACATTCATCAACAAATGCACATCTCCAGGTTAACCAAGCAATTAATAGGTCAGAAGTAATCCCAGGTCTTGTACTTCCAGCTGCTGCCCATCCACTAAATGGCTGCGATGGTAGTACCAGCAAAATTGCAGTTTCTTTATCTCAAAATGCTTTCTGCAACAGTGGAAACGTGCAATATACACAGTCTCAAACAGCAAAACCATCATGCTTGCGAATGCCATCGCCATCACTGGGATTTTTTAGTCAGGTATGCTCGCTTAAACATGACCATATTCGTATAATAAGTTGCATTTTAACAGAAACAGTGCTTGATCAGATGCTTGTTTTTTCCCCTCTGTTCATTTATGGCAATTGTTGTGCAGTCGAAAACTTCTGGTTCGCTTAGCCTCCTAGAAAGAACTCAAGCTGGCAAACTTCAGGCGTCTAATATTCCTAGTTTGCACAAAGCTGGCCTCTCAAATGGTCAGTGCCCCCCGAAACCATCCAAGAAAACATCTGCATTCTCGAGGACGGGGCGTGGTGCTTCTGCTGTCAATCCTACTTCACATGGAAAGATCAAATGCAATTCGGAATTAAATAATAAGGAGAAGATGGCTCAGGCACCACATAACTCTAAGGCTTATGATGAGCTAAATAATCAGCAGCAGTTGCTCGACATTCATGCCAATCAGTTGCTCTTGCATGGTTGCCCTGGTGAACAACTGAAGAAAGGTGAACGTAGCGAGAAAGTCAATGGATTTTGCCTCAAGGGTAGAGATACGACTGCAGATGGATTAGACTACCCCCATTCTGTATTCAATGCTAGCCTTGTAGCAGAAGTTGATGGTCTTTCAGAGGAAAATAGTATGACTGCCAATCATCACATTGAAGACAGAAAATACATTCCAATAATCAAGGATAACAGTGACTATTCAGATTTTCCATCTCTAGGTATGAGTGGTAATAGTGAAGAGGGTACCACAAAAGTGTATGATGAGTTAAGCTGGACGCAGGAAGTCAACAACCAGAATGCGAAACAAACTGAGCTAATGAAGCTTGACACCCAACTTTATCCAGTTTCAAATGCAGAGAGTTTGAGCCTATGCTTGAACAATAGCACTTCAATTAAGGATAGATCTTCTGAAGAGCTTAACAAATATCGTAGTTCAAATAGTCCAAATGCCATTCTTAAAACCCAAGACTGTAGTGCAGGTGAACTGAAAATTCCTTTTAGTCCATCATGCTGCAATGATATACTGTACACAGTAAATGACACTAGTGGAATTGGTAACTTGTATAAGGACTTGCATGCGGGAGATGCAAAGATGCAGTCTGTAGATGATAATCTATTAGTTGAAAGGGGTGAGAAAAGTACGCTGAATGCTTTGGCAGTGGATAATCTGCCCTTGATGATTATTGGTGATCCAAGTGAAAAAACTGCAGAAAAACAAACAGAGCTTCCATTTCCTTGCCTTGTAACAGAACAAGCTTCAGAAGATGATTGCAGATTGCATTATGATGGTTACTTACTGCATGGAAGAAGATTCTCCTCCGAAGAATCCAAGGAGAAGAATCTCCTTCAAAGCGGCAAAGATATGGGTTTAAATGTTAATACTAGCGGAGGCGAATTGGAAAGTTCCAGTGTTCTTAGTTCAAAATCACCTACCAAGCATGATTCTAGTTCTACTGCAGTTGGAACATCAGAGTGCTTGCATGTGGAAAACCCTTTGGTAGCTTCCGTAGATAGAGGGATAGTTAAGGTTGCTTCTGGGATAAATGATTCTAGTGGAGATGAAGGTTTGGTAGACAAATGTGAGTCTTCTTTGAAAAATTTCATGGTTTCCTCTTATTTACAGCCAGGAAATGATGCCAATGCAAGGGTTTCTTCCGTACTGGAGAATAGTTGCTCCACTTGTATACATCATGTGAACAAAGACGTGGAAAAAACTGAGGTGATGACTTCTTTCTGTGAATCTGATCAGGAAAATCAGAGTCAAAGAGCATTTGATGATATCTTGTATACTAAGAGCCGATCTTATGAAGATCAATGGAAATTCAGTGATAGCAACATTGCTAATATCAGAGGAACAACTGCAAGTGAAGTGGAAAGTCTAAATGGTATTCACCAATGTGAAATAATGGATCAAACAAATGAACTTGTTCAAATTAACAGAATGACTGAGGAAACAGGAACGCAAAATGCACAAGTGCTGTCCTTTGATTACAATTTGTTACGTGATGGTCACAAGAGTAACATTAGTCCTTCTGTGGCAAATAGAACTTCTCCGGTATTGGTTGATGACATTAGAGAACAACCTGAAGAACATTTTGCAGTTAGAAATCCTTACCTGATGATTGAGCAAGCTTCCCTGGAAAATCATGAATTTTGTTCAGATGGTAACTTGTTGCTCATGGATAATGCTTCTGTAGAACTCCGAAAAGAAGATGCCCTTCAAAATGTTCTGGGTGTTGGTTTAGAACAGGGTGATGGTTTATGTGAATCAAGATGTTATGATGTTGGCACTCAAGTGCCACCTGTGATTAAAGATGCTGGTTCAGATGTGGATAAAAACGCTGAGCATGCATTTATGGTTGATAGAGAGCCAGGTTTCATAGAGACTCTGCCAGCAGTTGAAAACAGAAAATGTAGTATGGATGGTAAGAATAGGCGTGATGGCAAGATGATTGATGAAGCAACTTCCTTGGAACCCAATTCATTTTCAGTCAAGAGCAGGCATCAAATTTCATCACCAGCGGATAATTGTGACTCTAAGTTGTTTTGCTCTTTGAATGAAAAGTCCAAGTCATTAGTGAGAAAGAAAGAGAAACCAATTCGAAGAATCCAGCAGGGTGCTGAAGCTGATATATCAAATAGTAACATTTTGCCAGAGGAAGCTCAAATTAAAGTTCCAGAGACCAGTAGCGGAATCAGCAAGGAGCTGCAGCATGAGTTGAATGTAATGTACCCTACGGAAGATGAGGATGCAACATTGTCACTGTAAGTGTCTTAATCTGAATTACTCTGATTTGTTATGTATGCTGTCCTGATTCCTCTTTTCAACTCTTTGACTATTTCTATGGACATGCTCTGATTCTTGAGAATTAATCTGAATATTTGTAATGACAGCCAGAAGCCTGTCAACAACAAGAAACAAGATGCTTCTGTAATAAAACCACTACGAATTCTCGTTCCTTTCTCTGATGAATGGTTGGCGGCATTTGAAGATGCTGGGGAGGTACTTGACTAATACTATAGTAAATGATTTTTATGGAGCATATGTAGTGGCCCCTGACTCAAAAATTTCTGCAGGAAATTTTAACCATGAAAGGCGGTGCTGTACAGAATTCACCCCCTGACAAGTTTGAACACGAACCAGGTCCTTGGTCCCCTGTATGATTCTGCTTGCTCTATCCCTCTTTTCAAATAATGTCATTAAGTTTACTAGCGGTAGGGGTACGCATGTTATCTAATTAATGTCTTATAAGTGGTACTAGTGGATTTGTAGGATTCGTTCTGGAAGCGAAATAAAGCAGTCATTTTCTTGGTGATAAAATTTATTTGATTTTAGTTAATACAATGCCGAGCACTTCCTCTGTTATAATTTTCTAGTTAAAAGTTTAATGCATTATTGATCTACAGTAGGCCGCGAGATAGGATGAAATCATATTTAATTTCTGTAAATCTGGTCACTGGCTTCTGGGTTAAATACATGGCTGTTTTGGGAAGTGATGGAAGAGACTGATGCAGGGTAGTTTGCTAATTCCCTACTTGAGTGAAGGATAAAAGCTCTACCCCCAGAGTTTATGGAAGAAAAGCAGATTATTTACCAGTATTTGATCTGATAACTATAATGTACATGGTTTTCAGGTACGCCGGAAGAATGCTCAAGGGATTGGGCCATTTGACTGTACAAAATTCACGAACAACAACATCCCGCCTTCCACTTCTGATTGAGGAGGCATGGTTCGCTAAAAATCTAGGGCTTGGACCATTGCAACCTATGTTTCTGTTCTAGTTGAGGAGATTCAGCTGATCATACTGTTATGACTAACAATGTCACTCACGAAAATCACGCATTAAAAAAACAAATGCTGATTATGTTTCTTATTTTTTCCCAATTCTTGCTTCCCTACTTTTACTTAGGGAATAGCCATATTTGATGCTACAATTATGGCATGTGATAACAGCACTTTGACATTTGAATTTTGATGCTTAAACTACGGCTATTTTTGTTAAATTTATTAATTTTTTTTAACTCTCCAAACCTCTTGATATTTGAAGCTTTTGAACTATCGCAGATATGATAGTTGTATAATTCCAAATCTTGATAGATTTCGATGCCTGTGTGACAACTAAAACTCTGTTTGTCCTGTCGATGGTGTCTTTGTTTGAGGAAGAATCATTCTCTCAATTGTTCCAGTCTAAAATTGATCCTGAACTGCAAATATTGGAAAAGACCAGAAACCATGACGGAGAAAAGGCCCTTCACCGAAGTTGACACTGTCTTTCCATGGCACTGAGGTTGCATCAGAAACTGTGGCTGCTACGGCATATTATCTCCTATTTTCATGAAAATCAACTCATCTTTTTCTACTAATCTGCTCCATATGCGTGCCTAGCAACTCTTTACTTTTGCAGACACTTTGAGAGGTTCTTATAGCGTTAGTATTTCTCAACCCAAAATGCAGACACCGAGACACTATACGAGTTCACGATATGGGGATAAGCTCTTTTTGGCAGCTACCTGGCTTTACCTTGCGACTAGAAACCTGTCTTACCTGCGCAGCAATTTGCTAACCGGGGAAGTTTAACTTGGTTTAGTTGGCAGGAAAAGCATGCTGGTGGGAACTCGGTCACATATATGTTAGCTTCTAGTGGACATGACATACTTCTGAGTTCTGAGCCATGTTGTGAAAGCTGCACGTCTTAAATGTCAAAGATGATGATTCTGTGGATCAGGAAAAACTGAATCTATTTTTGTTATGACTTCAGGGCAGGTTATAGTTGTCTGGGTTAAATATTTTTGGTGCAGAAGGGACTTTCAGGAAAGAGTTTAAACATCTGAGGCCATCATGTGCTTTGCTCCTTCCAGCAGAAGATAAAAGTAAATTTCTTGATGATATGATTTTGCATACAGATAAAATATATCATTATTACATAATTTGTAATTTACTTTAAATTTCTGATATTGCTTCATGCATTGGTTAAGGAACAAAAATAAATGGAAATGAATAGCAAATTCTGCAACGAAAGATGATGAAAACTTTAATTATGCTTGTAAAAGTTCACAAAATAAATCTCAAGAGCAAAACACTACTCTTGAAATAAAGAACAAGATCAAATTGGTTTAAATGTTGCTCCAGGAAGTAATCACACGCAATTCAGAGAACATTACAATTACATTCAAAGATCTCGAAGTTGCCTGAGATTCATGGGAGAAATGTATTTTTTGTCTCCATCCAACAGTTTCTTGGCAAGTATAAGGTTGGCAGCCTCACTTGGATGATAAGGATCCCAGAACACATGCTTGGACCGATCTTTGCACAAGCTAGAAGTTGGCCCACATGGAATTATCCCTGCAAACTGCCCTCCATTTCCACAACAAGCTCTAGTCGCTGTTGTAAATCCTGCACACAACTCTCATATATCATTTCAGAATTATTCACCAATCTGTCTCTCTATATATATAATTTCTAAAAGGATCACTTACCGTATTTGTCATAATTTGTGATGAGTTCCAACACCATATCATACACATTAGCAACAACAAATGTAGCTCCTGGAAGGTTTTCATTCAGTTGAGCTACTAAATCTTTCAATCGCCCATTATACTGAATTGCTAGCTTATTTGCCAGTTCCACACATTCATTTTCGTTTAATTGATTTATCGTCTTCTGGTAGGGAATACAGCCTATCGGTCCAACGTTCCCGATTACAAATTTTCGAGCATCCAATTTGTATAGTCTCTGCAACAAAAAAAACCAAAAATTATAGATAGTTTTTCAAGTAATTAGATGTTGCTAGCTAGCTAATTATAAGAGTGCATGGTTTATTGATTGCTTACCGTAAGTTGGTCTCTGAAGTGACCGAGCATGTCATCAATGAATGCATCAGGAGTTTCAGAAATTCTTGCTCCTATAGAGAGAACTGGAAGTAGATAATTGTTCAGGAAATCATTTGCTCCAACAGTAACAGAGAAGATGGATTTCTTCATGATATAATCTCTAGCCTGGGATGCACCCAACAATTTATCTATCTGTTTTCTAGTAATGTTGAAGTAGTCAATCTGTACATCCATTCCCAGCCTATTAACCTGCACAAGAAATGATTAATATGCATGAACTTCTGAAATTATTTAAATGGAAAAAAAGAAGAAGCAAGATAATAATAATAATATAAATATAGAGTTGTCAAGTGCTAACAAATATCCTTCCAGTTGCGTTCATAACCCCTCCTCCTCCTGATGCATAATTCACACCATATAATAGAGCTTTTCCGGTGGTGTTTGGAGACAAAAAAGGTTGAGCATAGTTTGGCTGTCCTAGTTCTTCCCCTGAAAACATGAAGTTACCACTCAAAAACGTCAAGCAATGAAATATAGAAAAGATTGAAACAGAAAGCACAAACATGCATGTTTACTTGGTCACAATTAAGCAGCTGGCTTACCTACAATGTCACCGATGGTTCTCCCATTGGTGTACCGGCCGGTGGGGTTTCCGCCGGATGCTTTGAAATCAATTCCATTAGGTTTGATATTGGCCTTGGACAAAGTTGGTAGATAGTTATTGTTTCCAGCATCAACTAGAGAATCACCAAATATAAAAGAACCTCCCAAAGCAGAATCATCACAAGCTACCTTTCCAAAGTAGCTCAAATGGACAGCCAGAAGGACGACCAAGGCCAAACTGTAGATTACTGCGGCCATGGCTAGCTATTCTACAATTCACGAGTTAATGACTTGACACTAAAAATGTTACATCTAGGTAATGCCCTAGTAATGAGTATTTATGCAGCTTCTTCGTCACTAAACGAAGAAAAGCATCCAAAGGTGAAACTTGTAAGCTTTATTATAGTTAAGTCGTATTTGGTAAGACCCGTTTTTTAGTGGAGGGAAGGACTATTGCATATATGGACGACAAAGTTCAGAGAGGTAGTTCATCAACTTCATTACAAATTTCTCAACGTGTTATGAACTTTCGGGACTTGCTTGTGCAATACGCAAGTAGCTTTCTTAGGGTCCACGATATGCATTAATTGAATCAAGGTTATTACTGGCCTAAACGAGAAAATGAGCAGTATTTTTGCACATCCCACTTGCCAAATTATTATTTTTTTCACATCCACGATATGAAATGACTTGAGGTCACTGTATTATGATCATATGTGAATGTGATAGCCTTGTCCACGCTTCCCACCCAACCTAGAGAGGTAGCAACTTAAGAACTTTATAAAACTTTGAGAAAGATCTGTTTTCTTTTATAAAGTAGGTTAACAAAAATTGAACGTACGTAATGGTTAATGACTTAGACACTGACATGATCGTAAAAAATCATGCAATTGAAATAAAATTTTTTTTTTTTTTTACGATAAGGATTGTCTTCAAATCATTATAACTTTGTATGTTAATTGATGTTATTTTTTTTTTAACAATATTAACAATATAACCTCACATGAATTTACGGTTAAAAAAACTAAATAAATTTTTTTAGTTGTTATTAGCTTTATAAGTTCAAACCTTATAAAGAATTCATAAGAAAAAAATTATAACATATGTTAATAACAAGTTATTGATTTAGTAGTAAACAAGTTGATTTTTAAATAAATTTTTTGTCAATACACATGATTCAAATTCTAAAAATCGTACTTATTAGAAAAAGTTAAATTTTATCGTTATTATTTCAAATAAGATTGATTTAATATTTTTTATTTTATAAAATGTCTTCTTTTCTCATTAATTTGTCATATTTTTACTTATTTTTATTCCCTTTCTACTTCTTAAAACAAAAAAAATTAAAGTAAATTGAAAAATAAAAAATGAACTAAATAATTATTTTATGAAACTACAAGGACTAATCAATTAGTTTCTCGAAGTGAGAGGGACTAATTGTGGAAACAAATTATCTTCTAATCATTATAACTTTGTATGTTAATCAATATCATTTTTTTTAACAATATAACCTCACATCAATCTACGGTTAAAAAAGCTTAATAAATAAATTATTTTAGTTATTAGTTTTATAAATTCAAGCCTTATAAAGAATTCATAGAAAAGTTATAATATATGTTAATAACAAGTTGTTGATTCAGTCGTAAACGAATCGATTTTTAAATAAATTTTTTATCAATGTATAAGATTCAAATTTTAAAATCATATTTATTAAAAAAAATAAAATTTTATTACTTTCGAATAAAATTAATTTTATTTTAAACATAAAAGACAAAGATACATAGAGAAAACTAATATATATGCAAATCAGGAAGAAACGTATTCAATTTTAGTCGGTAATTGTTAAGCGGATTATGCAACCTTGGAGGATTGGTATTCAGAAAATGGAACTCCTAATAATAGGGTTTGCTTGGCTTAACACTTTGACCTATTACAAATTAGGAAGGACCGAGTGACAATGCTCAAGCAAATTCAGGTCCCTGCTCCCTACCCTCGAGAATACCATCACCCAAATATCATAGATTACTCACTCTCGTGTAAAGAAACACGGTAATTAGTTTTTTTAGTTTTAAAAATTAATTATTTAATTTTTTTAATCAGTATTATTTATGATTAATTTATTATTTTTATTTTATAAAATTTATTCTTTTCTCATTAATTTTTCGTATTTTTATTGCTTTTCTATTTTTTAAAAAAATTAAAGTAAATTGAAAATTAGAAAAATGACTAAATAATTATTTTATGAAACTATAAGGACTAATTAATTAGTTTCTCGAAGCAAGAGGGACTAATTGTGAAAACAAAAAGGATATTTTGGGATTGGTGAAGGGCATTTCTGTCATTTTAAGAATCCCAAATTCTAACTTCCCCCATTCCATCCTCCGTTTCAAAATCTCCACCAAAAAAAAAAAAACATTACCGTTGATAACCACACTCACAGAGACCGAAGTCACAGAGATAGTGAAAGGGAAGGGGAAGAGAGAGCTAAAAAATGCCAATGTTTAGGAAGACAAAACCACAAGGTTACCAAGAACCCAACAAATACACAGACCCAAATGAAGAAATCAACAACAATGAGCACCACCAAACCCCAAAGGTTTCAGTCTATGAACAAACAAGAGAAGAAAGAATCAGAGAAAACCTTGAAAGAATGCAAAAACTTGGTCTCACGGACCTTTCTCTCAAGCTCAAGGCTTGCACTACCCGTCCTAAAAGAACCCCAAGGACAAACCCTTCCTCAACAAAACACCCCACTCCCTTACTGCCACCTGGGCCTCTTCGCCGTTCCTCTAGGTGATTGTAGCACGACCTTTCTCATTTTGTGGTTTATTGAATTAGTGCATGTTTATGCGTGTTTTAAAATTTCGGGTCTTTTTTTTTTTTTTTTTTTTTTTTTTAATGTTTTGAATGCTATGGCTTTGAAAGAATATTTAATGAACTGGGTTTGATTAAAGTTCGTATTTTTAGGCCTTTTTAAGATCTTAATAGTTAGTGTGATCTTTGACTTAGTTAAAGTTTTTTACTTTTTCTGTGTTGCTAGCTAGAAACATGAGAAACAAGGAAAAAGGGACTTGAAACTTAAAATCTTTTATGTGTTTTTATGTTAAATAAGAATTTATACAAAGATTTTCAAGTAGGTTATGGAATTTCCTATCTTTCAAGTGTTTTGATTAATTTTCCTTAATTACTTTTGTAAAAATTGAATATTGGGATTTTGATAGGTGTTGTGGTATAACATTTATTTTCAAATGCAATTCAAATGCTACATTGGTCTTTTTGTATTTTTGGCTAGGAATAAGATTTCAAGACTATAATGTTGTTTTTATGTGAACTTTTGGCTCACTTGAATGTTTTTCTGTTCTGTTTTTGGGGCAAGTTTAGGTTGCAAAATTCAACTCCAGTTAGCTACTCAGAAGCGGCATTGACAAAGAACAATGGATTATTAGAGGATGAAAGCATAAGGCAAGAGGTGGGATCAAAGCCAGAGGTATACTCTGAAGAGCATGAGAAGCTGTTAGGCAACACCAAGAGGAGCTGGACACTTTTTGTGGATGGGTGTGGGAAAGATGGAAAGCGAATTTATGATCAGATTAACGGAAAGACTTGCCATCAATGCAGGTCAGCATGCTTTGCAATCTCCATTTGTATGTCATCACGTGTTAAACTTATTGTTTGAGGATAATAGGGTATGCCTTTGTGACAGAAATCCTATTATTAACAAGGAAATGTCAAACGCCTTCTAACAAACTAAGCTATGTTTGACATGCAATTTTTCTAAAGGATATGGAAGTGTCCTTTTGGTAGTGTACAGATTAGCCAAGTATTCTGATTAGAGGTGCTGTTTTATAACAAGGTTGCTGAAATGGGCATATAGTGTAAAATTAATTTTTGTAGAGAAAAAAGAAAAGCCAAATTGTGGTGGTCTTTTTGTGCTTAGTAAAACTTAAATTGGTATGTCATCCATAGAGTAACGTTCCCTCTAATTATAACCTTTATTGCATCCTCTTTCTGTAAGAAGTACCTCAAATGCTGCTTCATGAGAAGAGCATTGAATCTCTTTACCATTTGACCTCATAGTACTGTCAAAGATGAACAAAAACTCTGTAAAGCATTTCTATGTTACTGCAAGTGTGAATAGGTGGGGATTCTTACAGCTGTCAGAGTTTTTGAAGAGAAACCAGTGATAAAAACATGTTAGCGATACTAACAACAATAAACAATTGACATGGTCGTATTTGCATGTAAGGATCTTGACTTGATTTGAATGCCATTGTAGCTTTAAAAATTTAGTCTGATATCAAGTGAAGAGGTGGGGATTCTTACTACCATACAGCTAATGATAACAGTATGAAAATTCATGCTGAATATATTCTAAGAACCAAAAAGATCATTGTGTGAGCAGAAGTTGACTTTAATTTTAGAAATGTTCTCTGTAAATCTTATTATGGCACAAGTTTTGAAGGAAATCTTAACGCCAACTTCTTTTCATTATTAACTGAATTGGCCGTCTGACAATATGCATTAGAACACCTAAGGTTTTGTGTGTGGTTGTTATAATGGATGCATTGCTACTGGTGACAAAAGAAGTTGTAGCTGAAGTGCTGGTGGTGGACTGTGGTGGTGTTTAAATGTGGTGGTTTTGGAGCCAGGGATTGCTGCCTAATTGACGAAAGAAATGATAGTATATTTAGTGATCAATCTTATAGTTGGGGCGGTGGTGCTGGTGATACTAGTAATTACAAGGCTGGCAGTTGCCAAAATGCCAGGAAATGGAATACCTGGTTAGGTGTCTGAAGTGTTTGGGGTGTTTGGACCTTGGGGGGTGTAGTGCTGTGTTAACAGAATCAATTTCACTGTTCACTAGCGTGCTGTGGGTTTTTTTGCAGTAAATGGAGCATGGTGGGGGATGAAAAGAATGAATTTTTCATACCAATTAATGTACTATTATGAAATTAATCCTTTTTTTTTTTTTTAAGAAGACTTGCTAGAGATGGTGTGGTAATGAGGTTTGACATATTTTTATTTTGACAAAATTGAATTAATTTTTTGTTGAGAAGTGGGGCTGAATATTAATACCAATGGGACGATTTGCATTACCCATGACAATATCCTACATGTTAATTTGGTTTGTCAGATCATTGATTCTCAAGTTCTTTATTATTTGCCTATTTGATTATTGGAAAATGCTTCAAATCTTAAAATTTAATACTTGTTTTTATCATATGTTGCACTTTGTTCAAGAATAAATGTACTTTTGAAAAGTGGAAATTCAATAGAAAATGCTTTACCACGATCATTACTTTTCATTTAAAGTTAGCATCTAAAAAGAGATGATCATAATAGCTTTGAAAGATTTTAATGTGAATGCTTGTTCAACAATTAAAATTTCTTTTTCCTGCTTTGTTTTTTCTATTATCAAACTTTTTCATTTGCACTTAGGTTCTTAAATTATTTCTTTATGAAATTTATATGACTTCAATCATTAACAAACAGAAATGGTACTTGACAGGCAGAAAACTCTTGGTTATCGTACTCACTGCAGCGAATGCAAGATGGTCCAGGGACAGTTCTGTGGAGATTGTTTGTACATGAGGTAAATAATTTGAGACATTCTTGACTTGTTTCTGCTCTGATTTACAAAGTTTTTCTAAGCTCACTATTCATATAATTAGATAAGGATTCTTAGATAATAATTCTTATTCTTTTTTTTTTTTTTTTTTAACTTGAACTGAAATAATGAAGAATTTTTTTTATTTACTCCAATCTTTTTTGTTTTTTTTTTTGGTTACATCCTATTGAACTATTCATATACTCTTATGTGTACTATACAAGATTAAATATAGCATGTTCAAATTATAACAAACAAGAGTGAGAAAACAATATAGAGAAACATATAGAAAAGGAAGATGCATGGTGGAATCATTTCTATTTGAAACTATGCATATTTTTATATACAAATATATGATTTCTATATACTCTAATTCCTACCTTTTAAAAATTAAATAAATAATGTGTTTAAGTAATATTCAATTGGAAACTTTAAATGAAACTATATGTAAGATATTTCTAAGCAGCAATGTACGCTAACTACTGAATCAATCCATAGATGATCCATTCATTCTTGCCTCCTTGCCAACCATGTAAAGCCTCTGCTAGTCTTTATCTTTCTTGAACCTCATATTTTCTCATTTAGTGTTTTATTAATTCTCCTAGGTTTGCCCATCTGACTTCTCACTTGTTTTTCCTTTTATAATCTCAAAGGGCAACTTGCCTGGTTTTCAAAAGTGCAACTATGGGAACCCAGCCAATTGACTGTTTATTTTATGTTATTTGTATCGGTAAATGCCCATTTCATAACTTAAAGGATGAAACATCTAATCAGTTTAATTTGGAAAATATAATTTTCTCGGTTCTTCTTTTCTTGGTATGCAGATATGGGGAGCATGTACTTGAGGCCTTAGAAAGTCCGAATTGGATATGCCCTGTCTGTCGTGGAATTTGCAATTGCAGTTTCTGCCGACAAGCAAAAGGGTGGCATCCCACTGGCACTCTTTATAGGAAGGTAGCTCTCTCGTTTTAGCTAAATATGAAAGTCTAAACTCATTATTGCAGAAACAAACTGAGCAAGTCTTTTTTGTCTACCTATCCTTCCAGATATCAAGTTTGGGCTACAAGTCAGTTGCACACTATCTCATCCAAACCAGGCGCTCACAAAACACTGCCAATGAAGCTTCTGTGAAAAGGTCACTGCCCTTTTCTGACATGGAAGCAATGCCCGAGGAATCTCCACAGTTGATTGATAAAACAGCTGAGCAATTAGAGCATCAAACTGGAGACAAAATACTTGATGAGTTCCAGAGCAATGAATGGAATAAAACATCAAGCAGCAGGAATCTGGCTAATGACGGTCAGACAAAAAGGTCATTGACTTTTTCAGGCAGTGAAGTGAAGCCTGAGAATGCGGAATCTGCAAAGGTCAACCATGAGTTTCATGACAACCTTGGTTTATCAAAGCCTCAATGTGAAGAAATCAATGATGATTTCGAAAAAGAGAAGCACATGCAAAGCAATGGAAATCGTGTTGCATCCTGTCCAACAGACAGGCCATTGACATTAACTGGAAGTGAAGCAAGGTCCAAGAATGTAGAATCTGCTGGGACTCATGAGATTCTTGGCGATCTTGAATTATCAATTCCAAAATTTGAAGACAAGTGTGAAAATGAGTTTAAAAGTGGGGAAGAGAAGAAGGAATTGCACTCTACTGTTAAAGAGAATGTTGAAGGCAATATTCCATCAGAAAGTTGCCTGAAACGTAAAAGGAAACAAGCATCTGCTGTCAATCCAAGTCCAGATAGTATTGCTGCAAGATTAAGTCAGAGACATTGGAAGAGTAATGGCCAAGATGATGCAGAATTCATGGGGCTGAATGAACCAGCTGTAAAATCGACATTGTCAAACCAAAACGTGGTGGAAGAAAATGAAATGCATGTTGAGGATGATAAACATGTTGATGCCACTGTTGTATGGGAGAGCAGTGCAAAGCTCAGGAGGCGTGCTCATGCTGCTGAACCAAGCCCAGATAGTATTGGTGCAAGATTAAGACAGAGGCGTAGAATGGGCAGAGGCCATGAAAATGAGAATTTGCTGGGGCTAAATGAGACAAGTTCGGATATTCAGGAGGCTCTTCTTGAGAAGTAGAGGTTAAAATGCTGTACCAAGCCCAGATAGTATTTGAAAAACCAGGAAAGACATTGCTGGAGGATTTTGAGGGCCGGGAAATGAAGCTTATGAAGATCAAGTGCTTCTTTCCATTTTTGTCAGGAATGGAGCTAGCATCTTTTTGCTAATGCAGCATTCTTAATGCTGCTAGAAACAATGATTTGCTGGATTCAGTGCGGTTTCCAACGTTTTGGATTTTGCCAAAATCCTCCTCCCATTTGGATTGGATAATTTTTTCTGTTGAAATGTGGGATGCAAATTTTACTGGAGCAATTTAACTGCTTAATTAAACTTGATGCTTATGAAAATAATAACCTCCCTTTAGGCTAAATAGTATCCATATCCTCTCTGATTCTAATTAAATCATAAAAAATAACAACTTTTCAATTGCAGCCAAGTCATTGCATTTGTGAAATAATTATAAATCATACTATATTACTTTGTGAGCATCAAACCTCAATGGACTGTCCATACATGATCATCAATATTCCATGAAACTTTTAAGGAGTCGGTGTTTTTATATATATGGTTATGAATACGAAATGTTAGCTTCCAATTCCATTTTGTAATGCACTCTCACCTAACACTTTTTCAGTAAAACTTGGAAAGAATTGAACATCATGGAGAAAAGAAAAAGAAAGGCGAAGATGAATCAAGAAAGCCCAATAAAGAAAAAGGAATAATTACAAAAAGAGATCATCCCCTCCTCGTTACCCTCAATTCAAAATGGAGTTTCCCTAAACCCACCTTTGACAAAGCTAGCTATTGTCTTTCTGCCATAAAAGAACATCATTTTACTTTTACATTAACTTGACATGGTCACACCCACATCGCTTTAGGGACATGCTCAGTGAGTGACAGTAGGCAAACCATTTCTTCCTTGTCCTCTTGTCGAAGAAGCCTTTGAAGCCTAGTGATTTGATACTATTTTTGACTGACAAATGATCTGTTTCTTAGTGCTTTTGTTGCAGTCCACAACTTGGGCTTGACCATTGATCTTTTGGACACTTGGAAAATATTATTGACTAGTAAGCAATAATGAATCATGAACATGGAACGTAGCTTTATCATTATATCTTTCTTTTTTTTGGTTACGTGTCAATTTCTGTGTTAATTATTGAGATTAATTAAACATTATCTATAGTGGCCCCATACATCCTAAGGTTCGAATTAGACCAACCCTTTACATTTTGGTAAATATCTTATTTATTCTTCCATGCCAATTTAACTGCATTCTATACTTGTAAAAAAGTTGCCAAAAGTTGTGTGAATAAGAAAAGATTTGAGTTTAAGTTTTCTGCTTTTGTTTTTAATTTGTTTTAAAAAATAGAAAAAATATCAAAACAAAGAACAATATAGCATCTCATTAACCAACAAGGAGTGGCGCAGCGACAAGGGCTTGGTATCAAGGGGTTTGCTCCCCATGTGGTCTCGGGTTCGAGTCTTGATTGCTTCCCTTGGTGGCCACTAAAGGCTCACATAGTCGTTAACTTCGGGGCTCGCATGATTAGTCAAAGTGCGCATAACCGGCCGGACACTCACGTTATCAAAAAAAAAAAAAAAAAAGATAGCATCTCGTTCATCAAAGTGTGATTAAATAATAAAGATGATAAAACTACCATTTGATGTAAAAATTGAATAAAGATTATGTGATAAAAAAAAATGGATAAGCTAGAAAATAAGAATTTGAAAATTTTTCATCCACATAATTTTAACCCCAACACATAATGCCGGTCAAAATTAAGGTATAACAATTTCTCATCTTTTATTCCATAGAGACACTGTGAATATAATAAATAAGTGTCATTCGGATACGATGGTGATGTCCGACTAAATAAATATTGCCCTAATGATATCTATTTTCCGATCAGAAAAATTAGAGAAAATCTATTTATTTTTTTGACAAATTAGTTATAAATTCAACTAAAAGTATATGATTAATAAGTTTGTGATAAATTGTATAAAAACCAAAACCTATAAGAGTCAATGCACATGGTTAAGACTTGTTTCTTGACAAGAGAAGATCAAAGTTTGGTGATTATTTTTTAATAACTTATGAACTTTAATGGTTTATAGGGATGAAGTCATAGAAACCAATATATATATATGATTTGCAGTGCAATTCGTTACGTAAAATCAATAATAAAAATTTATCGATACATGTATGACAATGTATCAAGGGTTTCATTGTATATATATAAAAAAAATATTAAAAAAAAATTAAAAATATTCATGAATAGAAAATTTGACCAACACGTAATGCAAGTAATGAATTGAGGTAGTGATTTCTCATCTTAATTAGGAGGTAGTTTAAGAGGTTGGGAGTTAGAAAGTATCGTCTTGCACATGTTCTTCCACGTCAATCAGATGCATGCAGCAGCCATCGAAACAAGTTGAAGATTTGATTCTGTTCATAAACATCTTTGGCAAGCTGAGAGAGAGAGAGAGAGAGAAATCGTAAGAAAAGAACAGTATGTCCTAATCAGGATGACACATAACTAGAAGACATGGTAGTTACAAACTCACCATGTTTTTTTGACCTCAGTTTTGTTTTCTGCTTTTTTAAAAGTCAGCTTATTGACCATCAAGATAAATTCCATTTCATTACAATGTCAAATCAGCTGTTTGTACTGGTCAATAAGGTGACTTTTACAACTTGGTTGGTACTACTGATTTTCTTTCTTTCCTTTATCTCTTTCAAATAATGTCACCTTTATTGGTATTTGTTTTTTTTTTTAAAAAAAAGAGCGATAATATTTATTATATAGTTTGATAAAGTTGGATTTAGAATTATTTCTACATGGAATGTTGGTGACTGATTACAACATACTTGATGGAAGAAAATTGCAATCAATATCTTATTGACTCGCGAATGGTATTCTGAATCATAATTTGAAATTCAAAATAAAATAATTCTGTATTGGTTTAATGTTGCAAGAAATCATGAATTATATATTTTTTAATGATTTTAATTTTTTTAAAAAATTATGTAAAAAGTCATCAATAGACTCTATAATAATACTAGCATTGATCTAATTTTTCGATTAAAATTTCAATCAACGTTGGCATAACAATCCTCGTAAACTTTAGCAAGCCAATAGAATCCATGTAAATAATGATATGAAGAATCGATTACGCGGATCCTACATGGCTTGCTAAAATCCATGTATTATGCTTACATGGATCCTACATGGCTTGTTAAAGTCTATGTGTCATCCTTCATCACTTGTCATGTCAATATTGATCGAAATTTTAATCGAGAAATAATATCGACGTTAGTATTGTTATCGGATGATTAGTTGATAACTTTTTTATATAATTTTTAAAAATAAATTAAAATCATTAAAACGTGTAATGATTAGTGATTTTATGGATCATTAAGTCTTCTATATTTGATGATGGTTTTTTGGTAATTGTCTCCCGGACCATGTCCATGCCAAGAATTCCACTTCAATCACAGACCATACCTCCATAAATGCTAAAAGAGAAAGAAAGATAGAAAAACACAGTTTCATTTTCATTTTTTTCTTCTTTTTATTTTGTAAATATTATTATTATGTTCATGAAGTGGAGCACTTTTTTGGAACCATTCCTTAACCTCGACACAGGAACCAAAGCATCCAACGTTTTTGGCCTCTGGTCAATTTCTCAAAATAACAAAGTAAACTGTGTGTAACCTAGCTAACTTGCCCTTTTCTTTTGAGGCAGCATCTGGGGTATTGTGCACAAATCCTGCTACTGAGGGAATGGGGATCCAAAGAGCTAACTATTAACACTTCTATTATCCTGTTCCAAATAAGATCCATTGTCGAGTACTATTTGGTAGCTAGTTATGACCTAATTATGGCTACTTTGGGAGTTGACCTAACATCTTCTACCCTCTCTCTCTCTCTCTCTATATATGTATATATATCTTTCCCTCTGTGGGTGTGTCTGTGTTTGTCATGTTGGATTTTTCTATTAACATTAATAAAGTCTAACAGATTATATCTAAGTTTAAAGATATTGTCGATCTTTTTTATTAATGTTTATCTTGTCAAAATTATAAACGGTGTAATTTTCTAAAATATTTTTTTATTAGAATTCATTTTATGAAAAAAACTATTTAAATATAATTATAAAAAAATATTTTTAAAAAATATAAACAAAAAATACTGATATAAAACAACAATTAATGACATTATTGATTTGTGGGACTAAAGGAGTATGTTTTATGGGGGAAAAATCTAAGAAAATGAACTGCATAGTTTTTTTAATCCATACAAGACATGTTTCCTTCCTAAATAGTAAGCTTGCAGGAGTATATGAATGAATTATTATAAATATTTTTGGGGACATGAGTCCCCACAACACCTAACACATTTAATATTGGGATGCTATGACCACAAAAATTAATACTTTGGAATGCATGATATAAGTGAACCTTATTAAAAACCTGTATTGCTAACTTTTAAGGAGTTGGCAGTGCCATTTAGAGGCTGTCTAAGTAGAATCCGACAGGAGGATCCAAGAGAAATCAAAGAAAAGAGCTATCTATTGAGATACTAAGCAGGCTGCATTTCATCCTGTATTGGTAACTTTTGAATATTGGGTTGAACAAAAGTGTTTTAATTATTTAAATAAGTGATTTCGGATTTAATTATTTATATATACATAAAATTTTTTAGATAATTGTGCTTATCTTGTGCACTCGATCGAATAACAAATGATTAATCTGAATATTTAGATCTGGATGTCCCGAAATTTTTTTTTTTAAATGTATTTTTAGATATCAATTTTGATGATAAGAACTAACAAATTGATCTAATTCTTTAAACAAATGGTTTTGAATTTAAATTTTAATGTACGTAGAAAACTCTTTGGATAGTTGTGCTCGTCTTGTTTACTTGATCGAACAATGAAGAATTAGTCCGAACATTTGGATTTAGAATATACCGACAATTATATATATATATATATATATATATATATATAAAGTTTGATGATAAGAGCTAATAAATTGTTCGAATGTTGATGTCATATTTGTTGAGAGGGATTAAACTTTTACGGTTTCGTTTCAAACAAAATTACTTCTATCTTCGATATTGGACGAAGATACCTAGATTTAAAAAAAAAAAATTGATGATAAGAAATGTAAAAGTGGAAAATGATGGCATTACATAATGCAAAATAATGTAGAAGAATCGGAACAAGTCGAGGGTTGCTGAATTATTTAGTTTAATGATGAGGTTAACATCTAGGATACATTAAAGAAAGGAAGACAACAGCTGATAAAGAACTGGTCGTGCACTATTAGATTCTACTTCCCGGTTTAAACCCAATCCTCTTCTAAAAGTTGACCAAAATGTCATAATTTTGGGTATAAACTAAAATGATTTTTAATTATCTGTTAGATAAAAACAACTTCAATCCAAATTAATCTTGGTTTATCTTGTCTTTTCTCTTAAAAATATTCATAAAATTATCTTAGCCCTTGTAATCATCACCTACTTCTAGCCCTAAAGCACGACTTAAAACAAGTTTAATTGCTAGAAACTTCAGGATTTTTTCTTAAAAATTGCACAACTGTTTGAAGTGAAAGTTACTATATATATATATATATAGATAACTTCTTGTTACTGTAAGAATTAGTTTTCTCATATGAGCTTTTACCCATTTTCTTATATATATATAAATTTTTAACCTTTTTCTCAATTGAGTGCATTAATTTTTTTTATTTAAGTATATTAATTTTTTTTTAAAATAACAATTAAATTTTTTCATTCAATTTTTCGTTTGGTAATAACGTGATAGTTAACGACGAAGATTAAATGAATATGTTGTCTTTTTTTTCTTCTCGTAAATTATTATTATTTAATTATTAATTAAAAAAAGCAAGCAAATCAGCTTGATTAAAAAAATAACAAAGTAACTGCTTAGCTTTTTTTAATTAATAATAATAATAATAATTTAGGAGGAGAATAGAAAAAAATAACAACATAGTCATTTAATCTTCTCTTTAACTGCCATATCATCAATAGACGAAAAATTAAATGGACAAACTTAATATATGTATATATATATATATATATATATATATATATATATATATTGAGAGCTAGAATGAATAAAATGACATATTCCTTTCTTTGTGGATTATCTAAAAATTAGCTGATGAAACCTAAAATTTCCATTCAAACTAAAAAAAAAAAAAAAAGAAATAAAAAGAAGTAAAAGATTTTTTCAGGGTTGGAAGGGAGGCTTGGACTCTTCAGGTTCTGCAGCTACCTGGTTGGACAGAAAACAGCTTTTGCAAGCCACCAGATGATAATTTGACTTTTATCAAAGACCCTACGAAGAAAAATGCCTGAGTAGGTCCCACCACAGAACATAAGATCATTAAAAAAAGAAAGAAAAAAAATTGATGTTAATAATAATAAAAGAAAGATTATTAAACACAGTAAGAACACCACCACTTACCTATGGTTTAGCAAAGTCAATGTCCTGTCTATCACTCTTTTGTCAAGGAAAGATAGTCAATTGAGAGAGAGCAAAGTGGGGTTATCACTTACCAATATCAGAACAAAACTGGGTATGTTTTATTTTAATAATTGGATTTACCATAGCTGATAGAAGTAGTAGAAGTAGTAAATGAGGTTTGGTTGCTTTTATTTATGCTCAGCAGTTAGAGAAAGAGAGGGAGAGGGTGACTGAAAATAGAAAGAGAGGTTTTTTTTTTTTTTTTGAGCTCTCTTGAGCTTGTGTTAATGGAGTCTTCATGGTGCAAGAGTGTTTTAAAAAGGGTTCTTTAAACTGTGTGTCCATTTAATGTGAAACCTTTTTTATGTTTCTTTCTTTTGAGAGAGGCTTGCTTGTTGCATCATGTCTGCGTGACTGTTTTTTGCAAGATTTGGGGATCTGGGTTTTGGGTTCTAGGGTTTGACTCTCTCTCTCTCTCGCTTTCTTGGGTTTCTTCTAAATTTGTTTTCTTTCTTGTACTCTTTACTGAAATGGGAGTTTTGACTTTGTTGAATTGAGTCTTTCATTTCTCAGCTTTGGTTTTTGACCTGCAATTTATTGAAGTTTACAGCTTTGTATGGATTCTGTTTCTTGTTTTTGGGTTCCTTACAAAAAGTTGGATTCTTTGAAACAAATCTTTGTTTCTTTTTGAGCTTTTCTTGATCTGGTTAGGGTTTTGGAGCTGACCCTTCTTTTTGTGAATTCTGAGTTTTTCTTAGATGGGTTAAACCCAAACTGTTTTTTGTTGAATCTTGAGCTAGATTTGCTTTCTTCGTTTTGTCTCAGTTGATTGGGAAGTTACAAGATTTGATGCATCTTTCGCTGTGGAAGCCTATATCTCACTGTGCTGCTCTACTCTTGGACAAGAAGAGCAGAAGGAAAGATGGGTCTGAATCCAGTGTTGAAATCAAGAAGAACTCTTCAATTCTTCGGAAACTTCAAGAACACAAGCTCCGGGAGGCTCTTGAAGAAGCATCTGAAGATGGGTCACTCTTTAAGTCTCAAGATATGGAGTCTGAGACTCTTACAAACCAAGATGAGAGTCTTGGGAGATCAAGATCACTAGCAAGACTCCATGCGCAGCGGGAATTCTTGCGTGCCACAGCGCTAGCTGCTGAACGAATATTCGAGAATGAAGATTCTATACCTGACCTTCTCGAGGCATTCTCCAAGTTCCTCACTATGTATCCAAAGTATCAGTCTTCAGAGAAGGTTGATCAGTTAAGGTCAGATGAGTATGCACATTTGTCTCCAAAGGTATGCCTTGATTACTGTGGATTTGGCCTTTTTTCTTATCTTCAGTCTTTGCATTATTGGGAGTCTTCGACATTTAGCTTATCGGAGATAACTGCAAATTTGAGTAATCATGCTCTATACGGTGGTGCTGAGAAGGGCACTGTGGAACATGATATAAAGACTAGAATAATGGATTATTTGAATATCCCTGAGCATGAGTATGGTCTTGTTTTTACTGTGAGTAGAGGGTCGGCTTTCAAATTACTTGCGGAATCGTACCCCTTTCATACCAATAAGAAGCTGTTAACCATGTTTGATTACGAGAGCCAGTCTGTGAATTGGATGGGTCAAAGTGCCAAAGAGAAGGGTGCAAAAGTTTATAGTGCGTGGTTTAAATGGCCAACTCTTAAACTTTGTTCCACGGATTTGAGAAAGCAAATTTCTAATAAGAAGAGGAGAAAGAAGGATTCTGCTGTTGGTTTGTTTGTATTTCCAGTGCAGTCAAGAGTTACTGGGGCAAAGTATTCGTACCAGTGGATGGCGTTGGCTCAACAGAACCATTGGCACGTCTTGCTTGATGCTGGTTCATTAGGTCCTAAAGATATGGATTCGCTTGGTTTGTCCTTGTTTCGTCCTGACTTCATTATCACATCATTTTACAGAGTATTCGGGTATGACCCTACTGGTTTTGGATGTCTTCTTATCAAGAAATCAGTGATGGGAAGCCTCCAAAATCAGTCTGGGAGTACAGGGTCTGGAATGGTAAAGATTACACCTGAGTATCCTATGTATTTGAGTGATTCTGTAGATGGTCTGGATGGGTTGGTTGGCATTGAAGATGATGAGGTTGCTGGGAATGATGAAAAAACCACAGAAACTCGCCCAGGATCACAGTTGCCTGCCTTCTCTGGTGCATTCACTTCTGCTCAGGTGAGGGATGTATTCGAGACTGAGATGGATCATGAGAACAGTTCTGACAGAGATGGAACAAGCACAATATTTGAAGAAACTGAAAGTATTTCAGTAGGGGAAGTGATGAAAAGCCCTGTCTTTAGCGAAGATGAATCATCAGACAACTCATTCTGGATTGATTTGGGTCAGAGTCCCTTGGGGTCAGACAATGCTGGCCAATTGAACAAGCAGAAGCTGGCATCTCCACAACCACCTTTCTGGTTTTCTGGCAAGAAGAACAACAAGCGACTCTCTCCAAAACCAACATCTAAGATATATGGCAGTCCAATGTATGATGACAAAGGGGTACACCTGGGGTCACATGATGACCACAATGTGTTGTCATTTGATGCTGCTGTTCTATCAGTTTCCCAGGAACTAGACCGTGTTAAGGAGGTTCCTGAAGAAGAACAATTTTCAGAAGCAGACCTCTCTTCAAGAAACAACAAGGCAGGATCAGATCATTTGCATGCTCATGAGATTGAGGAAGAACCTGGAACCAGCTCTTTTTCAAACTCTGCTATAAACAGATCCCAAGTCAGTAATTCAACTTCTGGTTTGCATCATAACCTAACCAATGGCTCAACTGCTGCAATTTGCTCCGAGATGAAAGAAAGTGCTATAAGACGAGAAACAGAAGGTGAATTCAGGTTGTTGGGGAGAAGGGAAGGGAGTAGATATGGTGGTAGTAGATTCTTTGGGTTGGAAGAGAATGAACATCCAAGCAGGGGAAGAAGGGTATCATTTAGCATGGAGGACAATCGCAAAGAACGTTTGAGCCATCCTCTGGAACCAGGAGAGACATCTGCAACCAGCCTGGATGATGAAGATTACAGCACTGATGGAGAATATGGCGATGGGCAACATTGGGATCGAAGGGAACCTGAGGTAATTTGCCGACATTTGGATCATGTGAATATGTTGGGTCTCAACAAAACTACTCTCCGGCTGAGATTTTTGATCAACTGGCTAGTAACCTCTCTACTTCAACTCAGGTTACCCAGTTCAGATGGAGATGGAAGGGTAAATCTTGTACACATCTATGGCCCAAAAATAAAATATGAAAGGGGTGCAGCTGTAGCTTTCAATGTCAGAGATAGGAACCGGGGGCTTATAAATCCAGAAGTTGTTCAGAAGCTGGCTGAAAGAGAAGGTATCTCTCTTGGGCTTGGTTTCCTAAGTCACATAAAGATTCTAGATAGCCCAAGGCATCAACGTGGTGCTGTGAACCTTGAAGATACTACTCTGTGCAGACCAATGGAAAATGGGCATCATAATGGAAAAGGTGGTTTCATAAGGGTTGAGGTTGTCACAGCATCTCTCGGATTTCTGACCAACTTTGAGGATGTCTACAAGTTGTGGGCTTTTGTTTCCAAGTTTCTTAATCCGACCTTTATCAGGGAGGGTGGCCTTCCAACTGTTGAAGAGGGCATGGAGGCTTGAGTTCTGGGACATCTATCAATAGTTTTGTTCCAGGATGAAAACAAAAGAACTTTGCAGGCATGGGCAATGAATTGGGGTGCAACATCTGAGAGTCAGAGCCGAAGATTGGGAGGTGTTAATCTCTGTGGCCAGATCCTTTTGCTCTTCCTCGCGACTCTTTGATGCAACCGGTGAATTTGTTAATTCTTGTTTGTTTGATTTTTTCCCCTTTTCTTTTCACTTTTGGGTTTTTTGTAGAGGTGGCTTTAGAATCTGTATCATCTCGGGAAGTTATGTTGACCTCAAAGCAGAATTATATGGATAGAACTTTCAGCACCAAAAACATTCTGCTTTTGCTCTATACGAAATCAAATTTCTTGCATCTGTTAAAAAAAAAAAATCACTTTATTTTGCCTGTTGTAGTCTATAATACAATTCTGTGGCCTATTCATTACTTTGAATCCCAAGTTCTGTTAGCGAGGTGGTAGTTTAATCCTTGAAATTGGACGGGGAAAATTTTCGTTTCTTATTCTGGTTGGGATTGCATCATGGTTTAGTACTAGCTAGCTTTGTCAACCAATGAAGTAGTGCCTGGAGAGAATGTTGTTTTCTTGCAAAGAGGAACTGGTATCCTAGGAATTTCACAGCTTAGTGTATATCAGTTAGGAGATGATGCAGGGTTTTGACTGTAATTAGGATAACTAGGCTTAATCAGTACTGCAAATTCTATGCTGGTCTAATTTCGATAAAGAGAGTTGCAACAATGCCAATAACAAAAGAGAGTTTCTGGGTAATCTTCAAACCTAGCCGGAGCCTTGCTGACCATAACACCATAGTTCTGCCTGAATGGTCTTTTAGCTGAGGAAGCAAGTTGTTTGGTCTTTCAAGAATAGTTTTAAATCGTGGATGGTTAAAAAAATAATCACCGTCGTCATCGCATATTTTTATTTATTATAATAGTAAAATAATAATAACAGTATGTTTCGAAACCGTTACATAACGACTATTATATAACATAATGATTGTATAACATAATGATTGTTAGTGATGAATTTCAATTCAACGAGACTTAATCAGCTCTTCCTTAAAACTCTCAGTATGGAAAAGAAACTGCCAAAACCTAATTTACTGTGGGCAAAATCATGCACCAAGGAATAGTGGCTTGATGTTAACAGGAAATGGATATCTCCTTGCATAATGCAGAGCTCATCATCATGTACAGAGGGGGTCTATGTCCTTTGGTAATTATCATCACTGGGCCATCCCATTTAGGTTTGTTTCCCATGGAAATCATGGTGGACGTATGTATGATTCTGCTTCCTTTTCTTTTGGTGCTCATGGATTCTCACTTCTCAGTGTTCTAGGAGAGCCTCAGTGGCTCTTTTTCGTAAAGTTGGTGTGGACATGGCACTGCAAATTTCATTCTGAGACCATGTCATGATGATCACCACATGCTTTTCCTAGAAAATAAACAAAAAAAGAAACCTTAAAGATAGCGTAATAAAGTAAAACAGGAATGGTGCCATGTTTGACAAACCTGCTTTGAGAGCTCCTGTGGGGAAGTTGCTTCTAAAAGGAGCTTTTTTACCCGGTGGTGGTGGCTGACAGTGAATCGTTGACAAACTTCAGCTGATCGAAGACTCTGCTTGGTAGTAGCCTAGTTGGCTACTTAACTAAAAAAGATTTGGAAGATATTGCATTTGCGTGTCATAATCATCATCAAGAAAATGTACCAAGATCTGTAAAAGTTTATCCTGATGCTTCCCAAAACTTTGTATTATATTACGAGAGAAAAGGTGAGAGTGCCTTCCAAACCAATTGTTTTCTAAAATTTTATACTAAAGAATAAGAACGATATGGACACGTAACAAACTTGCAAGCTCAACGTGAGAAAGCAACATGTCACCAGAAATTGAAGATCTGGTTTGTGCACTATACAAAGTTCTCTGTCCCAGTCGTATTGGCCACTACACAATTAAAAATTTAAAGCTACTTCACCTTCAGCAGGCCAGATCAACTATTCCCTAAGCTCTGAAATATTAAATCAACTGTGACTTAAATATTAACAAACAACAAAAGTAAAGAAAAGAATTACTTCGGCTCGTGATTGGTTCCAGCTGGTTGGCAACTTAAGATTCAAATCTTGGATCTTCCACAAAGTTGATATCCCACTTTGCCAGCTTATGGCAAAGATAAACAGATTCAGAGATGAGGTGGCAGTAGAGGATATGAACTTTATGATTCCATCATCTTTATAAGAAATGCAGTTTCTAATGCTGATTCCTTGCACTGCAGGTATCTGTTTTCCTCCACTATATCTGTTGTTAAATTAAGCAGTATCGGCCTTTTGGGGTCATAAATAGCACGTTCACGAACTCGTGCAGCCCATTTTGCTGCTTCCCAAACCCCAAATCTGAAAGATATCAAAGATAAAGATCATGAGCATCCCACTGAAGACAAAAGCAAAAGAAGACAATCATTGTTTCTGAAAGATGAAAAGTAGAATCACTTTGACGTAATAAACATATAATAACAATTTATAGGGACCAAAGAGCTTGTAGTCCAGTGGTAGTAGTCTCTTGCAACAAGAGGTCACGGGTTCAAATCCTACTAGACTAGTTTTGTTAGGAGCCTTGGGTGTGTGAGTTTAAAAATAATAATAATAATAATTTATAAGAAAAGAAAATAAATCAAATAAGTCTTGAATCAGTCGTTGATAAATTATTTCAAGCAAGAAACATGAATCACTCTGACAAAGACCATGTGTGCATAATATGTCTGTGTGCATGCATGCGAGGTATCTTTCTGATCTGACAAAATGCATACACTTTATTTAACAGCAGAAAGTTGGTATCCCTCAGTTCTTCATTAAGGAACTGCACTAAATAAACTCAAATTGTGCATGAGTACGAATCTCTCCACCATTTGTCTATCATGTGCCTTTTTCTGAACACCAGTAAAACATCTATGATGTATGCTTGAAGTTAGACCAATTTATCCACGTAGCATTTTGAGCATATGCATATTATTTGCAGCAAAAGTCAGCTCAAGTCAGTAGCTCTCAATATGAATCAGAGGATGTATTTTGAAAGCTTAAAAGAACAGGAAATTTCCTATTCAAAAATAGGAAATTTATCTGAATTGAATTCCAAGTGTTGTTAGTTACAGTGAAGGACCCCCACTATTCCAAGAGAGCTTATCAAATTTTTGCCACATCAGCAGTGATTTAACTTCAAATTCAAAGGAATAGCACGACTTAAAATGAATATGCAGTTCAGCAACAAGTATAACTTTTGAGATGAACTTACTCTATTTATATCAATCACTATGTAAATGAATTTGGAAGCTTAACAATTTAATCATTATCCATATTACATAATCCACTTTCTTTTATGTAGAAAAAGAACTCTACTCGATAGAAGTAAGCCAATAACCTGAAGTGAATCATCTATCAAGCATCAAATGGGAAACAAGGGACAACCCAAGACCATATCAAGTGACACGAAGAAAAGAAAGTCACAAAGCAACAACTGAAGAGTTTCCAGCATGAAGAAAAATTCTCAAACTGCCAGTTCAAGGTCCTACTGTTTAAAATTCATAACTGCATTTCAAGATGATAAATTTTCTCTATGAAAAAAAAAAAAAAAGAAGGGATGACAGAGTTCCTGTCATAAGTTGTGCACTTGCAGTGGTTTTGATCTTGCCACTATCAGTGGAGTTCATCAACTTTGCATGCATCGAGAAAAAAATTGCATTTGTGTTTGAGGACCTGTCTGAGTATCGACTATTCAAAGAAAACCAACATGTTAGCAAATTACCGTGTATTAAAGGATGAGGTTATCAACACAGCAGGATAAAGGACATCTTTCCGAATATTGGCATAAGGACAATATTCCATTATGGCATGAAAATCATCAATGTCCCCAGGGTACCCAAACTCTTCATAGTCAGCAGCAGTGAGTGGTAAAATGGGATGGAGAAGAGTGCTGGTTACATCTAGAAAGGGAACCTGAACAAAAAAAGAACATGTAATTATTGGAAAACAAGTATGAAGAATCCTTCCAGCTCTTAATTTTGCTTTGAAGAACAAGATCAAAATAAAGAAAAGATATTGACCAATGGTCATATAATTGCAAATGCTAAATAAAATCATCAGAACTTTTTAATTATAGTGTCCAGACCAGCAAAAATGATTGCAGAAAATCAACGAGCACAAGTCATACCTTCATATGATCAAGGGAGAACAAATGCAATGATGTTTTTTCTTGTATAAGGTAACCAAGAAGTTGGTTGCATAAGTCACTTTACTTGATAACAAAGGCAGCAGTTTATATTATCATACACGGTTTCACAATGAGCGAAACGTGTATATTCATGTATACCTTCAAAATGGCAGCACGAAATAAATCTGGGCAACTATTAATGGCAGCAGCCACCAAAAGTCCTCCAGCACTATATCCCCAACCAGCAAGTTTGTTTTCTTGCACAAACTCATTTTCAACAAGGAACTTGGCACAGGAGACAAAGTCTTTGATCGAATTAAGTTTCTTCCTTTGCCTACCATTATGTTGCCATGCCTTACCATGACCACCTCCACCTCTGCAAACAGACGGGTGAAACCATGAGACTTAAGACACAGGCACACAAAATGTGCTGTAGAGTAAACTTTAAACAAGCCTGGCAAACGGTAATCATTTCAAAAGAGGATTTAACAAACTGTATTAACACTGGAAACAAGATGAGCCAAAATACTTCTGAATGGTTGCAATACAGGTGAAAAACATACCTAACATCAGCATATGCAATAACCCAACCACGATCAAGAAGGCTTTTCAAATCACTGCACCACCGCTTGTCAAGTAACTCACCATAAGCTCCATGCCCATGAAGCAAGCCAGGATTTTGATTCTTACTTTTGTTTTTGCGTGAGTATAAAATAGTTAAAGGAACCATAACTCCATCATAAGAGGAGACATCATACCGTTCACAAGCATAGAACTCAGAGAGGTCATTCCACAAGTTATCGTCTTCAGATTTGATTTCATTCAGAAAATCAGAATTCAGATTTTTCAAGGATCCATCAGCAATGCCTCCTGAAGAGGTTGTCCCATACAAAATTCTAGTTCTTTCATAGAGCAAATTTTGCTGTTGGGCAATATTCCACTCGCCAGTTGACAGTTCATAATCAACTACAGCGTCGGGCATCTGCAAAAATTTGGAGTGAAAGGTTTGGGTGGAGATGCACAGTTTTGCAAAATATAGAAAATAACATTCACGTGGAGAAAAGAAGTTGGAAGAAATCTTCATTCTTATTAAAACATGAAAAGATGTGCAAGCACAAGGTATAAAAAGCATGGTTTTCATGAAAGTGCAAAGCATGCATTGTATGCTAACTGGATATAAACTCTAATCCTCATACACTAAAACCTCATAAAACCGTGTAACAAAAAAGAAAACCCTCAGAATTCTCAATTGATCAAACCAAAAAAAATCTCAAGATAACAATATCATTAAATAAGCACTAAAGAAAAGAATCATTTGTCTAGCCAAATGTTGCAATTACTGCTCTAAAATACAGTGTCAAGAGGTTGAATCTCTGGTCTTACAGAGAGTAGTTTTCATTCATAACTTCCCAGTACCTCTGAATCAGAATCCAAGTATATAATTTAACTGTTTAGTAAATATCAGAATTGATATGAACATATGTAACTACAAAAGCTTGAGGAAATCATCTGCTAACATAGATGACTTTTATGGGTCATACCACTGGTGATGATATTGTAAAGCGCATGGTTGATGAGTAGTAGTCATAATTTGGTCCAGGTGAAATTTGAGAAACATGATTTGGAAGAGGAAGGAATGTAGGGTTAAGTTCTTTCAGACTAACTGCTTCCTGCCAGAACAAAAGAAGAAAAGATGAGAATAGCAGAAGAGGAATACCATAAATGCATTCTTAGTGAAACCATTATGTTACCTTCCTAGAAGGCATGGGTAGAGGAACTGAACAAAGTCTAAAGCTGCAGTTTTCCCGTAAGATTATAGCCAAGTGTGTATTACAGAAATCAACATCTTCAATAACCATATCTTGGTCATCATTGAATACATTCTGCAGCAAATGCAGTGATTGAGAAAAGAACATATGAAGTAAATGTGTTCGCCAAAACAGAAAATATTTATGAAAATATAGGTGACTTTTTAACACAAGGAATTACTACTAAGAAAATTGCTGAAAGAAAAAGGATTGTAAAATATGTATAAAGTAGTGAAAATAAAACAGAAAAGAGATATGCAGCAAAAATGTATCAAGCTCTCAAGCACCATACTATCCAACCAATGGTATAAGCTGGCTCCCCAGACAAAAACAGGGAATAATAATAAACAAAAGTGATTGCACATAGTTAACCCACCAACCTCCCAGATCCTTGGACCAGAAGAAGCATTAACTGGACATCGAAGAAGATAATGATGATCAACCAATTGGCCCCCTTTCGCAGCATCAGTAAACAAGTAAAGGTATCCTTGATGATGTTCAACTATGCAGTGGGCTTGAGCTTCACATTCCCAAGCTAAAGCCATGCCAGACAATGGATCAGCTGCATTTATCAGAAAGACCTAAAACATGGTCATGATTATTGTTCCATTTCAACTAAGATTAATGTCAGGATCTCGAGTTGAGAAAAAGTGTTTGAAAGTGATACCTTTGAGGATGTTGTAGAGAAAGTATTTACAGTCACAAAGCAGAAATCCTTTGTGTGTCTGATGTTAACATAAACATTTTCAGCTGGCTCATCTAGAAGCAAAACATCTTCCTCAGTTGATCCAATCATGCTACAATATATTCTGATGAAAAAAGAACAAAATATCAACTTCATGCTGTTAAATTCAACAAGCCAGAATAAAGCACACGATGACAAGATAAATCACACCAAAATGTTATAAAATCCATGTAATACCCACCGACAAGGCCTCTTATGTTGGTCAGTAACAACATACAACAATGCCTGTCCATCCTTAGCCCAAGCCAAATTCGAAACTCGATCTGCTTGAGGCTTACTACACAATGCACCAGAATTCAAATTCCGTACAGACAATTTAAAGTAGTCATTGTCCTTATCATACATAGTATATGCAAGAAACTTATGATCAGGTGACACTTCTGATAATTCTTCGTAAGCATAACCTATAAACACAAATAAAAAAACAACCAAACAATAAACAAACAAACATTGACCCAAATAGCACAAAAACAACAAAAATTTCATTCTCCAGTAAAAATTGTCACTTTATCAATACCTCCAAATCTCTCAGCTTCTTTATTGTAATCAACCAACTTCTGCTCAATCTTTTTCCCAGAAACAAAATCAAACCCACCCGAAGGATCTTTATTCGAAATGAATTGTTCATTTAAGCTTGCCAATCTCCTACAAAGCACAGGATACTGCTTCCCCTCTTCAACTCTTCTATAATACAACCTACAGTGAGTAACATTCACCTTGAAACAGTAACAAAAAGAGGGAAATTTAAAAAATAAAGCCATTTTCAGATTCTCAAACAAAATTAACAACGTTGATCAAATTATCCAATAACCTTTTGAAAAATTAACCAAATTACAAGCAGCAGGGACCATTTGAGACTTGAAAATCACATACCATGGACCCCAGCGAATGGGATAGGTAGATAGCTCAACGTGCAATCTTGAAGCCATTTCAGACTGGAGTTTACTCTGAAGTTTCTCAGTATCAGACATGACAGCTTCTGCATACTTCTCTTCTTGCTCCATGTAAATATCCATGTGTCTCATAGCTACTTTGTCATTTAAGTGTGACATCCAGCTATATGGGTCTTCCCAGGTAGCATCATGGAATGTGAAAGATTGAGGTTTTTGTGGTGGTTTTGGAGGTTTTGGAGGAGCTGGTGATTTGGGGGGTCTGTAGTTGCGGATAAGAAGGTGGTGGAGACTGGTGGGTAGACGGTGGTTGTAGCGGTGGAAAGTGGTGGCTAGCAGGTGGCGCATGGCTTTTTGGTGCTGGTGTTTCCGGGGGTTTACGGAGGAAATGAGGAATTCTTGGGGTTTAAGAGCTTTGAAGAGATGAAAATTTATATACTCCCTCTTTTTATTTACTATTGTGGTATGGTCCCGATTCTCTTAATTTTTAACTTATAACCAACAGGGACCAAAAAAGTTAAAAAAAAAATGAAGAGCATATCCTATTTAGTGTCTAAACTTTCATGATTTTTACAATCAAGTGTCTCGTCTCGTCTTCAACTTTTATTTTTCTTTTAGTTTCAACTATTAAAATACTATAATTAAGTATATTTTGAAAGTATGTAAAACGTAATTTATGATGATATGGGAGAAATCAGCTCAATTTATTCTTGTATTTTATGCTGAGTTTTTAATCCATTTCTAGAGGTCTAATTGCTCTCCATTTGTCATTAAATTTAAGATTATTTTCTAATTTATCTTTTGTTAGAATTTTCCATCCAAACTTATAGAAATATCTTTATTTAAAAAAGAAATACTTAAACGATTCCTTTAAACACTCCACTGTTATTATTACATAAAAAAGAAAACTATTGACAAAAAATGAAAATAATTTTGACAATTAAAAGGGTTAATCCAGCAGACAGACGACATGTCGTCTGCATAACCCTTTTAATTGTCAAAAGCAATCGGGGAGATTGCCTTTGATCGATTGTTACGCAAAGAATTTTCTGCCAAATAATGAACGATCGAAGCATAGCTAGTTGTTCTCTATTTAAAGCGAAGAGCCGAAAAGGAGGCAACAGCCATCAACTAGGGTTTCTCCTCTTCTTTTACTGTGTTAGAAAGAAAAGAGAGCAGAGTTTGCTGGAAGCTTCCGGCATGGGAGTGATCGGAATGGCTCAAAGATACTTAGTTACAGAGAGAGTCTTTCCGAGTCCTCCCATCCCGCAGGTTTCCAGTAATTCCTCTCTTTACTTATCTGCGCGATTCAAGCAGCTCTGAATTGCAAGATCTATGATCCTGTGAGGTAAATCTACTCTAATCTGATGCTTTGCTTTGTTGTCCATAGGTAGATCTATCTGCTAAGCTTCTCCAACCGTTTTTTTTTTTTTATCATTATCATCATCATCTTTTTTTGGTGATACTTTACTTGGGTTCCCAGTTCCAAAAAGGAATGACCTTTCAATTTTTCCTTGTTTGAAGGAACGAGTAATCGATTGACTGCAGAAGTTCTTCAGCTTTTCTTAGCAACACCAATTGATTTATGCTTTCATGGGAGAATCACTAATTTTAAATGGACCTTAAAGCATAGTCTCCCCGTTTCGAAATTATCAAGAAACTCAGTCTCATCTTCATCCAAAGCTTTCGATGGTCCTGCAAATAAAAAAAACAAGTCATTAAAGCTCCTTCATTCTTCTCATTACAAATGGGTTTGAGTAGACAAACCCCAAGACGCAAATAATAAATCTACATAAAAACAAAGGAAGAACTCACTATGCTTCAATCCACGATTGAATTTCTTTGAATGACAGTCGATCAAAAACAATCTCTCTCTCCGATTTTAACTGTCAAAAGTCAAAATTACTTTCTTTCTTGGTTAACATTTTTTTCCACAAATGTAAAGAGAAGAATCCTCGAGCATCGCATGCCTGGTCCTGGAACAACAAGGCACCTAGGACTCGATCTTGACCTGACCCAACTGAGCATTTAGGACTTGATCCCAGTCAGACACTTGAGTGCTTGGTCCCTGCCCTGGTCCGACCCAGGCTCTCGTACAATTTTCTCCACTCACTACTAGCATCCTGGACCTTGTTTACATTTGACACCCGTCCACCCCTAAACCAATCCCATGCCTGAACTCTATCCTTCACAGTTCACATTACATGTTAAAATGAGTACTCTCTAGTCAAAATAAAAGCTGATCATCTTGAAATCCATAGTTATTTTCTTTTTCAACAATCCACAAACATTAGTCATATAGATCTTATAAAAAATCCTAGAGGGTTAAATGAGTTTGCTTTAGGCGATAGATCGATATTATTTTTTCTGTCGTGAAGAGACTTAAAAGTTTAAAGGCCACGACCTTAAGTAATGATTATGGTATGCCTGTGGAATGTACCTCTTTTATCTTCATTTTTTTAAGGTTGTTTCACACAAAAGGAAACCGCATTACTGGACTTGTGTTTCCAATGAAACAGAGTTTGCATTTCTTGTCGCCAGATTCACTGTCTTTCTTTCTACAAAGAAAAGCCTGTAGCCTGTACCATCCAAAGCTGCACTCTGACCTTCACAAGGAACCGTAGCAATAAAGAATCAATGAAGAAGACTCAAAAAGCGTTGTATAGTACTTACTATAAGGTGAGAAAAGACAACAAAGTATTTGAAAAGCAGGGCCAATGGTTTAGACCAGGGAGTTTGAAGCATTAAACTAAGGACACGACAAGAAACTGGGAAAAATTCTTGAACCAGAAAAAATAGTTGGAAGCTTTTAAACACAAGTTAATACAAGGTTCTTCTTTCATAAAAGAAAAAGAAAGCTACAGTACTATGGTTCTTCTCTTCTAAGTACTAGAACAGAAAGAGGTTTGCTTAGACGAAGGCTAAGGCTATCCTAGAAACAACTTAGGCCTTAGCAATGGCAGGAAGACCGGAGATGTTTGAGGCAAAACCACCCCGTTTTTTCAAAGTCATTGTTGAGGAAATTTTAAGTGAAAGAAGGCTTGTAAGCATTCTCCGATCTCTCTTTTTTACGGGAACAAAATTGCTTCATGTATAGATTTCTAATGCTTCAGAAAAAAAAAATGTATAGATTTCTTTGCAAGTTCAGCTTCCTAATTATGTGGTGGTGTTTCTGTTTTCAAGAAAAATAAAGAAATAGAAAGGATGTTTTTTGATTTTGGTCATGAAAAAGTTCATGACTTTTACTTGCTTAGATGGGATATATCTCTGTTCAGTGTTGTAGATTAGAAGGCTTTAGCTCTTCTTGCTGCATAATTGGTTCATTACTGAGTAAATTATGGATTTCTGTGTAGCGTTTATTTATAGCGAGTAACCCTAGGGAGCTGAATCACCTCCTCTTTCAGGAAGGAACAGCATTTTCTAGTATCCCGAGGAATGATTTGTTTTGTTTTGTTTTCCTACTGAGTAATATTGAAGGATATAATTAGTTTAGGAGTTTCATTAGATGCCAATGCACGTGCCTTTGTCAGTCCATTTTAATGTTTTCTACTTGAAAACTGGTAGATGATTAACTTGAGTTGGTTTTTGTATCAGCTGCTTCCAAAAAATTTGTAAGAAAGTATGGGAAAGATCTGCCAAATCTTGTACTCCTTAAGGTCCCTAGTGGTGTAGAGTGGCAAATTGGGTTGACAGAGAGTGATGGGAAAGTTTGGTTAGAGAAGGGTTGGCAGGAATTTGCAGATCATTACTCACTAGCTTATGCGTATTTTGTTTTTTTTTGAATATGAAGACAATTGCCATTTCAATGTCCTCATATTTGAAAAGGATGCTACAGAGATAGATTATCCACCCAGAATTTGTGAAGGTCCTGGTGAAGAAGCTGCTGATAATCAGTCTAGTGGGAAGAAGCAAGAGAATTCCAGGACAAAGGCAAATGCGGGACATTGTTCCATGATGGAAATCAATGGTATGAAAATTGCATCATGATGTTACTTATTTGTGTTAATTTGGTTGAATAAGAAGTTAGTGTAGTTGAATTTTATGCTTTTCTCATCATTGTGTGGATTTTCAAAGGAAGATTTGTCACCATTTGAAAGTGGTGGTGGAGGCATGCCAAACATTATGAGAAGTATGCAACCACTGCAAAACAGTGAGGAAGCTGAAGCTCTTCGAAAATCTGATTTTGAAACTGAAAATCTTCTTTCAAGGTTGCTATGAAGCCATCATATGTTGGAAATGGTTTTAGATTGGTAAGTTATCGAGCTATATATAAGCGGGAACCAGCTATACCATATTTTTGCTTATGCCAATCGGCACACATATATAGCAGTTAAGGAAGATGAATCAGAACCGATAAAATTGTTTTCTCCTCTTTCAGTTGAAACCAGAATTATTTTTCATTCTTCAAAGTTCTGATTGGTGAATATTTCATCAATGAACTTGTTAAGTTCCTTCACTTTTGTAGTAGTAGTATTTATTACTTAGTTTTGATTTATGCTAGTATCTCTGTTATTTATTCACTCAAGCTTATGTATTAATGGCCTTTGTGGCAGAGAATTCCTGCAGCGTTTGTGAGAAGGTTCAAAAAGCTCATGACCAACACATTTATCATAAAATCTAACATGGGCAAGTCATCTCTTGTAACTATGAAAAAAAGAAAAGATGGTTACTTCTTCATACGTGGATGGAAAAGTTTCGTGAAATATCATGATTTACAAGTTGGAGACTTTCTAGTCTTCAATTTTGTTGGTGATAGAACCTTTGATGTGGTGATATATGAGCCAAGTGGCTGTGTTAAGGACAAAGTAGCCTCTAACCCTAACAGGAACCCTACTAGCTCCCGACAAACCAGTGTTAGTATTGCAAGAAACCAAGAAAAGCCCACCAAAAAACATGATCAAGCTGGATCATCTCATTTGTCTGTGAAAAGTTCTGAATCTCCTGATAATGATGGAAGAATCGGTGAGCTATTTGATTGATTATCTGTAACTCCTGCTACGTACTTTACATCGATATTATATACTGTCATTGATAATTGACCAATCAGTTTTATGTCATGCAAGATGCGAATGCTGAAGAGATTGGCGGAATTGGTGAGAGAGAAAGAGTGGCTGAAGCAATTCGTTCTGTCACACCAAATCATCCTATTTTTGTACAAGTTTTGAAGGACTATCAAAAGTACAGCATGGTAATTAAATTCATCTTCTCTTCTAATATCTTCATTTTCTCATCCTTACAAGGAAGCTTTTTGGCCTTTTTTTTCGTAACTATATATATATAAGCTACATTAGTAATAAAAGATTTTATTTATTTTTTTGAAAGTTTGTACCAAGGGATATTGTTAGAGAAACAGGATTGGCCAAGAAGAAAGTTGTGGTGATTAAGGCCCAACGGGAAGGAAATGGGAAGTAGGCATTCGTGCATCAAACAATGGGCGTTACGTCCATTTGACCACGGGGTGGCAAGAGTTCGTTGGAGCAAATGGATTGGTTGCTGGGGACACCTGTGTATTTCATTTCCAGCAGCAAGGCATAATCAATGTTCAAATTCACAGCAAAAAGGAAGAAATGAAGGAAGTTATCAGGGTTAAAACCGAATGAGGTAAAGCCATAAAGAGGTTGGTTAATTGCAGCTTTTTGTGTCTTGTTCAGTGTTCAATGTGTATGATTTGGATGGAAAAAATATGGGTGTAAAGGAGATGATGTTTGACATGTACAGTGGATGGACCTTGATGTTTCTAAGTCTGCCCAAAGATGGCGGCAAGATGGTCCAAATGACACCTATGTATCAAGACCACTGCTTGTGATGTGTTCTGTATTAGCTACGTCTGTTTAATTAAGCATGCATGGAATTGTCGATGGACCTTAATGTTTTTTTTTTTTCCGAACTTCTTATTTCTATCAATAGTAGACTGCGTTGGCCTGTGAATTACAGTATATGTCTGACATTAGCATATATTTCTATCCTTCTAACCTGATTGGTCTCATGTTTTTTTTGTGTTGAAGCAGCATCTCTGTTTATAGTGTTAGTTCCGTTTGTATGTATCATAAAATTTGAACAGATGGTGTTTTCGTCAAACTAAATAACAGTCATTCGATATATAACTTTATTTTTCCAAGAAAGTCATTCATCTTTGAGCCCATTTACTTGCTCACAATACTCTGCATCAACATCTTGATGGGTTTATTTTCCCACGAAATTCAGGTTGAACATTAGAGCATTGGAATTTAGCTGCACCCTCACTTCCGGTGTATTTGAGGTCTATATCAGCAACCTCCACTTCCTTGCATGGGATGCCCTTGCTACAAGAAAGCTGAACAGCGACAGGAGTTCTAGAAGTGCCTCTTATATTCTTAAAGCTAACATTCTTGATGCTTACTTTTGATGGAGCCTGCACGCATGGAATGAAAAACCACGATAAGGTTAATTTTATTAAGATCAATAATCAAATATTTCTTTCTTTCTTTTTGTAATTTCTAAATGAAGTACCTTCCTATTGCACTCATTCCATGGACAGTACACTTGATCTATGACAATAGGATTGCTGACGTTCTTCATGATAATATCTTCGAAATGTATATCAGATGCTGAGCCACCAAATAACGCAGGCCAAGTCTTAATTCTCACACCATTTTGGGTATTAGAGATGGTGCAGTTTTTAACAAAGATTCCAGACACAGATTCTTCGTTCTGGGATTTCCCTAAACTTCCAATGCTGATGCCATGACCAGGTGCGCATGTCACTCCTTCAATTGTAATTTGTCTGCTACCATGTCCCAGAGAGATACAATCATCTCCGGTTCCAATCTCTGAATCGATGATCTTGATGTCTTTTGATCGTCCGATATGGATCCCATCTGTGTTCATGCTGTCATCATGGGCAGTAATTGTAAAACGTTGGAAGGTAAGATTTTTGCACCCCAAGAGATGAGCATGAAAGTACTTGCTGTCTATGGAATTTATATCGTGGACTACTCCGTTGGTGATGAAATTGAACTTCAAATTCTGATGATGAAACAAGGAAACAAAAACAACATAAAATTAAGAAATTTATTTAATTTGTTAGATATGTATAATTAATTAGCATAAAATTAATCAAGAAATTAAACTTACAACTGGGGGGACTTGCAACTTTTATCCTTTCCACAGTTTTTTTGATTCAATGTCAGCTTTCCTTGGCCATCAAAAGTTCCACCGCCAGTCAGTGTAAACTGATCAACGTAGTTGAGAGTAATCCAGCTGCTAAACCCTTCGAATTCACTCCACGCTGCTGGTGCCTGTAATTTGCCTCGAACTTGAAGCTCAATTGCAGCCTTGCATGGCCCTGATATAATCACTGGCCCTAACAAGTACGTCCCTTTCGGAATCAAAACTGTACTGGGATTTGTTGATGCACAAGCATCTTCCCATGCACTTTTGAAGGCCTGAGGAAGGTAAAAGAAAATGCAGAATATTTTGATCAAGATCACAATTTGGTAAGTAAATGTTCTATTAATTGCTCGAGAAGAATCAATTGGATAAAATTAATACCTTGCTAATGTCTTCCTCGTCACCATATTTAGTAACATCAAAGACAACATTTTTGGCTCTAACATTAACAGATGTCAAGAACAGCAACAGAAAGATCGCCGAGACAAAAACTTTCAAGCCCATGTTTTCTTAGGATGTTAATTTCTTCCACCTTTTTTGTGTTTTCCGAATTTGTTTGGATCGAAAATGAAACGATTTATTATCTTCTCTTCTCCTCTGAAGCCTTTTATAGGGCATTGAGGAAAACAAACACCAATCATAGATTTTCGAAACCAGCTAATACGTTCCTATTAGTAGATTTTTCTCAACTGAAATCTTACACAAAAAATTTCCTTTTTATTGTTAGATCGAAATATTTTAGGGCAAGAACATCGAATCTGGAAAACAAAAACTGTGTTTGTTATGAAAACAGTATCAAATGTTTGTTAGGTTTAGTTTTTGTTAATCCATCAAGCTATTTTGGAAATAGCATAAATATTAATTAAGGAAATTAATGAAACCAAAAATTTAAGCAAAAGTTTATTAAATTGCATAAAACCCAACAACCTATGTGATCTATGTGGTCTTTTCCATCCTTAGAAAAAGGAATTTGAGAGAGAAAACCATCATTAGCTGTTTAGTTTAGTTTTTTTTTTTTTTTTTTCTAGATTTTTTTTTAAATGAAGCAATCTCAAGCTCATTAAAACTTATATCAATAGCATTCAAATATTTAATTTTGATAAAGATTAATAGATAATTTTATTTTTTAATAAAAAATTAATTAGTTCCTCTAGTTTTACAAAAGTAATTAAAGTCCCTTTCATCCATTTTATTTATTTTATAATTTATTTTATTTTTTCAATAGGAGATGTTAAAAAAATAGATATTATGAAAAAATTAATTGCAAAAGAAGATATTTTTTGAAACAAATTGACATTAAATTAAGCATGATTTGGTTAAGAAAATAAATAATTAATTTTTTAAACTAAACAAACTATTTAATTCATCTTGCAAAGCTAAAATGATTAATTTATATTTACTATTCTGTTAAAATCAAATTAACGAATAGAGTCAAACACAAATAAAATGAATCAAAATATTAATTTCGATTTGGTTTTTAATTTTCAATCTTATTTTAAAAAATAGCTAATTGAAATTATTTCATTTTTCAAAATTTTTTTCCTTAAAAATTACTTTAAATTGAAAAACCAGCATATATATATATATATATATATATATATGTTCAAGCTAGTCTCATTTAAAAATTATAAGAATTCATCATATAAACTATTTTTTTTTTTAAGAAAAGATGATCATATTTTAAAATTGAACTCCAAAATTCACATATGCAAAAAAATAAATCATATTTGTCAGCAAATAAAATTTGATAAAAATTAAAATTAAAAGTTGATTGAATGAGAATTTCTATAAAAAAAAAATTGATAAATTGGAAGAATTAATTTTAAACAATAAGAATATTATAATATGAAATATATTTTCATTTAAAAATATGAAACACATATATCTTTATTGCTATTTTGTGCGAAAATCTAAAAAAAATAATAATAATAATTTTCTATAATTTTTTTAAAAAAAAAAAAAACAATAATTTTTTTTAAGCGTGTATAAAATTACATAAAGAACTAGGAATCACAATTTCTTTCCCATCTAGCCATTAGCAAATAAGAGAATACATATCCACCAATGGAAAAACAATAATGTTATGATATGCATGGATAGTAATTAAAGAGAGATATTATTAAAATGCCTGCAGTTTTTGGCTATCAATTAAGAGGATACGTATCCACCAATGGAAGAACAAAAGGAGCAACAACACATAACGCATCATGATATTATTCCAAATCCAAAACACAGAAATAGTGCTCATAATGGCTGTTGTCAGCGTCTGCCATTGAGGTTGCATCAAATCAGTAATAATAAACCAGTCAATCTTGGACTGGCATGGAGTGTAGGCTTACTTTTTCTTAAACTAGAAATAACAGGCTTTACTTCTTCTGTCAACTTTCTACACTACAGCAAGAAACACAGATGGTACTGCACGTCTTAGGCTAAAAGAACATTTTCCTTATTTTTTACCACCAAAACAAGAAAACCTTAGAATTTGTAACCCAAAATTCTAACTTTCTAGCATAAAAAATAGTTTCTTTAGCCTTCTTCTTTGTTTTCCTTCAGCCTGAACAAACTGGAAGGAAAAATGGGGAAAGATAACATCAAATTTTCTTACTACAATGAGTTCTTCAAAGTTTACCTTTCAAAGTTAAGTTCCACAGAAATGGTACCCTGTCGATCCCTCTCTCTCTCTCTCACTGTGTTTCTGTAATAGTGATTAGAAGCTAAAAAATGGTTTAATTATAACAAATGATTTTAACTGTTTCAGTGTTGCAGGTCGTACCACCAGCTTTTGATGCATTGTTGAAGATAAATCGAGAGACTTTACCAACGAATGTTACGCTCAAAGATTATAATGAAGTGATTTGGAAAGTGAAGATGGAGAGGAAAGGAAAGGACTTGATTATTGGAGACGGGTGGAAAGGTTTTGTTTCTCATCATTGTTTAAAAGATGGAGACTTCATCCTTTTTAAGTATGATGGTTCTTCTCAATTTGATGTTCATCTCTATGGTATTAATGGGCTGAAGAAGGGAAAAGTTAAAGAATATAGTAAGGTGAACGATGTTCATGTGAAAGATGAACCAATAACTGAAGAAAGGCCCACAGATTGTGAGCCAATTGTTGCTAGTGGTTCCGATGGGAAGAATACAGAAACTGAACCAACAGATCGAAGATCAGAAGGTGCGTTCTTGCTAACAATTTTGTTCAGTGTATGTGAGTTGGCTGCTGAATTTCCTTTATTTTCTAACTACAATTTGTTTTATGCTACCAGCTTCAAGTGGAAGTAGTGGATCTAAACCAAGTGAAACCCTTGTCAGGAAACCTAGAGAACGCCAAGGGGCTAGAGCAGTATCAGCTGTCGCAAGACAAAAAGCCTCCTTTGTTTTTAAAATGACTAAAGCCAAACGATATGTTGTGAGTGTCTCTCATCTCCTGTCTTAAAATTTAATCATCAGGCTTCCAAATAGTGTCCATTGGCAGGAAAATTGAAAACATCTTGGTGTTGTTAATCCCATTATTTTGGTTCTACTCTTGATCCACAGCTATAGTTAGTTCCCTCAGCACAAATCACCTTTGGTTTGGAAATTTTGGCCTTGAAAACTGATAATTAGGAACCAATGGCTTTGTCTTTTATGAAGACTTTGTCTTTTTAGATTCTTACTTAGTCCATGATTGTTCTAGGATCTCATTTGCTGGCCCAAAGCCCTCAACTTTAACTGGTTTTGGTTGTCAAACCAAAAATTGGTTAGCTTGTAGGTTGTTGCCACATTACTTGGTTTTGGCCTGAGTTGTTAGCGCATATTATAGATATAGAACAATTGGAAGATGGTAATCATTCCTGGAGATCAAAAAGCAACTAAGTGGATTCCTCTGTTTATAGTCTGATTTATGGAGAACTGTGAGGAAAAGAAAGAAAACGAAAGATGAGTTTGTTTATCCACATTGAAAGCTAAAAGAAAGACATCTCTTGGCTAAATCAAATAGGTCTGAGTAAAAATTGCTTTCTATTCTTGCTCAAAACAATTATATCACAACATGTGAGATCTTTCAAATGGTCAATGCAAGACGGCTCATGTAGTTTCTGAGATACCTCATGTCTTCTGAAATTTATGCTCGTCTGTTGGGAGTTTGACTTGTATTTTCACTGCCATCTAGAGTGTCCTAGTTAGTAATGCCATTGTAAATTTAAACATGTTATTTCTTGACCTTTTTTGTTACAATTGCATGGGATGTCTTATCTTGATATTTTTGCTGGCTGCAGTATGTTCCTTTATTAGTGCTGAAAGCCCATAATATTAAAATGAAGGAAGTGATGAAACTTCGAGATGAGAATGGGAAGTTTTGGCCTGTACATGTCAAATTCCTGGACAATGGTCAAATTTATCTTACTTCTGGATGGCTGGAGTTCTGCAGGGCAAAAAAGTTGAGCGTTGGAGACAAGTGTGCTTTTGAATTTATCATCCCAGAAGATAAGGATAGTAATGTAATACAGGTGCAAGTTGTTTCTCGCAAGCAAGGTGCCCCAACTCAAGAACCTGGTAGGCCTAGCAGATGAAAACCATAAGATTTTGTCCAGCCTTGTTTTCAGGGAAGGCAATTTATTAGAATTGCTTTCTTGGCAAGGGCTAGCTTACTGAATATATATATATATATATATATGTATGCTAATGCAAATTATTTCTGGTGCAGCTTCATCTGGAAGAAATACATCTAAACAAACAGAAAATAACGTTAAAAAAGTTGTGGCTGGTCGTCGCAAAAGTCCACGCTCTGTGGTGAAAATGAATCCAATATCAAAAGATACTGTGAGTTTTTCGTGTCTTTTATCTCATAATGTACACATTTATCATGGCTTTAGATTGGTTCTATTGGTGAAGAAAGTAGAAGGAAAAATATCTTACAACTTGAATTGTTGTTAATCCAATTACTTTAGCTAGTGAGAAGCTCTCATGGCGTTGATAATTAGTTGTTGAAAACTAAGACTTATCATTAGTCCTTGAAAGATGATAACAAGGAGCCTTAGTGTAACTGGAGAAATGGGGCTAGCAAAAAAAGTGGTTAGTTTACTTGTGCAACAAAAACTTAATGTTAGCTCTGAGAATTTGTGACTGTACTAATTCTAGTTGAAGCTAAGCATGTTTGGTTATCTTTAGTTGACAGCGACTTAGATATGTCTTTCAGTCTTCACAGCCGCTTAGGCTTGAAGTGTCCATTTAAATTCGTATGGCCAAGTTATCTGATCATGTTGTTTATATGGTTCTTGTTATTTTGTAATTTGTTTTGTTAGATAGATGACTTAATTGAATTAAATGCCAGAAAAGAGGAGAAAACACTGATCTGCAACAGGTTGAAAATGAGGCTAACGTGATTGAAGTAGCAGAAAAAGAAGATAGGCTTGGTGCTCTTCAGAGAGCTGTGGCTTTCAAATCTAAAAATCCTCTTTTCTGGCTTACTATCCAACAATCACACATCCATCCTGCAGCTGTGCTGGTAATCTCTCAAATGAAACCTGGGTGGACTGTCAAAATTTTGCTTCAAATTAAGCTTCTTACATTCCTTATTTGTTTATATATTTCTAACTATAAGTGCAGGACTTGCCCCAATGGTTTACGCAGAAATGCCTGCGAAACAGCGGAACTACTAGTATTGTCCTTCGTCTCCCAGATGGGAGACATTGGCGCTCTGAATTCTTCCTTGAAGTATTCAAGGGAAGCTCAAGAGCAAGCCTGATAAACGGCTGGTCTCCATTGGCTCAAGCAACTCACTTGAAAGTTGATGATGTTTGCGTTTTTGAATTAATCGTTACTGATGAGACCACGCTTAAAGTTCACATTTTCAGGAATGGAGATGGAGGTGGTGGACAATGACTTGGTGAGCAAAAATCTGTCAATGCTCTATTCAATCTATGGATACATTGTTTGCAGTTGTCCCACTAAATTGATGCTCCCAAAGGGCTAAATTAATGTCACCTTACATGAAACTAATTATTCCTCAGACTTACAATTTGTAGTAATTCTCCTTAATTTGACTAAAATTTAGTCCTAGGATCTTAATTAGAATATTTTGAAACCATGAAACGGTTTGTGGAATGTTATGCTTAAGATTGGTGGCATGGCACTCGGCTGTTGCAAGCTGACATTTGAAGCATTAAATTGGGCTGAAACTCATCAGTTCTCGGACATTTTAAGGCTTAGTTGCTAGGAGATAGGTTTCATAGAAGGAAAGGAAAAAAAAAAAGTTTTTGTTGCTCATACTTATTGAGAAGTATTAAATTTTGCTGCTCTTGTTTTGAATAGTATTAGTTTTATCTCTGATGTAGGATGAGATTACTCAAATAAAACCAAAAAAACGAAATCTAAGTATTTTAATGACCAAATAACAGGGGGGGAGGGAATTCCTAGTACCTTCTCTTCCTTTGCAACCAAGTTTCTCTCCATTCTCTTCTCTTCTCTTTTCTCGAAAAAGATTTTTCTTTCTGAAAAATAGATCTCAACTCACTATTTATGCATCTATGAAAAACAAACCCAGAATTCTTGTACAGACTAAAAGCATGACATGCACGATCGAGCATAGCTAACAAAAATTTGCTGAAGAGGCAATGATTGCTTTCTCTTCCTTTCATATTCACTGTTTGCAAGTGGATCAGAGAAGTTTCATTTTGCCGTTAACTCTGCTTATTTCGTTCCAGTTCTTGCAATGCTCTTTCTCATCCCCTCTCTCTTGAGTCCTTGTCATTCTATATGATATTCCTTCAACTGCGTTCTCACTTCTCAAGATGCTCTCCTTGTCATGCTTATTTCATTTTTTTGGTTTGTTTTATCATTTTTTTGGTATTTTCGTAATAATATAAATAAATAAATAAATAAAAAGGGATCAAAAATTGGGTGTGAACAGAAGGTGTTGAACTTATAGGAAGCAGATGCCTCCTAAGTATGCTCGTGTGAATTGAATACCTCTTTTACGGCAGGAGTAGCTTATTTTGCAGACATGTGCAAACCTGAAGCTTTCATTTTATCATGATAAATTGTATGGTATTTGTTTGAACTATTGTGCAGTTTGGTGGTTTTGTATGAAAATTTTGAGTTAATTAACAGGAAAGAAAGAAGTTGTCCTCCTTTCCCAATCCCAGAATTTAAGTCTTTATTTGAATGTTCGGAGTCCAATCAAGGGAAATATTGTTTCAGTGGATATGCTCATATTTCATAAATAATCTGGACATCACAAAACGTGGAACTTACAAAGTTGCAAGTTGAAGTGTCAAGAAAAGCATTGCCCTTTTTGCTTTGTCCTACCCCCTAAATTAAGCAAAATGAGTGAGTAGAGCTTGGTGGGATTGGATATTAATCAGCTTTTGGAAGGTTTTACTGTTAATTCTTTCTACACATCAATCCAGTAGTTTTTGCAGATCAGAAAAGTGAAGAAATTCCTTCAGCTTCACAAACTTGATCCATTTAAACGTTTTTCTAATCAATATATTGTTCTCAGAGTCTAATTAGATAATCTGCCTAAAGCCTCTGCAAGAGAGAAAATGGACAGTACACTTAAAATACTATACTGGAAAAGTGGAGTTGCAAGTTGTAAGAGGATGGTCTGAATTTGACATACCAGGCAGAAGTTAGTTTCTGTTATTGCAGTGCTAGATATGGTATTGTTTAAGATCCACTTGTATATATTTTTCATCATTAGATTGACCTGAATTTAGCTATCCAATGGGGGTTTATATGATATTAGTCATAGAAACCTGACCATATTGTATTGGAGATGCTAAACAAGTCGAAATGTTTTCATAAAATTTGGTTATTCCACAGCAAGATCGCTGACACTATTAGCCTGCTCTTATTCCCTATACAGCACTTCCTCTTACATAAATTTTGCATCAGTTCTTAGCATCCACTATCCATAAAGCCTGGAATTAAGACGTGGGATAAGGAAAATTTCAAGTGGGGTAGCTTTCAAATTTGTCAAGCCATTGCTCTCAGTCATGTCCACATCTTCCCTCGATGGCTTAGCCACTTCAAAACTATGAACCAATCTAGCCAGAGTAAACTGGACTATCCTGAGGGCTAGCGAGATGCCAGGGCACGACCTTCTTCCTGAGCCAAATGGAATGAATTCAAAATTCTGCCCTTTTAAGTCTATGTCCTTATGGCTAGTCAAGAATCTTTCAGGCTGGAACTCATCAGGATTCGGCCATACACGCTCATCGCGCTGAATTTTCCAGGCGTTTGCCATCAAGCGTGTCCCGGAGGGAATGTGGTAGCCAACTGAGAGAGTGCAGTCTTCCTTTGCGGCACGAAGGGAAATTAGTGGACTGGGTGGATACAGACGCAGCGTTTCCTTGATAATTGCTTGGAGATAGACCAAATTGTTTATATCAGATTCATCTACTGGTCTATCCTTACCAACATGGAAGTCCAGTTCATCTTGAGCCTTCTTTAGCACCTGGGGATTGTTGAGCAGTAGAGATAAAGCCCATGTAAGAGTGACCGTGGTGGTGTCGCTTCCTGCCAAAATTAGATTCTGCCAAGTATAACTCATTAGTAAGCAGTGCCCATGATATCAATCTTTGAATTTAGGTAAACGTTAGGCAAATTAAAATTACAATAATAAAAGAAAAAAGAAAGGGACAAAAAAGATGACCTTAAGGATCAAGATCCAACCCATCATCATGACAAAAGCAATGCAGCTGACAGTTTCTTAGTCTTCAGGCTGGCTATAACTTAATTTAGTTTAACATTTTGACTAATTTGAGTTCCTATTGAAACTTGTTTCAATTGCAGCAAACTCTTATACGTTATAGTTTTACTTCCAGTCCAACTATTCTTGATTTGCAGATAAGCCTTGATCTAGATTTGATGTCATCAGTTTTCTTAAAAATGCTCTGATCCACTTAGCTCTAGTATTCCACAGAGAGAACAGCCCTAAAGTAACTGTGCTTTATTATATTCTGCTAAATCAGAAATCTTGATTTCAAGACAGACAAAGCAGGCTATTTATTCCTGGACAAAAGAGGATTCAAGACCGCATAGCTATTAAGTATTACCTGCCATGGTTTTCTTTCTAACATTGTATAATTCAAAAAAGATGATCGAAACGTAATGCCTTGTATAAAACCACAGGCCCTGATGAGCAAATTTTGCCTTGTATAAAGATCGCCTGAGATACTCGAGAAAAAGCTAAAAGTTGAATATGATTTACAATCATGTAGTTAATATCATGTGCAGGGGAATATGGAAATTGAATAGTAGAACATACCAGGCAAGTAGCCTTGTTAATGGTATCTGCATCAAAATCTGAAATACTAGCCTTTCCCAAGATGTTCAGCATCACATCCATGAAATCATGCTCTTCCTTCTCCTTCCCACCCAACAATCTCCTCTGCTTATGCTCCTCCAGCCATCCTCTAATAAGAATATCCAACTCTTTAGCGGTTCTCTTCATGGCTTTTTCGTATCCATTGAAGTCCAACCAGCCAAGAAATGGTATTGCATCAGACAACACGAAAACCCCAAACAAACAAACAAAGTCTCTCATGACCTTTTGATTTCTTCGTGCCTCTGCCTCTTCACAATCAGCACTTGCTCCCGAATAACGCTTCCCTCCCACCATTCTCAAAGAAATGTTAAGTGTCAGTTCTCCAAACCATTGCTTCATATCCACCATTACTCCACTTTCTGCACTGCCTTTGCTAACCCACATCTTATGCAGATCTCTTATCGCGGCCTCTACTTCTGAAGCTCGTATGTGCCTCAGCATGTCAATCCGGTGGCTCGACAGAAGCTCAATTGTAGTTATTTTGCGCATCTCACGCCAGTAAGGCCCGTAAGGAGCAAAGCCAAACATAGCTAAGTCATAGCCTAGCAGCTTTGAGGCAGCAACGCTTGGTCTAGTGGAGAAAGCTCTGTCATGTACAGTGAAACAATCCCTGGCCATTTCCCAACTATTCACAACCAAAACTTCATGAGAACCGAGCTTTATAGTAAAAACTGGCCCGTACTTATCAGCCATGGCACCCAGTGTTTTGTGAGTCAGTTGCTGGCCACCAAAGAGGTGCATGTGGCCAATGATAGGCCAGGCACCTCCAGCTTGGGGCGCACTACTGCAGCTCGTTGCCTTACCAGTTGTTGTTGGTCTCTTTAAGCCATAAAAGTACAGAGAGAATAAAAGAGCAAGGAGGGTGGAGAACAAAATCAACAGGAATTGGAGCAGAAAATCCATCACAGATCGTAAAAGATTTTTACAGGAAAGAGTTTGCGTCTCAGGTGTTCATTTATTATTTGGTTTTCATATTGTTTTTTCTTCCTGACATTTTCCTCGGACAGATAAGGTCTGTTGACTAATGGGGTTATCGCACCACATAATTCCAAATGAGCAGCAATAAAATTTATATAAAAGACTATCTTTCAATTCCACGAAGAATTACGTTATATTAAATCCAACTTGGCTGAATGATTGCTAGCTGCCAAAGACACCTATTTAATGAGGACGTATCAGATATTTTCATTGACATGGGATACATCATTGCATTTTCCCTACGTATAAATTTTCCTTTCACAAAAATATTTTCCAGAGACTGTAAAAAACTAGATCACTAGCAAGCTAAGAGGTTTAAACATCTTTTATGAGTATGAATTGGAAATATCACATCCATTCCTATCAGTTTTGTACAAAGGTGAGACGCAAAGAGAACCTATCTAGCAGCCTCCAAGTCATCTCCACCGGATAGGTTGCTACAGTTCTTTGCTTCCTGCTCAATAGCCTTCACAACTTCGCAGAAGCGGCGTCTTGATGTTGGCAACCTTGACAGCGTCAAGCAGAAACCTTGCAACCTGATTGCAATAGATAAGATCAGTTTTCAAGTAAAAGCAAGACATTATAATATTATAATGATTCAAATAAGATAGCAATCAATGAAAGAAAATATTCAATGGTCAGCTTCTGGTTGCATAAACAAAGCATATCCACTACAACACATCATAGGCTGGTTTGGAAATCAATTTTATTGAACTAAATGGTCCAGAATGGAAGTGTTAGCAATACCTTCTACTAATTCCCTCCAACTGAGCTCTTTTGATCTCGTCCGATGGCGGAGTGCCGCCGTTCCGCCAAGATTTGATTCTTTCTGCGTCACCACCATACAAGCAGTGTTTGTAAAAGTACGTCTCATCAGATTCATCTAATTTTAGACTCATGATTTGCTCCTTCATGATGCACATTGGCTCATAGAGCCAATCAAAAATTCGTCCTTCTGGTCTATTCAATCTTGTTAGCTCAACATTGTCACCTGGCACAACATTTAGGATGGAGATTATTTCATGTCATGTCATGTCAGGTCATGCAATCATCACTTCATTTTCATTAAGTTAGCAATCACATAAGCCAAAATCCCAAGTAGTTTCCATTTGAAAATTTTATTTGCAAACTTGAAGATGTTAATCAATATTTTGGGCGCTTCATATGTGACATTGAAGAGGAACTAAGTGCCTAAACCCATTTAAGAAAGAAGATAAAAATATTTGATTTGGACTCTACATTGAAGAGGAACTAAGTCCCATCACATTCTACTGATCTAAACAAACTGGCCTTTAGCCAAATTATTGCTGCAATATGGTGAAACGCATTGTTTGCTTATAAAGTGGCAAGAGCAAAATTATTCTTACGCAGGATAACACCATGGGAGCCATGCTTGATAGAGCGGAGAAAGCATTCAAGAAATGCATATGCTGGAATTCCAATGTTGACGATCTTTGATTTCGAGTCTGCCCAGGCATCCAGATCTGGTATTCCAATGGCTTCCATTATGAGGAGCTCTTTCCCTATATCTCCAAATGTTTTGAAGAAGTTATCCCATATCTGGTTTACATATTGCAGGCAGAATTAATCAATATACAGAGAGAAACTAAAATATTTGAAGTGGGAGCACGAAAAACTGAAGATACTAAAGGTACAGGGTGCTTGAATTTGATGGGAAGAAGAAAAAAAGTGTCATTTTACAATACAAATTTACGTGAATCTTATGGTCTGATAGCAGTATAAGAGAGCTGTAAAAGAAAAACAGTGAGTGCTTACCGTAGGTCACTTGTATTCATCATATGCCCAGCTTCTTCAAGTTATTCAGGTTTTATTTGTTCAGTAACATTTACACAATTTATGTAATACACTTACGAAGCAAAGAATGCATCAACTGAAATTTCTGACAAAACTAGTTTTCTACAAGAAGAATCCTATAATAACAATGACATTCAAGGCTTCCCATTTCCATCCCCTCCTCCTCGGCGGGGACGAAACAAGGATTTCAGAAAACAATGCCTGATGATGAAGTTTGTTACAATGAGGCCCATGTTCACATTTCATGCTTACCGTTGCAGCCTTCAATGTGTTGGCTTTATCTGCAGGACTTGTTGCTAATGTTTCACCAATGTAAGCAGCTTCAAGCCGTCCATGCAGTCCCTTCACAGGAAGCAGTGAAGAACCGGAAACAGCCCCTTTTCGATATCTGGGCCTGGCTGCCGCACCAACAGAAGTTATCACAGAGATCATTGAAGGACTGCACAATCTAGAAGAATAATGTTCAGGAACATATAGGCATTACTAGAGTTGCATACCTGGGGAAGCAGGAACCTTCTCGCAAGTAAAGTAAATCATTGGTGTATTCATCAAATATTGAAGCAGAAGCAATTACATAAAGCAATCCCCTCTTAGTAGAATTCTCCTGATTTAGAGACCAAAGAGAAACTTCATAACGAAAATAACCACAATAATCCCACTCCAGTAAAACTCTAAAAAAGAACAAGAAATAGTGGTAGCAGATATAATCTGGTCATCAAATTTCACCTGGTACGCAACAACGGCAGCATAACAGCCAAAACCAAGACCTGATATTATGCCTGCTGCAATTGCCAGGAGAACCATGATAGGCCACAACAGAATCCAAAGGGCTGCAAAGGGAACACATACAGTCTCCAAAAATGGGCCTTCCCTCCCTATAAGATCTTGTATTAGCCGGTGCCAGCCTTTCAACAGCATCAAAGGTGCTTTTAACAGAACTATTACGGTGATGACATGAACATCAACCAGAATTCCTAGAATTGCTGCCAGTATGCATCCAGGTATCTGAGAGACCCTGTTCGAAAACCAGCGAATTTTTGAATTTTCATAAGATATGCAGAGGGAGATGTAGAGACCGACATGTTTCGTTCGCAAGTTTTCAGAATGTAATAATGACCATGCAATTGAATCAAATATTCAAAGGAGAAATATTTTGAAACACAATAGAACAGTTCTAACTTTAACAGATTCAAATTGCATGAATTAAGAAGATCAATACTTTAGTTCAATAGGCTCCTCCCCTTTGACTCCAGCAGCTCGTCCATAACAGAGAAGTACGAGTGGAAGGAAAAATCAGCAAAATCTCGAACAACTGTGCATGCTCCCCGAACACAGGACCAAGTTCCATCCTAGAAAAGTCATTCCAAAAACAATAATTTCTCTTGACTAACACAGATAAATCATGTTTATCATGGTGTCAGAGTAGGAGAATTATAGAAATCTTACGGTAAAGCATCTAATCAACTTCATCCAAATTGAACCTCCCTTGCTGATAGCTCTAAATGTCTCCATTACAGGCCAAATGAAACCGTACATAGCACCCATAATCGCACTCCCAGCAACTCCAACAACAGTCCACAAAGCTATTGGTATGGGAACTAGTAAAATCAATAGGCACTTCATAAATGGGCCAAATTTCTTTGATCTGTTTCCAATTTCAAAAGTACAGTAAGAAAGAAAGGAAAGAACCAACTTATTGTTAGCATGAAACTGCCAAATATTGAACTGACTACAAGGAGGTATACTCTTCGTAATCTCATACTAACAGTAAACGGAAAAGAAGCAGAAAACTTACTTTATTATGCAGTAGATGCTCCATACAAGGTGAAGGGGCCATAAACCAATGATGATGCCAGTATCGCCAAATGCAATTACTAGCAAAACAAAGGGACTGAAAATAGCTCCTGCAAATTAGTTTTATGATTAACAACAAAGGACTAACAATGATTCAGATATTATAACCAAGACAGAGAAAAAGAACGGATACCTTTGATGCATCCAAGAAAAAACAGAGACAAAAAAACCGGAAAGAATACAATAAAGTATAAGAGATGGTTCAAGAATCCTTTAGGAACATTCATTTTTTCAATGAAGCAGCTATTTTCTTTTCTTGAGAGAAAAAAGAAAAAAGGAAAAAACACAAAGAATAGCTATGGCTTAGGCCCTTCGTTTAGTTGCGGATAATCAGAGAGGCAAGTGAATATTTAAAGAAAAATGATGATGTATCCTGTGGAAACTAAGCCTAGCCTTAAGGAGGCCATTGTTTCCTGCAACTTCTCAGCAGCCAAAAAGAAGCATAATGGCAAAAGCAGAGCCTTATTCTACATATATATTAGATGTATCTAGTTGGTCAATCTTGATCGGTAAAGACAAATGCTGTAAAACAAAATTCTGTATCATCGGGTGTGGAAAAGACAAACTGGGAGGACGATAGAATATGTGTTGTTCAAGAAAAACTCTCTTGTAAGTTTATAATTTTTTAATTCACCAAATCATGTCCCAGGTTTCTTGATCAACTCCACTAACCTCAGGATCCCTTCAAAAGAGAGATCATGTTGCGGTCAAACCGTATAGAATTAAAAAATTATATATGCCAACCAAATGGTCTGGTACATGCCAGACTAATGGAATCCAATTAGACCTATTTATGTTTCAAGTGATTTTTCTCATCTTATCTTTGTATATATATATATATATATATATATATATATATATATGTTTTAAGTTTCTAATTTTTTAATTCACCAAAATTGTATTGGAGAAAATCAAGTTAATGGTTGTGGACCGACACATAATGATTTATGGCATAACTTATCTTTAAACTATTAAGAGTTGTAGTAAAATAAGGTCTATATTATTAATTTGAATGATTTGAAATCCAAACCATTAGTTTTTGGATTGATTTATTATTTTTTATTATTGTCTAACGGTCAAAGCATTGACGATTAACTCGAAATGCTTAAAACGACGTCGTTTTTAGTTTTTTTTCATTATTTTTTTAGAATTAAAATTAATTGTGAGAAAAAATATTTAATAATAGTAGCTTCTAAGAAAGTTTAGATGATTTTATTGTTTATAAATTTCATTTTTCTTTTTGGATAATTAATGATTTGTGATGAATTCATCTTATAAAAATAAAAAAGAATTATTAATTTTAAGGTAGAAAAATAAAAGGCTAAAACGACATTTCAGCGTTTTTTTTAATGTTGGATAAGCATTTCAATTTTTTTGGAATAAAAATTAAATTCAAAAAAACATAATTAATAATAGATAGCTTTAAAAAATTCAATGATTTTGTTGTTTGTGGATTTGACTTTTATTGCTAGATAATTAATAATGTGTAATAAATCCATCTAGCAAAAAAAAACTATTTTTTTAAATTTTTTCTCAAAATTAATTTTAATTATAAAAAATACTAAAATGCTTAAATTAAATATTTTAATTAACGAACAACACTTTAAGACATAACAAAAAGGGATCAAATTTGTCTAAAAATAATTAGTTGAAGATTCAAATAACTCAAATTGATAATATAATTTTTATTTTGTTACAAATTTCAATAATTTGCCGATAAATTATGTATTTGAACCAAAACACTAACACATGCATGATACACATTGAATGCTCCTGCTGGTATATTACCGATTGAGGAAGTTGGAAAAAGAAATTTCAACCCAAAAATATTAGCATCATCTTCATTACAACACAACTTCCTTACTGATTAGATTCCATAACTTGCTCCACCGTAGATTCCAACACAAACCTAATCCTTAAGTCTCGAAGACCAAAACACAACCCACTGCGTCTCTATGTTCTTTCTCCATGAATGTCTCTGTAGTTTGTCCTTTATTCTACTTTGTTTCCCAAAAATACTAAATGCCATGGTTCATATGTTTCTATGTGTGTGGGGTGAGATTGTGGGGGTAAGCATTTAGGTTTTTCGATTTTGGTTTTTAGCATTTTAATTCAACTTTTGGGAATTGCGGGGTTTTTTCTTTTTCTCAATCAGAAGTTTTTTGATCAAAAAATTATCCATAATCGAAAAAAACTAAAATGACAAATTGAAGACTTAAATAATATTCGAAAACATAATTGATATAATTAAAAATTTTAAAATAAATTAAAGAATCAAATTATTATATATTATCCTAATAAAAATACAATGCGAAATTCCAAGTTAATCTTAATGTTTAAAAACAATTAAATCAAATATCTATTTTGATCCTTCTTCTCAACTTTGTGATTGGTGAGTGTGGAAATTGGTAGCATGAGACCGGGATCGGTGAAGAGAGAAACTTTAGCATTCTAAACGGAATCATGAAGCATGTAGGACTTCTCGACCTAAAACGACACCGTGTATAACACAAAAACTAAAAAGAATTAAAGAAAAAGCCGGGAGAGGGAAAAGCAAGTTCCTTTGGTTAGCAGCCGCACATAAACCTCTTCATCTCTTTGCCCTGTCCTAAAACCCTCCATCCATTGTCGCTGTCTTTCCCCATCCCTCCCTTCTTACAAAAACTCAACAAATAACCAATTTTTTAAAAAATTGACGGGTAAAGAATAACAGATTTCTCAGCTCCTCGTCTCTAGTTTCTCTAAAGTTTCAATCTTTTTTGTAACCCAAAGAACAAAAGAAAGTTCCATACTTTTGCTTCTGCTTTTTATTTTTTAATGCATTCCACACTAAATGCAGCCCCAAATTATCATCAATTCAACTTTCAATGGAAATCTCAAAAACCCTTTTCAAGAAAATTCAAAACCTCTCCAAAAATCCTACTTTTAACCAATTCCCTGAGAACTTCAATCAATTGCGAACCAGAGGAAGGCCTTGACAAGGGTCCTGGTCCACCCTGGTCCGAACCCAATTCAGTGGCAAGGTTTCCGGTTGTCATTAGACAGTCGGGTCGGGTTTTGAGGTACATATATGACGGGAACAGCTTGAAGTTGGTCAGTCTTGATGGGGGTCCAGGGTCCTTTTGTTTGGATTTTGAAGATGGGTTTCGTAAATTGGTTCGGGTTTCTGGTTTGGGTATTAAAGATTTTTTTATACCTAAACAAGTACCTGAGAATTATATGGGGTATGTTAAGTGGAAGTTTTTGCATAGAGTTTTTAGCTCTGCTTTGCAAGTTCTTGCTACTCAGGTATGTATTATTCCTTAAATATTGTTTTTTGGGCTCGTTTGGTTTTGAAGTTTTGAGGGTGGTCGCTGTTTTTCTAGGTGGTGTGAGCACGGATTGAGTATGGTTATTTTATAGCTATTATTTTACATGTAAAGATTATTGCTTTAATTTTTTTGCTGAATTAAAATTGAACCCATTAAAGTTGGTGAATAAATTTTAGGAGACTAGTCGATGATAAATATTAACTGGTGAGACTTAAAAACTGGATAGAAATTAAGCAGATGATTAAAAGAAATGTTTTTTTTTTTTTTTTTTTCTGAAAGGAAATGTTGGCTTACTTGATTGCTTATTTTGTGAGAATGGGATTTTTTATATTAGGCCATGTTTCGAGCTATAGGCATTGGATATTCTCGTTCACTCCCATCGGCAGCAGCTCTTAACTGGGTGTTAAAAGATGGTCTTGGACGGCTAAGTAGATGTATTTACACTGCTAGCTTTGCATCTGCATTTGATACCAACTTGAAGGTATAATTTCTGCCTTCATTAGAAGTTATGATTATAGGTTTGAATTTTTTTTTCACTTATTTGCTTAGGATGACATATAAAAGTCTTGCAGTTACAGGCACTGTATTTTGTTGTTGTTAGAGCCTTCAAAATCCTTAATGTGTTCTGTTATGGTGTTCTCTCTTTTGTAGAGAGTTAGGTTTACCACATCTGTTCTGTTCAGTTTAAGCATTGGAGTTGAGCTGCTGACTCCCACATTTCCTCAGTACTTCTTGCTTCTTGCAACTCTAGCCAACATTGCCAAACAAATAAGCCTTGCATGCTACCTGGCAACCAGTGTAAGGATTTGTCCTTAACTCTTATTCTCCTTTCTATTACATGAACTGTCCTAGTTTTCAATTGTAGTCTGAAGGATGCTTTCAGCTGTCGACATTCATGATATGCTGATGAAAATTAGTTTTTTTTTTTTTTGGTGGGTGGGAGGTTAGAATATAATGTTAGTTATATTTTGTTTGTTGAGAACAAAGAAGTGGCTATGAACAATATATGCCTATATTATTATCTGACTTTCAATACTTTGTGCCGATGTTTATAAATTTATATAGCAATTTCCCCTCCAACAGCCTCTAGAAACTTTTTGGCAATTGTTTTTTTGTCCAATTACCTTTCGCTGTTACTTGCTAAATAGCTTCCTCATAGAATATGGTCTGCAATCATTGCAGGTGCCAATTCTAGGTGGCATTCATACCCAAACAGTAAAGCATATAATAGTATGATTCTATTGTTAATGAATTTAGTGGCTCAAAATAAGTTGTGAGCCCCAGTCATCATTGCCTCATTTAGGGTAAATGGATGCATGCTACGCCCACTTTACCATTATTCTTATTCTTAGAGGTTGCAGTTTTACAAATCACTTCTCAGATGCTATTGCTTTCTTTGTAACTCTAATATGCAGTCTGCTGTTCACCGAAGCTTTGCAATAGCAGATAATCTTGGTGAAGTTTCTGCAAAAGCACAGGTTATAACTTTTCCTAGCATGTCTTCCTACAGAATTTCATTCTTTTTCTTTGTTCAATATGTCTTGACATTTGGTATGGATTTCAGATACAAACAGTTTGCTTTGATAACCTTGGTCTCATGCTTTCTGCACTTCTGAATATGTTGTTCAAAAACAACCAAAGGTTTTCTCTTTATTTCCCTATAATGTTCCTGTTCTTGTGCGAATATCATTTAAAATTTAGTTTCTCCCCTGTAAATATAGTTCTTGCATTTTAATGATATTCAATGAGCTGAGACATGTCTAATGCTTATAAATGTTTTTACTCCCCGCTTTATACATTCATTCCTGTTTCAAAGTTACATGTACCACTGGTTCTCATCATATTTTGACATTGAAAAGGTATTTAAAAGTTATCTTAATCAAATAGCACTTAAACCTTCCCTTTTGAAGAAATTATGTTTTGGGCAAACATCAAAAATACCACCCAACTATACAAGCAGTCTCAATGTTACCACCAAACAATTTTTGGTATCAATTGTACCCTCAAACTACCAGAAATTCTCAATTAAGCACTTCCATCCATTTTATGGCTTTCCGTCCATATTTCCATCCAATTTGTACTGTTTTTTTTAATGATTCTAACAAAAGTCCTTAATTGAGAAATCAAATATAGTTTAGTGGTAAAATTGATACAAAAAATAGTTTAGGTGCAAAAATGATAATACCCCAATAATTTAGTGGTATATTTGATGCTGCCCTAATGTTTTCTACCATTTGGACCTATTCTTAAGTGCTAACTGAATTCATTGTGTTAATGTATGCCATTGCATAATTCTGACTTGTTGTCAATGTGCAAGATTGCTTGCAGGTTTGCCTTTCTTTGTTTACCCCATTTTTTCAGCCATTGACCTTTATGGAATATATCAAGGACTCCAGCATGTCCATCTACAAACATTAACTAAGGTTTGTATAGGCGAGCATAATCTACCTGCCTTCACATGTGGGACTGTTAAAGTGCATGATATTCTTCATTTCAGATTTTGAGATTTTCTGCTTTCCTTTTGCAAAAGTTCTGCCTTTTGTTGCTATGTGCGTGCTGGTTCATTATCAATTCTGTTTATTTACTCATTGAACCACTCCTGATTGAAACAAAGGCCGAATGCGACTTCCAGAAGATATCACATTTAGATGTCTCATCATTGTTTTGTTTATCTGTACCCATAGATAATAAGGTTGTGCTTTCCTTGTTGCCTAACTATTAGAATTTTATTCTGTCTTCTTCAATTACATTGAAAGTATCTTGAGTAAATCTTAATAATTAATCCATCACCTCTGTCTAACCACCCAAAGTCTTGACACATTCATGGACCAACTTTGCTTGTCCTCGTCTCTACAACATATATGCTCTCATACGTGTCTTCATTTTATAAATAGAGGAATTTCATCAAAGTATGAAGTTCACTGCTCAACGCCTAAACTTTTCCTTCCAATTTTCAGGATAGGCTTGAAATCATTCTGAATTCATGGATTGAGTTTGGACGTGTTCCTTCACCTGCAGAAGTGAGTAAGGAGGAAGGAATTGATTTTCTATGGACCAAGAGTAGGTCCTTTCTTCTCATGTTTTATAGTGCTTTGATATGAGGTGGTATGAATGATGCTACTTAAGCTAAATATTGAGTTATTTTAACAGGCAAAGAATTATGGCCCATTAGAGTAGGGTGCCTAAATACCAACAGCGAGATACCCAAGTTGTCAATGATGGCAATGCAGTCTTTAACTAGCGAGGATTATTATTTTGTATGCATAGAGAACTCTTGCAGAGAATGGACAAGAACTAAGCCAGTATAGTCATCAAAATCTTTTCTCTTGGATTTCCATATAGCTATACTGCCATTCTTATAAAATGATAGTCTTACTTATTCTTTTCTCTGATGAATTTCCAGCAAGGTATCCTACTTTGCCTACGTGAGGGTACTGGTACTGCAGACGTTATCACAGGGTTGTTGCAGGTAAAATGAATTCATATAATAGCCTTTACTTATGATGCTCGCATTATCATTTTCAACTTTTCATCACATCATTATGATATGCATGTTGATAGGAGAGTATATGGTAATATTCCACCTTTTTTCGCATTAATGATGTAAAATTCCAATTTATATTTGTTATTACAGGCATGCTACATCCGGAAGGCCCTGCTTCTGAGCAGTAGGTGGGAAACAGTAGCAGATGCTAGTGATGCCTCAGACTTGGTTTTCAATGAGTGGTTTAAACTGATTGATGATACCAAGCAATCTGCAAAAAGGGATTTGTCCACATTGAAGGATCAAATGGGATCTCTTGGTTGGGCTCTAAAACACATATTACTCAGCACAGAAGAGCAGGCTAAATACAGTTATGTAGATGACTGAACAAGTAAGATGGTTTGGGTTTAGTCCTATAAAATTCTGGGTGGCTCTCTGATACATCATCAAAGAGTTTTTGGGGTAAAATTGTTTGAAAAGTTGAACAAGTTGTCTCGAGTTACTTCTAAGGGGTATCAAATATCCATGTACACACACACAGAGGTGAGTAATTCTTTACAGTAGGGTGGCTCTTGGTAGAGCCTTCAACATTCTTTTGAGTATTGTATGATTATCCAGCTAGCTACTTATATATTAAATGTAAATCTTGTAAGCTTGTCACTGTCAGGTAGATCAACGAACTTACAGGATTTCTTACACCTCAAATCTGGTAGGTGCAGTGTGATGTCTTAGGAGAAAATTTTTTATATTAGATGAGGGAGTAACTGTGGATGCTTATTTTTGTTTAAACCAAATTAAAGATGGTATTAATATATTTATTATTAAGTGTAAACCGAGTAAAAAACAATACAAATGTATTAAATACGAGTTCAATCAATTTCAAAGTTCCTTAAGCTTTTGAAAACTTTATTCTAATATATAAATTGGTTCGGATATTTGTTTACGCTCTTATAATATTTCAATTGCGTCTTTCATTAATAAAAATATGAAAATAAATGGTTAAAGGTGACACATGTTATTGACAGTGATAACAAATATAAATTATATTTGTAAGAAGATAGTAGTTAGAGAAATTTTAAAATACTTTAAGAGTAATTAAATAATTTAATGTTTACATTAACAAAGCTAATCCCCAACAATACTTTGGCTATCTACTAGTTCAATGAGAAGAAATGCTGATACAAAAATGATAAATGCAAGCCATCACATGGCCAGCTTTCATTCTCGTCCAAAGACTTTCTTCCAAAGAAAAAAAAGAGCACGAAAATGGATACGAGAGGAAAGGCAGAATCCAAAAGATTTTTGTAATATCATCTAGGATTACAAATGGATATTCGATTCTGTTCAGATGTGGAAAACAAGTACACGCAAGGTAGAAAAACAACAACATCAAGCGATTCCTTCACTGTGTGACGAGGAAAATTAATGTTTCAACCTAATTTCTGTGCTGGTAATCTAGTAAATCAAATTTTAGCTGCATTACATTGAGATAAAACTAAAGGCTGGCTTAACAATCTTACAGCTTCAATAGCTCATGCGAGAAAAAGCTTCTTCTTCTTCTTCTCGTTAATTTACATGCCATCATATGTACAGCGGCAAGGAGAAATGCTGGTAAGAGCCAAGACCCATATACAAGTGTTTCTTGCTTTGGTGATCAGGGGGAATAAGAACTTGCCTCGGTGCTATACATTGAATACTCACTGAGACTGAAGTTGGGTTTTTCTTCATCCCACTTCAAAATCTCTCTTGCATATTTAAGAGCTGCATCGACACTATCAGGTTCGAGTCCCTTGACTACAGAAGCATACAACTTCCTTCCAGTTAGTGAAGCGTAGAGCCTCTTGAACTTGACTGCCATATAGTGTGCACCCAGCTGACCAAGTGAGGGGCTGTTATTAATGCTGTTGCTGTTGTTATTGGAGCGATGACGACTTATCAGCGGAAGAAAATCATGAAACCAGTCACATTGAGTCAATGGTACTCGCTCAATCTTCTCCTCAAACAGATCAAATTTGTTTAGTATCAGAAGGAAATCCATCTGCTCAAAAGTTGGATGAGTGACAATGCTCTCAAAGAATTTCTTGCTCAGCATCATCTTGTTAGTATATGAGCCATTACCATCAACTGTAAACTGATCATAGTCACTCATGGCAACACAGAAAATGACCATCCCAACATCTTCAAACATCTCTAGCCACTTGCAGTTTTCTCCAAGTCCCCGAGCATGTACACTAATTAGTTGGTACCTGGTGACCAAAGAATAAAGGGAAAAAAACCATTAACAATAAAAAGACACCTCTTCAAAATGACAACATTTTTAATAATGTCCCTTTTGATGAGATAGAAGAATTCGAAGAGCCATGCTAGACATCGAGCATATAGTGCAGAAGCAGTACTTTGATCGTTCATGAGCCGCTTCATAAAAATTGCTAGAGCTAAAACCATCTGAAATTTAAGGCACTTCTACAATAAACTAGGGCTCCTACCTAAGCAAAGCGTCATGCTGGTCTTCAGGGTCGTATTTATCATCAGAGGCTGACTGGGGATATGAGAAGTCCAAACAAGCAAGCCCATTTGATGAAGTAACACCCTCAGCATATAGGATATCCAAATCTGAGGGCTCATAGTCTGTTCTCAATATATCAACAGCCTGTAGAGAATAATTTTAGTAACAATGACAAAGAAATTGCAGATACGGTTATCATCTAAATATGTTTGGCAAGAGCACAATAAGATGAAACAAAATAGTATATAAACCCTTATTCAACCCAATGATAAGCTTTAACATTACTATTAACTATTGAGCCGAACTAAAGCAGCACTTGGCTCAGCCTAGGCGAGCCAAAGAACCAAAAGGAAACCATCTTTAACTATAAATCAAGCACTATCAACATGAATACTGTACAATCACGCAACTGCTAAAGCAGAAGACAATATAGCTCAGTTCCATCATATCTGAGTCTAAAATCAAAATTATTCTCTTTACGATGTTTTGTGGCTCTAACTTTTGCCAGAAATGATGCAAGCGCCACTACAAAATACTTCAATTCTTGACCAAAAAATAGCAAGTTACAGCAGAGAAGCATGTATATAATCAAATATAATTTAACAGATTTTAACTGAGCAAATGAACCCCAAGAAAGATCTTACCCGCTCCAAGAAATAACTTGACACACTAGGTAGCATTTCCAATTCATTTCTCCGCTTGTATGTGGACTGAATGGCTGCATCCTTCCATAACTCTTCAACTAATGGTGCATATTCACGAGTAGCAGCAGGAAAAATTGCTTCCAAATTTCCTGAAACCATAGTCTTCAGAAGCCAATCCGAGAATGCTTTAAGCCTTGGACCAATTGAATAGATGGTTTGGCAACTGGTGTTACTGGTACTCCCTGTTATCACACAACATTTTCTTTCAGGCACTTAATAGAACATAAGACCAAGAAGAATTTTAAAATAAATGAATGTCAATCAGCTGTTCACACACCTACTTCTACATTGTAAGTTGTTAGTGGATTCGACACATTCCGAAACTGCATGTTATTCATCAATACTACAAAGCATCTATCTAATCACATCTCAAAGACAGAACAACTTCTTTTCTTTCGCCCATCCCAGTTCCCACATAAAACCTATTTCCTTATCTTATCTCCAATACACCACCTGGAGACAAGAGGACGTAAGAATCTAATGTATTCCCATACAACAAAAAAGATTGTTGAAAATTACAAATGTGAAGCAACAACCTTTGTTCCTCCCCCAGAGCTAAGTTCATAGCAAAAATCTCAGAAAGAACTTAACAAGGATTTCTATAAATTTGTAGTGCTATTAGTGTGCATCTGTGTATCTTTCTATACATTTTTCCCTTTATGCATGCCCACATATGTGCATTAGTAATAAACACGAGGTCCTTGTTCAAAAAAATACCAAGAACGAGGAGGAAAAGATATGCAAGTTGAGAAGAAAAAGAGAATAGAGAGACTCAACATACCAATGGTTTCTGTTTCATCAGTAGATTGCTCTTTCTTCATTGCAGCTAAACTTTCCTCTTCAAACCGGTCACGGCCCTCAAGAAGTATGCCAAGATAACCATACACATTACTCTGGATTGTCAATTTAATGTTTTCACGCTCATCTTCAGTGAAAGGGACAGGTTTATAAAGAATCTTTGCCTGAAAAATCATCGTATTAAAATTAAGTGGGCAATTTTGGACAGCATTGACTAGCATGTCATAAAAGCCAGGATAAGGTATGAAATCGATATTTCGAAAGGCAGTAATAGAGAAACCAAGTATAAATTATACAGGTACACAGATCAATGCATACTAAAAATCCAACGCTTACAGAACAAGGTTTGTTTACAAGGACTCCCACAACGTTCAGCCAGACTTTACAACCAATCCCATACAGGCAATGACAAACGGTGTAATGGCACAACACCCACATGGCCACCTAAACTAGTGGCCATTTTCATTGATCTATTAGTTTGAGCATATTCAACTCACTTTTAATCCATATAAAGTTTTAACTTTTGGCTTACCATTTTCTAGGGTTGGACTGGAAAACTTCTGCTTTCTGAAAATAAACATCTTTTACACTCAATTTTCCCATTTTATCCTTCACTAAGTAACATTATCTCATTATGGGATCTGGTTTCCACTACTTTTCAATGCTGAGAACACAAAGAAACATTTGGGACCCTATTTTATTAAAAGTTAAAATTTTGAACAATTCAAATATGGAAATTTAAATTGGGACAGGGGGAATGTTTGATGGTTGCTTGAGAATATGCATGGCTTGAACATTGTTAATGTTTTCTACTTTACCATCCAAGGTTTTCCAACTAAATTTGATAATCAAAGAAATGCATTAGCATAAGGCTAATTGGTCAAAATACCCCCTGAACTTTCAGTCGAACACAACTAAACCATATACCTTTTGAAACATGTACCTTCTGAAACATCACTTGGATGTTCTTAGATAAAAAATGAGACCATAACCATATAACACAAAGCAAAGACAGGCAAGCCTCATTAACATCCATCTACTTTTCGAAACATCATTTGGATGCTCTTAGATGGAAAACGAGACCATGACCATATAAGATTAGCAAAGACAGGTAATCCTTGACATAAACAAATTTAAAGGCGCAATTCCCCAATTGAGAAACTACCTGCTTGAAGATAGTACTTGTTCCAGATCCATTGTATCCAACTAAAAGGAGCTTCAGAAGTGTTCTCTGCTCAAGGTAGTCTGGGACACTTCTGCTAATTAGACTATTAACTTGTTCTCCACAAGAATTTGAGGGTTTAGAAGGAACAGGCAGTGATAAGAAAGCACAAACAAGCTTCATTCCAGCCTATCAAGTAACATAGCGACAAATAAATTCCCAAATGCATACATAAATGCAGAAAGGGAAAATTCAGGCAGAGATGAGGTTCCCATATAGAACATACCTTGCCCCAAATGTAACCTTTAGTGTTCTTCTGTCCCTCTTCTTGGTATGATCCATCTTCATTCACCCAAAAATGAGGGTTGCCAGCGCATTGAACTCCTGCCAGCTGCAATATCAACAAAATGGTCTGAATACTAAACCTTTCACATTAGATCATTCAGAACAAACAAAGAAAAGAGCATGCATAGAGACTCAACCTGCAACATCCTAAGCTCTACTTTTGTGATCTCCCGGCCATTCATGAAAACCTGTGTGTTTCCATCGCTAGCATCTCCCTTAATTGGACCCCCAACATTCAAATGAGCACTTATAATCTGGGAAGGCTTTTGCCCTTCCTGTTAAATTCAAAATTTGAAATAACCATCAAACTCCAAAATAAAGAAACAAACCATATCAAATTATGACAAGAACATAATCAATGAAAGTATCACACTATATTCACCTTTCCCCAAAGACCAGACACTTTATCATACCAATAGTTTCCAGGTTTCATCTTCTTAGGTGGGTTTGAACAAGTCTGCAAAATAACTAACTCCTCATGACAAAGAGGTTCTCCATTCACATAAACATACTCCGGGGGCAACTGATTTGCCTCGCACAACTTCTCTGCCTTCATTATCTGTCTAACCTCCAAATCATTCAACAGCCTCTTGAGCATCCTTGAACACTTCCCTAAACTCCCACGCTTCGGTTCATCAATCGGAAACCCAATACAAGTCACACATTTCCTTCCTTCTGGCATCGATCCCATCGCTCTAAGCACACAATTACTACAGTACTTTGCATCACAAACAAGACAAACTTCCTTCTCCGTAAATCTATTCCCTTTAAAACACCTATAACAACTCCCTTTCTTCCCTTTACTTCTCGCCTCTCGTTTAACCCGCATAACCCTCTCCTCCTCCTCAAAAAACCCCTCATTCCCTTCAAACCCATCATCAATATCTCCACCAGCATCACCACCAACACCATCACCCGATTCAATATCACGAAAAGTAACAGCCGGGGCTTTTCTACCCTCGCCATTCACCTCATTATTAGAAACCTTAACACTAGAAACACGCGAAGATGGATACTCATCATCAACATCAACACTACTTAAAACAGACTCGTTTGACTCCCAGTCTCGATTCGATGACAATTCATTAGAAATCCTCAATTTTGACAAACTTTCATCACGCGATTTATCACCAAAACTACCAGAAAACTCTATAGCACTTGAGCTTCTACCACCATCATTTAACAAACCGGAACTACTTAACTCACCAGAGAAAACACACTCTTGCAAATTACTATCAGCAGCTCTCTCTATAACTGAAGTTGGTGAAACAGTTATAACTGCCTCCTCGGATCCACAATCCTTACCTGGGTTTTCACCGATATTAACCGAATTTGGGTTTTTACTGGGATCAGAGGACGGTAGCAGAGGTTTCACAACAGGTACAGTGATTTTTTGCGGGAAATTAATGTGAGAAACTACCGCGGCGACAGGGATTTTGTTGACATTGATTGGGACAGCGCGTGGAATATCGTAACCCACCGGAGGTCCGGTGTATTCAAGAGCAAATGAGTATTGAACTCCATCTTCAGTGTCTGGTGGCATTTTGGAAAATCTTTAGATCAAATTGAAACCCTAAACTTAACTTCAAAAACAAGAGGAAGAAACATTTATTTTTTTTTGTTTTTGGCTTACGTTTTTTTGATTGTTGGGTTTTGAAAATAAAGCGAGATGCTAGCCCCAAAAACAACAAAAAGTGTGGGCTATTGAGTTGATTTGGAAGGAAAGGATGAAAAGAAAGGGGAAAAGGGAAAGTGGAGGAATAATGGGTTTGCTTGGAAGAAGAGGGAAATAGAAGAGTTGATTGAAAGGGAAATGCGGGTTTCAAAATTGGAGGCTAGAAAGAAGAAGAAGGAGAAGCTGGTAGGAAGAAGAGGAGAGGAGAAAGGTTTTCAGACGAAGTAGAAAAAGGAAATGGGTGTTTGGGGAGAAGCAACATGTCCCATAGGAAGAAAAGAAAGTGACAGTAAAGAAAGAAAGAAAGAAAGAAAGAAGAGCAAGCAAAGACAGGAACTCAACTGGTTTTGTTTTGTTTTGTTTGTTTGTGAACTAATTTGTTTAAAGAAGATGCCTTAATCACACTGTAAACTCAATCAATATTCATTATTATAATATGCATTGCTATATGTATTTCTTTTATTATTATTATTATTATTATTATTATTATACCGTAGATAAAGACCTCAAAAAAATATATATATTATCACGACAATTAAATTCAAACTCGTAGTTTCTTACAGATATATATATATATATTAAAAAAATTACTATTAATTTTTTATTTTTTCCAATTCTAATGACTTAAGTGAAATTGGTATTGTGTTAATATCAGCATTTTAGACTCTTTTTTTAATTAAATCTTTGTCTAATTATATTTTAGACAAATCATTCACATTTAATATAATGTATTTTATGAAAAAGTTTGGTGATATATTCTTAAATTATTATATATATAATGATATTTGGGGATAAACTTATTGACAACGTGAGCTTGCCATTTCAAGAATTTATTAACTTTTATTTAAAAATTCAAGAAATGAGGTTGAGACCATATGAAAAAATTTATAATACTTAAAAGATTAATCTAGTGTAAATTGTTTTATGAAAAGATATAAACACAAAAAATAAAAAACAAAATGAAAAATTAAAAATTAAAAAAAATTGAATTCACGTTAAATATTTTTATTATTTTTTGTAGATCCATTATATATATCTTTTAAAAAAAAAACGAATCTATGAAATAATTGCTATACATGTAAATTAATTATTTATTAAATATTATAAAATTTCTAAAAATCATATAGCCACCACAGGTAACCTTTCTTTATATCTCATTCTAAGATTTCAAAATTTGTGAATTTCATGTAAATATATTGAGTTACCGATGAATCACAAAAACTGAATATTGCTATGAAAATTGTATGGATGCAAGCAGAACTGATTCTTTTTCACTCTTTCGGACACTGGAAGGGTTTAGGATTTGTCCGTATGAAGAAAATGGTACTAAAACTTAAAAGTTTGGCTTGAATATAAAGAATTTTAATCATTTTAAATAAATAATTTCGAATTTAAATATTTATATATGTAAAAAAAAAATTGATTAAGTGTTTTCGTCTTATGTGTCTAATAAAATAGCTAAGGATTATCTCAATGGATAAATAAATAAATAAAACGAGAGAGAGAGAGAGAGAGAGAGAGAATGGTACTGTATAATGAGCCGTTGGATATTATATCGAAAGGTGTGGATATGTTTTTTGTTTTTGTTATTATTAGAATAACGCGATGGTCAAGGGGGGTATTTAGCTTCTCGAGTTATCGGAAGACAGGTGGAGGTGGTGGTGGGGCATGTGGGTGGTGGGGGACACAAACTTTTGTCTTTTACATCGTGGTGGTGGAATCGGGGGATAAATGTGGGGCTCGGTAGGGCCAAGGGACCACCACCACCACCACCCACCAAATGAGGAGGAAGAATATTGTGTACCTGTGAATTAAGACTACTGTTTTTTCTTCAGTTCTATGCCTTGGAATGATTTTTTTTTCTTTCTTTTTCTAGGGTTGGACTAGCAGAATAGGTAGGTGAGTGATGAGCTGATGGCTATGTCATGGAAAGACAAAGTTGAATTTGCACGGGGTTTTCATGATAGTTATGAAGTGGCCCAACGCATCTCATTTTCTCCGACTCTTCACTCAGCCGCCTGCTCTTCGGATCTTTCTTTCTGTCCAACATTAAAGGCTGCTTGTTAGACATGATCTCTCAGAAGAATACTAGGAGGAATTCAATGTTATCAGAATTGGATCGAATAGACCGACTTAAAAGCTAAGTAGTTAATTTGGATATCTAACGGGTCTAGTTTGGGTAAAAGATTTTATTTTATTTTTTATTTTTAAGATATTTTAGGTATAAAAATTTAGATTGATCATTCGTTATTCGATCAAACACATCGAATAAGCTAGCTATTTAAAAAAATTCCTACATATATAAGCGGACTTAGCTTAACGATTATGTACCTAACTAGCTTTTATAATAGAAGTAAAATTAGAATTATGATAATTTCATATTTTTAATGATTATGTAATAGGAGGACTGCCTGTATTATGTAATGGAAGGATTACCTATTTACTAGGGATTTGATAAATTTCTAAACTTTTTTAAAAAAAATTTAAAATTTATCTAAAAAAAACTAAAATCTTTTTTTTTTTTTTTTTGTTTAAACCAACCCTTTTGAGTAGGTAAAAGTCTCAAGTATTTAAATTGGAAAGAATTGAATGAATCCCCGCTCTTCTTTTATTTGATTTGGGAGCTCGTACGACTTAACTGCTAATTAGTGAATTGGATATCTAATGGGTCTAGTTTGGGCAAAAGATTTTTTCTTTTTTTGGATTTTTTAAGATATGTTATGTAAAAATTCAGATTGATTTTTCATTATTAGATCAGATACATAAAACAAGCTACCTATTAAAAAAAAATACTACATATACAAGCAGACTTAGCTTAGCGATTATATACCTAATTAGCTTTTACAGTGAAACAAGGTTAGAATTCTAAAGATTTTATTTTTTTAATGATTATGTAACCGAAGGAGTACCTCTATTGTGTAGTCCAATTGGTCCAATGGATATTCGATCGATAAATAATAAATAAATAAATAAATAGAGGATTTACTTATTTATTACGGATTTGACAAATTTCTATACTTTTTTTAAAAAATATAAATTTTATTATAAAAAAATTAAAATCTTTTTTTCTTTTTGGTTTAAACCAACTCTTTGGAGTAGGTAAAAGTCTCAAGTATTTTAAATTGAAAAGAATTGAATGAATCCCCGCTCTTCTTTTATTTGGTTTGGGAGCTCGTACGAGCCGGACTAAACCATCTGATTTGAGAGCCAAAAGAGCTTTTAAGTTTCTAATTCAAAACAATGACCTTTTGCGCTTCCGAAAAATCTAATCTGCATGCAGCTGTTCTCAAAACCTTTCATTGTCTCTCTTTTATGTGCTGCCGCAGCCTTTAATTGAAAATTCTTGCTTCCTTTCTTCTTCGTTGTTCAATCCAAAATAAATTATCATTAAAAATAAAAATAAAAATCTGCAAGCTTTTCATGTTTTCTCACAAAAAAAAAAGAGACTAAAATAGGAGTTATTTCTTCAAGATTTTATATCTACTGCTAGTATGCAAGCTTTTTTTTTTTTTTTTTTTTTTTTGATGTTGCTCATAATACATATGAAGTTTGAATTGATATAAAGAGACGAAAAAAAAAATCAAAAGACAACGTGAATTAGAACTGATTCCTTAAGCTTTATTTTTCTTTTTCTTTTTTGTCCATTCGAGTTGGATAATTAGATTATTGATGGTATTTCATTATTATTTTTTCAGTTTTTTATTTGTTTCTCAAATTTTGATAACTTATTTGATTGGCTAGCTTTTTTTCTACAAAATACATTTAGTCCCAATCGAATACTTGAGTTATTGAAATTGACGCTAATGTAATTGAAGTTGGGGATACATTATGATCCCAACGGACAAATGACACGTTCAATTAACTATAAATATCAATATCATATCATTGTGAGAGGGTTTTAATTTTTTATCTCTAGCTAAAAAAATCTGTGAACTCTCTCTCTCAAACTCTCTATTCACATCACTTAAAACTCCATTAGTTTGGACTTTAATCACCCACTTGCTCGTCATTCTTATTTGCGTCGTGTTAACACTATTTGTTTTTCTTCACAAGCCTCTAACTACCGAGATCTATTCAATTTGTTTGGTTGAAAGTTACCTCTACAAGAACATTAACTCTCCGTATCTTGACCGATCTGTCGATGATTTGTTTGATCAGTTCTCAAGAACCCCCTTCCACATTGATTGATTGCATAGAAATTCAAGAGAGAGTCTTTTTATTTAAAATTTTCACATATTAATCCCTTTGATTTTTCATAATCAATCAAATTGTTATTTGTGTATATATTTTTTTTCAATTCTAAATTTTTTAATGTGATATCATTATCCATTAAAATAATCAACTTCTATAATTAATAAAATACAAATATCTATTGGTTGAATTTGATCAATTGAGATTATTAAATAATTAATTTTAACTGAAAAATTTTCTTTGGTCATGCCAATAGATTTATTCTTGCTATTGTCAATCATTAAATTTTAAATATAGCTATTTTTTTTTATATTCACATGTTTTATTGGATTTTTTTCTCACAATTGATTCAAATATATAATATGTATTTAAAATTATTAGAGTTAGAAAACCATTTTTTTAATAAAACTTTTCTAATTTTATTTTATTTTTAGTTTTTTAAATATAGGTTTAAAAAGTGAAAGCTCTTTTTCAGGAAGAACAAAAAAAAATGGTGATAAATTTAATAAAAAATTATTTATTTATAGGCAAACGGGTGGGAAAAAAATCGCTCTTGAAAAACGAAGAAAAAATAACAATAGAAAAATAAATTAACGGTCAACTGAATTGACTATTACAATTAATAAATTTAAATAAAATTTGTTAAAAATCGATATTTTGAAGTTCAAATTACATAAATTGATAATAAAAGCTTGAAAGTTTTCAAATCGTAATAGAATTAACATGGATAATTTTTGTCGTAAAACCAAAATGAAAGTAAATAAAAGGTTATATCTTGTTTTCAAATTTTTAAAAATAATACCAAACGGTATCTTAAAAATCTAGACGTTGCTGTTTAAATATACGTAGTTCGAACTTTGAATTTGAATATATATATCAAAAGAAACCGTAAGTTTCCTGGTTCCAAACATGAAGACTAAAGTCACCCCATGGGTCTTTCTCCACCTTGTCTTCTAAGATTTACACCCATATCCACATGTGATCATTTGATTCTCGTTGACTCAAAAAATACTTATAATTACTAGTTTTCTTGATACATGCATTATGCATGCTACATGCATTATTCAATTTTTTTTTCCTCTGATATCTAATAGATTGTTTATAATTATTTATAAATAAATAAATTTTAATGTTTATTAAATAAACATGTTTGGTTTTTCAAATATTTGATAATTTATAATTAATTTAAAAAAAAACTTATAAAATGATTCGTAATTGGACTCAAGTACAAATTACACACATAAATTGAATTGTTATGAATTTTTTTAAGCGTCCTTTCCAATTTTATTTGACGTAAATACAAGTTAACGATACAAACATAAATAAAAATTATACAAATGATTTATTCTTAATAAATCTTGCCTTTCTCAATATTATTAGTGTTTGCCCAAAGAACAAAGGAATATGATAAATTTTATTAATCCTTTTGCATAGAGAGTCAAAAGTAACTTAAGAAAATAATAAAAAAAACATTGTAAAAAGAAATTAACTAAGAATTCAATTTAATAATTTGATGAATTTTGATTTAATTTAATTATTTTTTATATTTTAATATTATATATGTTATCGACACTTAATAACAAAAATACGAATACCCCCTTATATGTGTTATCAACGCTTTTTGAAATTTCTTATTTTAGATTTTCTATTATAACACTGCTAATTTATGATAGATACATGATATTATAAAATAAAAAATCTTAAAAAATATAACGTATTAATCACCGATTGGTGGCATTATAACGAAGAGTTTAAAGTAAGAAATCTAAAAGACAAAAAGTCTCAATTAAGCGGAAAAAGAGAGACGAGTAGATAGTCTCAAAAAAAATCAAAAAATGCATGGTCTAAATACAGAAAAAATATAACTCAATTTGATAGATCGATGAATTTTGATGTAATTTAATTATTTTTCATACTTTAATACTTTACGTCTTTTGTTAGCTTGTTTTTTAGAGTTTTGATAATCAAAATAAGTTATTTGGATGTGTAGTAATTTACTAGTGAAATAAGGTTAGAGTTATGGTGATTTTATTTTCTTAATGATTATGTAACGAAAGAATTATCTCTATTATGTAGTTTAATAAGTTCTTCAATAGGCCTTCGATTAATTAAAAAAAGAAGAAAAAGAGGATTTATCTATTTATTAGGGATTCGATAAATTCCTAAACTTTTTTTAAAAAATTTAAAATTTATATAAAAAGCTAAAATCTTTTTTGCTTAAAGCAACCCTGTTGAGTAGGTAAAAGTGTCAAGTATTTAAATTGGAAAGAATTGAATGAATCCGCTCTTCTTTTATTTGATTTGGCAGCTCATATGAGCCGGACGAAACCATCTGATTTGAGAACCAACAGAGCTTTTAAGTTTCTAATTCAAAACTACGACTTTTTGTGCTCCCGAAAAATCTAATCTGAATGCATCTCTCCTCAGAACCTTCTCACCCTTTAATTGAAACCATAAGTTGCTGTTGACATATATGAAGTTCGAACTTTGAATTTGAAAAAAAAAAAAAATATATATATATATATATATATATATATATATATATATATATATATATATATATAATCAAATGAAACCATAAGTTGCCTAGTTCCGAACATGAAGACTAAAGTCACCTTATGGGTCTTTCTCCACCTTGTCTTCTAAGAATCACCCACACACACACACACACACACACATATGGGTCTTTTGATTTAATGTTTATTAAATAAACATGTTTGATTTTTCAAATATTTTTATATTAATTTGATCATTTATAATTAATTATTATTATTATTTTTAAAACATATAAAATGATTCTTAATTGGACTTAAGTACAAATTACAGACATAAATTGAATTATTATGAGTTTTTTTTTTTAAGTGTTCTTTACAATTTTATGTGATGTAAATAGAAATTAACAATACAAACATAAATAAAAATTATACAAACGATTTATTCTTAATAAATCTTGTCTTTCTCAATATTATTAGTGTTTGTGTTAAATATAAATATAGTTTATATATTTACTATCTTGAATGAAATCAAAATAAACAATTGGCATTTGACTCATTCACAGGGGTCTCATGGTATTTATAAAGAGGTCACCAATATCAATTCCTATAACTTGGTAGAAATGAAGTTTGTTTATACCCTAAATAGAAAATGACTAAATTAACCCCTTATATTCATTGTGTTAATAGATTAATCCTCTTTGGGGACCAAGATTCACAAGGGTCTCAAACCATTTTTCTCTCCAAACACTCATAAGTGATAACTAACTATTATGCTTCTAAGAAAAATTAAAATCATTCGTATGCCGAGTAAATTATAAATTATTCCTTCTTGTTTTGAAAAATGAATTTATTATTTTTTAAAATTAATTATTTAATCTTAATATTTTGAAATTTATTTCTAATTTAGTTTGTTTTGCTTTTTTTTTTTAAATTTATTTTGATTTCTTATTTTAAGAAATAGAAAAAGAACAAAATATAAAAAATATGAAAAAGATTGATTAGAAAATAAGAGGTTTTATGAAATTAAAATAATATTAAATTAACATTATCAATACTTATTAAAATATTAAATAATAATTTTTGAAATGAAAGAGACTAAATAATTTATTTCTTAAAACTGGAGGAACTAAATTATAATTTACTCTCCATCTGCCAACCATTTTGGTTCAAATATACAACAAATATTATCGATTCATCTTTTTAGCCCATTAAGTACTTTGGGCCAATGACATTCGGGTTGGAATTGAAATGGGCCGAATATCGAGCCCATTAATTCCAATCTAGATTTTGCTCACACTGTGAATAAATTTAAAGATAAATATATTGGAAGAAATTTTGACGGTCCATGGAAATGTTTTTGTGGATTCCCAAGATTTATAATAACTGAATGTAAACCATAAGGTGGTAGCCCACAGTTGGTAACATTCAGGATTCAATCTTTATAGTTACTTATTCTCAAAATATCAAAAGTCATATATAGGGAAGTGTCTCTTAACCACGTTCGAGAGATAAATTAATCTTGAAGTATGCGAAAGCTGATTTGAGAAAATTCTTACTACTGAATCAAAAAAATAAATAAATAATAACGGAATGTAATAAGATAACAATTATAAATTTGCAATTGAAGGAATAATAAGTATTTAGGTATGGAGTTGAAAACTCCAATTCCTTATTCTATCTATTAACAAGCTATACTCTAAATTCACAACGAGTCTATTTAATAATCATTTAATACCCATTAAAGATAACTTGTCAAAAATTACATAAACTAAAATGAAATTAAAAAAGAAGAAAAAGATATTTCGGTCTTTAATATTTTTAACAATTCAGGTCTTTAATTAGAAGCCTCTAGTCCTTAAGTTATTACAAAAAAAATTTGGTCCTTATTTTATATAGTCTATGCAATTAAGTCCTTACATGTTGACATATTTCTTAGATTTATAAACATATATATATGTGTGTGTAATGTCAACAAACATATATATGTTCTCTTTGGATTTTTTTTTTTTTAAATTCAAAATTTCAACTAATTTTTTGAAAAGTTTAGAAAATACTCGCTTGTTAAGTTGTTGGAAAAATTTAGTTGATTCACCTCTAGTTTATTTTTTATGTTTAGCATATTGATATTTTCAAAGTGATATGTTATAGACCTTAGATTTATAATTGGTCATGAAATGGCTGAAGTAATCATGGAAATCGATTATGGATGATTATACAATGATTTAACGTACTTGCTAAACAAGTCCTCTTGATGGATTGAAGAATTTTTTGATGAATAAATTAATATACAGATAATCATGATTAGATTATGATTTAGTTGTGTAAGTATATATAAGATGATGAATTGTAACGACGAGGTCTAGAGAGCAGAACACTTAACCTAGCTCTATCCTACTCTGACTATTTTCGAGCCAAGGGTTTGAAAAATATGTATGGAGAGGAAGGTTAAACAATTCATTTTCTAGTTGCCCATGGTTTTTTACACCAATTTTGAGAAATAAATATACTTAATGTTGATAGATTGCTGTTAGGTGGCTAGAAAGTGACCATGATTGGTGTTGATTGGACGGAAAGGGTCTTAAGAGCATACTTTCACTTTTTGATCCTTTGGTTCATGGGAGTTGGTGGAAACTCCATCCGTCGAACTTCAACCAAAAAAGCTCGATCTTATTAGTTTGCCTGGGTTGTTCTAGGGTTTTCAAAGTTTCGCATGGATGGGATATCAAGGACGTGATTATCATTCTTTCATATACAACTATAATTGGATTTATTAGAAAATAATATAAATTATTCATTAAAATCTCATTAAATAATTTAAATTTTTTGATGAGATGATCATTTGATATGATATCAAAATCGTGATGATCAAATGATCGTAAGTTCGAATCCTACTATTCTTCACGTTCAAAAGGCCAAAAGACTTTCACTTGAAGGAGTGTATGATAGAGAATAATATAAATCATATCTTGAAATCTCATCTAATAAGATTTACATCATTGCTGATAAATGTGGAGCATAGTTTTAAATTGCAGATAATTGAAGAAACGATAACGATCACTATTACAAATTGTGGTTACGAGTTCGAATTCTACTATCACTATTACAAATTGTGGTTGTGAGTTCGAATTTTACCATCGTCCATGCCCAAAGGATCAAAGGACTTTCATATGAGGGAGCGTGTTATGAAATAATATAAATCATATACTAGGATCTCACATAATAAGGTCCACATCATTATCGATAAATGTAGAATATAGTTTTAAATCACGAGACAATTGAAAAAACAATAACGATCACTATTACAATTATGACTTAATATGATATTAAAATAATAATAATAAAATGCTTTGAAACTCATTACAAAACAATCGTTATATAACATAATTATCGTTATTTAAAATTATAATATAAAGAATATACAAATAGAGTAAGCAGCATATTACATATATGCCTTGATCTGAAAAAGAACAAATTGAACACAAGATTCTATCCAATATCACTGACAAATACAGTAGTAGTTTGGGTGGCAAGGAATGTTCACACTTTTAGTTGGTTCACATTTCACACTTCTCACAGGTTCTTAAAATCATCCATCGAATGCATCAACTTTCAAATCAAGGAACAGTTACGAATTTGAGGCAGAATTTCCAGCAGTTGCTTTCACTGGCAATGCTGTGCTATATTCTTTCCTTTTCTTGAACAATTTTATTGTTCATGAGATACTTCTACGTATCTCATTTTCCTTAGCATGAGAATTCCAAAAAGATAACCAGGAAAAAAACTACACCAAAATTAACAATAAAGGAAATCAATCTGTAAAAACTCAACAACTTTCAACACATGCAAATCAATATTTTTATTTGATCCGACTACAAAAACAACTGAATTGGTTAAAGAATTGAATATCTGCAATTTCATTTTCGACCTTCAGCATCTAAAGAAGAAACTAACAACCCAAATTACACACATACAAGTAGAGGAACCTTTTTTTTTTTTCTTTTTTCTTCTTTTGTCTAGTTCGGAAGGTCGTGAATATTCCTGCTCTGAACTGAGAAGCTTGGAGCTGCTGGCATTGAGCTTGGCATGGCGGTAGGAGCACTACTAGCACATCCTTTCCATGCCATTGGAGGTGCGTTTTCAGACACTCTCCACATCTTCACAGACTTATCGAGACTACCACTGTACAAAATCCATCGCCTTTCGTTCGTCGACGCAGATTCATGTTCTTTCTCTGCTGCCAAGCACTTAACAGGTCCATTATGGCCTGTTAACAATGACAAACATATGTGATCACTTCCCATCTTCCTCCACACACATATTCCCATATCAGCCGAGCCACTAAACACAAGGTTCCCTGCTGTAACTAAGCATAGAACAGCCAATTTGTGACCTCTCAAAACACCACCGTGAGACATATGCTTTTCACGTTCCCAGAAGTTAACAAGCCCATCTGATGAGCCACAGTAGACAACGGTGGCATCAGGATTAACCGCCACAGCCGTAACGGCACATTCTTGTTTCAACAACGTTTGTGAAAAGAAATGTTTGGTTCCTTTCCCTTGTAATTCTCTCCTCCAAACCTTGACAGTTCCATCTGCCGCTCCTGTGAAGACTAGGCCATCGTATCCGGCAACGATTGAATTAACAGCATCATCATGAGCAATGACTGATTCAAGGCATCTGGAATTGGATATTCTCCAAACTTTAAAAGTCTTGTCCCATGATGATGAATAAAGAAATGTCTTATCTTCGCTCAAGCTAAGACATGAAATGGCATCGTAATGTTTGAACCATACCGCATTCTTATGGCGTCTAGCTTCAACAAAGTTGCTTGTTTTCATCGAGTTCTTGAAGTAATCCTTCATAGTTGGCAAGGTCCCTAGACGTTTATGAACAGTTGGATCCTTGGAAGATATCTTCCATACCCTTACTTTCCCATCTTGATGGCCTGTAAATATTCTTTCACCAGAAATCACAATTGCTTTAACCAATCCACTATTCGATTTAAACCCCGAAAACTCCCTCTGATTTTTCCAAACCCTTATATTCTTGCTATCAGAACCTGTATACAGAAGATCACCAGATGCAGCCAATGAATAAATATGACCCTCTTCGCGTACTAATGACCCCATCAGCACATTAGGAGATAAATCGTCACCATTGTCTTCAAAAGCAATGTTGATGTTCCTCTGAGAGGACCATGGAGACTTTTCCATTGGAGAGGCAGAAGAAGGATCATTATAAGGCGGACTCAAGTTGGAATTATTAAAAATTTGATCTGGGCTATTTCTTGCATTGAAAATGCCATCGTCGTCATTAAGAAGGTTTGTGTTCTTGATTCTGCTAAATTTATGCACGCTATTCTCTTCAGAGAAAATCCGCCCTCCTCTTGACGAGCCTGCTCTTCTCGAACCTTTCTTTAACATTGAAGAATTTATGTTTTGATAAACTTTGCACAAGGTAAAAAAGGTACAACAATAGAATAAGAAAAAGATTGTCTCTGTAAAACTCACAAAGACAGAGTAAAGACGGTAATTAAGCAGGTATGAAGACAACCGAAAGCAAAGAGAAAAGCAAAAGGGCTAAAGAGGAGAGGATTGCTAGTTTATTTCTGACTCTCCATGAAAAGAAAATCAGTGGCAGGCCCATTTTTGTGTTACTAACAGATTGGCAATATCATTTTTGGTTGTGATAGGTCGAAAGATTATTTTCATTAGGTTGGTTTTAGTAAAACTAATTAAATCCAACTAAATCCAGTCATGCATGCCATGCAGACTATAGTTTTTTTTTTTGGGAAATTATAGTCGACGGCATGACATTCCTGTTAGCTTAGGACGCAGATTAGGCAACCAGGCCGTGTTGAACTTAAAAAAGGATAATAAGTTTATGATTGCAAACGGAGAAATCGGGATGATTTGTGGTGTTAAAAACAAGGTTGCCTGTAAGATCTATAGCTAAAAAGGGCCAAAAAAAAAAAAAAAAAAAAAATTTGCAGATTCCACCTGTAAAATACAAGACATAACCAACCTTTGACTTGGTCTAAACACTAAATTATAGTTAATGTTCTACACATTTTGTTTGATTCTGATTTGGAATTTTTTAACCCATCATGCCATCTTCCATGCTCTGATGTTTTTTTCTTGCTCTTTATCCATTTGAAATTTTTGGAATTATTATAGTTTTTTTTTATTTCAATAATAGGCATTTAGTTAACAAAAATATTATTTGGTTAAAAAAATTAATCAAAAGAACAGATTGAATATTTCAAATACTTCATAAATAAATGAGATGCAATTAAAAATTTAAAGATATATAAAAAGATAAAAGTATTATAAAGGAATATATATATATATATATATATATATATATATATATATATATATATATATATATATATATAACCTTTTCTATTATTATAAAGAACCATTTGTTTTGTATAAAATGTTTTATATGAAAACATTTTCTTGATTTTTCTGTATATGTTTTGCATACTTTTAACCAAAAACTAGTCAACATAAAATATTTTATAGTCAATATATAAGTTTAGTTCATTGGATGAAACATATTTTTCGCTTATTAAATTTTGTAAAATATTTTATGAATGGTAAGCAACTCAAAATATCATTCCAATATTTTCACCATCGTCATCCTATTGTCACTACAATTACGTCTACCACCATATACTTCCACCTCCACCATCCCACCACCGCCTCTTCCTTCTTCACTATCGATCGTTGCTGCCACCATCACCTCGTCACTTCACAACCACCTTCATCTCTTCCTTCTTCACTATCAATCGTTGCTGCCACCATCACCTCATCACTTCACAACCATCTTCATCATTATTCCCACTATCACTCTCTCATTAGGTCTTTATTTCTCAAACTTAGCCATCATAATGATATTGATGCTCCAGTCTCATGACTTTTGATGATTGGCCTTGCAATTATTCATATGCTAAAGTCTGTCAATTTTTTTTCAGATGGATAGAGGAGTCATATTGTTTAATGTCAGTTATTTTTAGAATAAAATTAATAAAATCAAAAGATTTGAGACTTAATTAATAATAAAGTAACACTTTAGGGGCTGAATTTTGTTTCCCAAGAAAATTCCATTACACGTGTGCCCCTCTCTTATCAGTATAAAAAGTCAGGTCCGTACCTCATCTTCCCGCGCCTATGACACGCGCAACTAAGATGCCGACGAAACCGAAAAAATCCCTTACCCAAACTTCACTCAACTAACCAAAAACCACCACCGTTATGTTCTTTCACGACGCCGTTTACCGGCGACTGGTTTCTCTATTGCAGCCATGGTTACAAGAAGAGCCGGAGATTGAACTCAAATTAGGCTTTATCAACTCTCAATTGACCGCAAAGAATTTAAAATTCGACGTTTCTGCACTTAATAGCGAATTCGAATCCTCTCGGTTTAAGTTCAAAGAATTCACCGTTGATCACTTCATCCTTCGCTTCTCTAATTGGTCTTTCCCTGCTTTCAAAATCGAAATTGGCGGTGTCAATGTCACTCTTTTAGCTGGGTAAATTATTTTATTTGTGTATGTTGCGATTGATTTTAATGTGTATGTGATTGTAATTTATTGTGTTTTGCCTTTTTTTTTTTTTTTTTTTTTTGACAGGGGAGTGAGGGAGGAGGGGACTTTGAGAAGGGCGAGGAAATTGAGTGAGAAAGAGAAGAAGGCGATTGCCGGGTTTGATCCTGAGGTATTTTATTGTTTGTCAAGTTCAATTTTGCTGCTTAGAGAGTGAATTTCGGCTTTCTAGTTATTTGAAGATCTAAAAATAGCTCAACTAAACAAGTGAAGCATTGTTGAGCGATTTGATTGGTTATGCTTCAGTAGGATCACTGAAATTTTTCGTGTGTATTGGATGTTTGTTCGTTTGTGGTAGAATTGTTCTTTTTTTATTTTGGGAATTACCTGTCTGTATGGAATACCTTCTTGTATTTCAATCTGGTCGATTCAGTTCATTGGTGATTGTATTAGTATTTTAGCTTGTAGCAGGGTTTGCCTATCTTGGGGAGTTTGTTTGGAAACGAAACTAATTCATTTATGAAAAGAAGAAATCGTTTTAGTATATCTTTTGTTGCTAATTCGAGGCCCTGTTTACTTTTTTGATTGGTAATGCCTGTGTGCAATCACTGAGACATTGGTTTCTGTACATCAGGGTAGTGCTTTGCATGATGTGCTGGAGAGGATCTTGCTTGACCCTCCTTCAAGAAATTGGTTTAAAACCTCTCTGTTGAATCTTGTTCTCAAACATTGCCATTTACAGATTTCCAATATTAATCTGCAAGTGCAGTTTCCTGACTTGAATGATGTTGTACTTTGCTTATTGGAACTAAAGGAGTTCAATGGAGAATCTGAGCACTCGGACCATGGGTGTCTTTTAAGAGGGGTTGTTGGTGCTGTTTTTAAACCTCTGAAAGTGGTTTCTTTCGTTATGGATTTTAGAGGTTTTGAGTTTGCATATAAGATGGAAGATCAGATAAACCGCATTTCTTCTTTCACAGATCTGTTTACTTGCATTAAATTAAATGATCTTCAGGTGGCAGACTTCAGCATCCGTGTTCCAGAATTAAGTCTTTTATTTTCTCCGCTTGATCTCCTTCTTTTGTCAGCTTTGGGTAAACTATCATCAAAAGAAGCAAAGCGAGTCAGAAGTGGTAGACAACTATGGAAACTAGCTGCAAACAGATTAGGATATGTGATTTCTTCTCCCAGATTGTCACTGCATAATTTAGTGGATGTCATTTGCCTCTGGCTACGTTATCAAAATGCATATGAACATTTGCTGTCTATGCTTGGATATTCTGCTGAAAACTTATTAAAAAAGTCTGTTGTTAAGATGTCTGAGGACAAAATGTTTCTGAATTCTGTCAAACACAATTGGGAGGAGATTTCTGGCTTAGAGAAAGAGTTGCCAGCTGAAGCTATTGCCCAGGCCCGACGAATTGCTCGATACAGAGCAGTTTCAAACATTCAAAATGGTAAAAATGGTTACAAAGAATCTTCAATGGATAGTCAGGTCAATGTTTTCTCCAAGATCCTTTCAGTATTCGTATTTATTTGGAATGTTTTGTACAGGATTTTGCTCTTGATTTCACAGTGTTTCTTTTTTATATTACTTTTCTTTCAACAACCAAAACTTGATTGGCATTCGGGAATTGATTCTGAAGATTACAGCTCCTATTGCTTCTTGCTAAACTTTGGAAAGATTTTAGTTACTTTTTCGCCCTCAAGCAAGGACCAGAATGTTGATGAAAGAATAGCGTCCCATACAGGGATTTCATATTCTGATATACACTCATTCCGTCTATCAATTCATATGCTGTTACTCACATATGTTGATGGAATTTTTGAACAGTCTCTATCTGTTTCCTGTGGGCAATTGAAAATTAAGTCCTCTTCTGTTATGGGGGCAACGATTGTGGATAGGAGTTCAAAGAATTCTTTTAGTTCAAAAAAAGTTCGTCGGAAAGGGAGTGTTGATAAATTAAAAACTATCTTGTGGGGTGAGCCTGCACAAATATTTCTTCCTTCACAAACTAGTGAAGCCAGTGTTGCAAATCTAGCTGAAGGAACCTGTAACCCGCTTTTGCAGACACTTCTGGGAGAAATGTGGTTGGCTTGGCAAAGAGTTTCCGCAAAATATAATGATAGTGAGATAGCATGTTCTGAAACTCCATGGCTTCTTTGTGAGATTAAAAACTGTTTGATGGATCCAAGCCTGAAGAGACCGGATTCTGGGTTTTGGAAATGCAGTTTCACAGCAGGGAAATTAAATTTAGCTTTGGGGTATTCATCAGTACTGTCTATGGCTATGCTGCTTGGCCAGATACAGCATGCTCTAAGTTTGAATGAGATCTCAGGGAGGGCAACTGTACTTTCGAATTCACCTCCAACCGTTGAAAATCAGGAAGAAATTAGTTGGGAAGATAAATATGAGTTGTATTCTAATAGACTGAAATTGAATTTTCTTAGAATGCTTCCAGAGAAACATATTCAACTTGGAGTTTTTGTTACTGGTCCTCATATTCAAATGTCACTGAGAAAGGTTGGACTTAGCAGTGGGGATAAAAACATGAATCAGGATGATTTTCACCTTGGTTTTGATATCCAAAATATTGAGGTTGTTGTTTGGCCAACTTCAAAATCTGATTTGGCATTAACGGGATTGTCAGAATCTGATGGTGCAGAACCAGAGAGCCACAAATTGCGAGAGCCTCAGATAATTGAAATTCCTAAACCAGATAATGAAAAGTATGCATCTGAGGGATGGGTTTCACTTAGTTCCTACTTCAAACTCGGTGGTTTCAATATTTATATGGGAAATTTGGAAGAAAGTGAACAGAACCAAATCTTTTCCTTGAGGCCAATAGCTGCACGGTTATCATTCTTCAGGTAGGGGATTTTGGCCTTTCCATTTAACTTTCATTTCCAATACCAGGGACTTTTGACAACTTGAATTTTTGGTCCTATTTTCCCTTGCTGTTGTTATCTGTTTTCATTGCAAAGCAGTTGCATATATTCTTGTTGTCTCAAGGGTCTCTGCATTTCATTACATGTGCATGATTTATAATCAAGGAAATTTTTTCTTTTTCATGTGTAGTTTCTCCATGACTTTGCTGCTCAACATGGGCCAGAGCTGTCTCTTTTTTTATTGTTCCTATCCTGGGCATACATGGAATTAGATGTGAGGTTAATGTGAGGTTGCTTGGGTGAACTATCTTGAAAGTAAAAAGAAATCAGCATCGAAGCATGGCATTTGAAGATTTTTGCTCCCTCCTTTTCTTTGCATATATTCCCCCTTTTTTTTTTTTTTAGTCCAAAAACATATAGGAACAAATTGAATTGCTTAATAACCAACAACATGAGGTGCTTAAAAATTCAAAAGTAGAATCATGTGTATCTGATGGATATTTCTTTCTAGTTTTTTGTTGTAGTAGATAACATTGTACTAAAGAACCTTTTTATTCCCTTACAGATGCCGTTTCATAATATACTAACCAAGCATTTATCTTGTCTTGACGCTGAGCGTCTCTGTTTCAGGGAGTTTGTTCATACGTTTAGCACATCTATCATTGCTTTCTCAGCAACTTTCTCTGTGACGGCTTCAGGATTCTCTATTATATCATATATGGATGATTTGCCTGTTCTCTTTCAGGTGATTGTGTTCTTTTACATTTCTTGAATTGAAGTAGCTACAGAGAGTCGATGAAACCACACGTTTCAATGCCAACACCTTGGATTTTAGTACTTGAAATCTTTTGCATTTAGTCGTATCCAGAGCCAATTCTCTGTGCACTCATTGGCTTTTCACCTTATCAACCTATGTTTGCTGAGCCTCTCTCTTATTCTTTTAAGGCCTTTAAATTCAAAGAATCATTTTGCAAGTTGAAGGTGCTACACTGACAGCTGAAATGGTTTGGCTCAAAGTAGTGAGAGAATACATAATTGCCAAAGAATTTTGATGGATGTTCCTAGGAGAGCTGAATGGACTGGTTTGTTACCTTAATCAGCAGGACATAAATTTTACTGAATTTGATGCGGTAGTCAATAGTCGCATTAGTGATATGACAACCATTGATTCTGGGTTTAAAATGACGGCCTTGTGGTGACGGTACACCTATTGATGCTATCATGCAGTAACATGAGAAAGAAAAAGGCTATAATCCCCTACTTGTTTGAAGGACCTACGGTGGCTTTGGTATTTTTCTCCCATTCACCTTTTCCTCTGATGGAAGAATACTTAAATTAAGTTGAAAGTTTTATTGTAATATTTGTTTCCTTTCCTTTTTCTAAAAGATAGATATTGTATTTTGAAGTTACCTTGTGTCTTTGCTCATGTTTTATATATATATATATATATATATTTAAATGGTATGACCAAGTTAAATAATCTCTATTCAGGTGGTTGCAGGTTTGTCTTCACCAGTTTCGCTTTCATATGCTTTTAGGAGCTTTGATTCGAGTGGTTTTGTATGTCTTCAAAACTTTGTGAGGCAGAATGTGGTATCCATTGATCCTGAGAATGATGAAACTAGTGCTGAAGGAGCAACTTTTATTTGTAATAGCACTTTGGTCTCAACTACTGGCACCTTTAAGTTCAAGTCGTTGGATGTAATTCTTCAGAATTCTAGGATAGATGATAAGGTGGGAAGTTCAGTAAAAACATATGATGCTATGAGCAAGCAAATGGCTGGGCATGATTTTCCTGATTGTGGAATTTTGATTTCTGTTTGTCAAACTTACACAGAGGTCTCTTTTGAAGAGAAGAAACTGGAAATTCTCTGTGATTTGCGAGGAATTCAGCTTATAATTTCTATATATCAGGATCACATGCTAAAAAGTTTTGATCACTCTGTAGTTAGAAACTTTCTGCAGCACTCTCAGGGTGGATTATATGAAATATTTCTTTCAGATTTCTCATTTACTTTTTGGCTGGGTCAACCTTGCGATAGTTTGAATAACTTGGATGGTAAAACTTCTTTGAGTGTTAATACATCACAAACAGTGGACAGTTCCCATTTGATCAGTGAGTGTGAAACATCAAATGCTCAATCCTCTAGATTCACTCAGAAGTCAGGTTTTGCTACAGATATCACAGCTTCATCCTCAAGTCAGTGGATTCTCATAAATGCTATGCTTGGTATAATTTATGTGGGAAAGGGCTCATTAAAGAATTCTCTTGTTGGGCCTAATCAACTCAATAAGCTTACTGCATTGCTTGCAGTTGGAAGAAATCTTCAGACAGTCTCTTGGGGAATAAAGGTGCTAATATCCTGAACTACACAAAAATATCTTCTCGTGGTTACTTGTTCATTCAATCAATTTATAGACACTGTATATCTTTTGTAGTGCTGAGTTATTGGTTTGTATTTTGAAATTCTTATCTGAGTCCTGACTTCTGCATGTTCATATCTGTTGTTTTCCAAAGAGAATGAGACATTTTGCTATTGGACAGGGTGGTGTTCTTGTCCTTGAAACAACAGCGTTAACAATGTTTCATCAGTGTGTTGTTTTATATCTCCATCGTATAAAAAATCTCTTATCAGTTATTAGTTCTTCTGTTAAACAAGCTGAAAATGCTGGATATGAGGCCCAAGAGACTCTTCATACGACCCGACAAACCAAATGGGAATGGCCAGAAGCTTCCACCATAGACGTGTCTCAGTTTTCTATTACTCTTGTTGTTGAAGATGGCTCTGGTATAGTGCCCTTCCTTTTCTTATATCTGCTACTTATGCCAGATATTGCTTTTGAATAATTAGTTCATTTGTGTAGATTTTCAGGAACTTGTCATTGAGGTTGATGTCCATATGAAGTTTGAATCTGCAAATCTGCTGAGGAAAGTCATATTTAACCTTTCCAGGATGGCAATCTTTTCTCGAGTCCATCAAGAATATGTTGAAAATGAAAATCAAATTCCTCCATTTTCTTCTGTCACATCATTTGCATCTCATCTTGCACCTGGAGACAGGGTTTTGGCATTTCAACACATTGATGGAAGTCATCAGAGCAAAATGTTGAATAATTTAGTTGCTTCTGTGTCAGTTGAAAAGCCTGAAAATGGTCATATGTTAAATCAGGTTTGGGTTGGCATGGGTTCTATTTCAGGTTTTGATATGACAATATCCTTGTCTGAAATACAGGTGAGCAATGCTAACTTTCTTTTGTTTCTTTCAAGTTTTCATACTGTTGGTGCTTCAATCACTGGAAGCGCCTGCATACCTTGTTTTTCACATCTCGGTCTAACTTGCCTTTTATGTCAGATGATTTTATCCATTGTTTCATCCTTCCCTTCTGCATCCAACGAAGAGAAAAACAGTGACCTGAAACAAAGGCGCTTGTCCAGTAGTCAAGAAACTGGCAACAGTTTTAAAGCTATGGTTCCTGATGGTACATGTTGAAAACATGCATATATTTTCTTACCTTTTGTTTGCAAAATTTTAGGGAAATTGAACTGAATGTTATTCTTGAATTGTGTAGGAGCAATTGTGGCAATTCAAGATGTGCATCAACACTTGTACTTTGCTGTTGAAGGAAGGGAAAATAAGTATAATTTGTTTGGTGTGATTCATCATTCACTTGTTGGAGAGAAGGCGCTTTTTAGGGTAAGAATTTCTTATTTCACATTTCCATTTGATGCCCGAGCTTAGAATCTTGATTAGTGGTAGTTTCTTAAATCTCATAATTTTTGTAATGCAGCTGTATGCATTTAGATGTTGCTAATTTTGTGTATATGAATTGAATAGCTCTGTACACAATGATAATCTTCTGATGCTTTCCTGTTTGATTATTATGATAGTCTGTCATAGCATGCAGCCATGGCTTTCTTGCTCTTTGTGCCAGTAGATAGGGTTCCCTTGTTCAACAATTCTGGGAGTCATGTGCTGTTTGTTGACAGCTGTCACACTAGGCTTTGCTTATTGCCATTATGATTTAGATGTATTGTATTGCATAAACAAACAATTAGAACCATCACCCTTTCTCTTCTGTTGTTTGGGGATAAAAAGAAAAGGACAGGCATTGAAACATGGGTGGCCATGTGAAAATAAGCAATCTATACTAGAACGAGGTTGAGGGGACTGAACATTTAATTGATCTTAAGAGGTTCAACGGCTGTATGCTCACCTTGGATCTGAGGCTGAAAAATGTCATCTTTTGGAGATTATTTTATGGATTCATTCATTTTATTGCGCTCCAGTTTTTCATTTTGTAACCATTGTTCCATACCATATAGCGATCATTTAATTCCAGTTTGCATTTACATTTTAATTCTGCTTTCCTCATGCTTCTTGTTCTATCTGTTGGTTTGAGAAGGTTATATAGTAAATACCATATATGCACTTGTTATATACATGTTTCTTTTGTACTGGGTCCAAACTCAATGGCTCGGGGAAAGTGATCTACTCTACCTGTTAAGTTGGAGCACCAGCTTGTTTGAGTACACAGTACCAATCCCTGGTGCGCTAATGCTGCAACTTTTTAGGGGGTACAGTTATTAGATGTTATTGTTACTTTGCATAGTTGTGTGGGAGTATAGTTGTGTAGCTCTGGGCAGAAAATATTACAGGCAGCTGGCTCAATTCTGAATCATGACGCAGTTGATGGCCGAGTCTTGCCCTATTGTTTTACAGCATTACTTACCGATGTGCCCCCCTGATGCAGGAAAGCTTAGGGGCTGTTCTGGATCTGAGTTTGGAGGCTGTTTAGGAGTGTTTATGGTGGGTAGATTTCTAGGAGTCACACCTAAGGAGGGATTGAGTCACACAATCAAAAGCAAATTGCTAGAAATTATTTGATATTATTGCATTGTGAATATTGAAAGGCTACATACTGTATCGATGGAGTTATAGAAGTCCAAATCCAATTAGGACACGGATTCCTAAACCTCCAACATAACTTTTCCTAATTAGAGTAGGAAAACCTATAACTATTCCTATTTTAGTATAGGAAAACTTAATAACTTTAGGACTAATACAATTCTAAACAGAAATACTATAATTTCAGATTTTCCAGCAGATCTGAAATTACTAAAATACCCTTATCTATTACTCAAGTGCCCGGCTAAGTTTTCCATCATTATCCATGTGCCAAATCAATGCTTGAGCATTGGAGTTATTCTTAGAACGTCTTCTAAAGACCTTTGGGGGCTGCTGCCAAGATGCCCCATCTCCCCTCCCAATCCTGCTTCTGGAGTCGACCATTGTGTAACACTTGCACAAATAATCTTCTTCAGGAGGGAGGGGTGGGGGTTACATTTGAATACTTTTGAGGATAACATTCATTGAAGTATTCTACAAAGGAATGATCTGTAATACCAGAAACTTTCCAACTCGTCCTTCATGTAGATTCCTTATTACATTAATCAGTTCCCCTCTTTCACTTTGTCTTCAAAATTAACTGCCATTATACAATGTTACTGGCGTAACACATCTCAAACTTATTTGTAGGTCAAACACCATAAGCAAAGAATGTGGAAGTCGTCAGTTCTGTGGTTCTCCTTGATTTCATTGCATGCTAAGAACAATCTTGGCAAAGCATTGCGATTGAACTATCAGTCTGGATCAGGTTTTGTTGAGATCTCCAATGCTAATGATAGTGGTGGGTCACTCTGGAGAATACTTCCTTGTGAGCCTGAAAGCTACAGGAGTGATATTGATTGGGAACCATACAATAAGTTGGTTAAGGATACTTTTTACCTGGTAAATAAGAAGAGTGACTCTGCTGTTGCTTTTGTTGATGGAGTTCCGTTGTTTGTTAGAAAGCCTGGACATCATTTCAAGTTTAAAGTGTTCCATAACTTTGCTTTGGCTCGTGATGTTGCAACATCAGATGGGTACTCTTTTGTGCCTTCTGGAAGTAATCAGTCTCCTAGTACACATGAGGATGCAGGCAGAATTTCTGGGCAGTGTGGAACTCTCCCTTGCATTCAAATTAAAATCGACAATGTTTCTCTGACCATTGTCCATGAACTTTTAGATACAAGGGACAGGTTTCCACTTCTTCGTGGCTGCATCAGTAATACCGAACTTAATCTCCAGATTCTATCTCATAAAACCAGAGTTATGAGCACATCAATTGCTTTGCTTTATTACTTTGATGCCCAAAGAAATTCTTGGTGAGTACTAATTCTGAAAAGAATAATGTAATTATTCTATGCTCCTATGAACTTATTTTTACATCAAATTAATGTTCCATTTTATGCTGGTTTTTATTAATTTTCTCTTCTATTTATGGGATGCAGGAGAGAACTTGTTCACCCTCTTGAAATATGTACATTCTATCGTTCAGTTTTCCAAATTCAGGGTTCAGAAACTGTTCAGCATGGAGCACCAGTTCATTTCTATTGCCGAAGTCAAGAGGTCAGAATAGTGACAATTGAGAGAGATTTCTCTCTCCTTTCATTTATAGAATGTAAACAGTTTGTGTTCTTGTATATTGGCAGTTGGACATATCCCTAACTGAGCTCTCTTTGGACGTACTTCTTTTTGCAATTGGGAAATTACAATTGGCTGGTCCATTTTCTGTGAGAAGCTCCATGATTTTGGCCAACTGTTGCAAGGTTTAGTGGTTTACACTCCCTTTTTAGCTGGTCTCCTTTTGGTGTGCGTGTGTACATGTGCTGGTATAATCTCCATGTGCCGAAACATGCTCATAAATCATTCTTTATAGCTTAAGCTTATTCCTGAATCATTCTTTATAGCTTAAACAACAATTTGTTTTTTTAACTCTATATTAAATTAGGGAGCCCGAAATCATTCTTTACAGCTTAAGCTTAGTCCTGAATCATCTTTATAGTTTGAACAGCATTTTGTTTTTTGGCATGATATTAAATTTGGGAGTCCTTTGTTTAGGCTTGGGATATCAAGGCCTTCCATTATCCATCCATGTGTTAGATTAGCAATTAAGGTCAGCCTGAGACCCTCTTGTGGGATGGTTTAGAAAAATAAGCTGTTCTTGACAGCTAGCAGTCGGTTGCTAATTCCGTTTTTTTAATACACCATGGTGCTAATCTGTGAATTCTGACTGCATGCATGCATGTCTGTTCGGTTGGTGTAATGGGAAGGAAGAAGGAGGGAGAGGGTAAAATGGAGGGATAAAGAATGGATATGAACTTCTTCATCTGATTGTCTGGCTAACAAGGGAGGGAAATGATGGAAACCAATCCGCTTAATTTAGGAGGGTTGTAGATTACAAGTTAGGAAGGATAGAAGAGATCCTTTCCATCCCTCTCGGATCTCAAACCACCCTGCCCAACAAGGGAACCATCTCAACTCTCATCCATCCTCCCTACTTTTCTTCATAACACAGGGTAAATAAACAATTGCTTACGTAGCTCATTTTATGTTGGTGGTGGTTATGGTGGTTCGGCCTTTGCATTGCAGGTTATGGTCTTTTACAAATAATAGTTAGGCTTCAAAACTGGTGATTACCAAGTGTAGGTTTTCCAGCTAAATATCAATTACATATGATTTTGATCTGATTCTGAAAGCATATTTGCCTATATTCATCTCCAACTCTTAATGAGATTTTAAATTTTATTTTATCTTGCAACGGATGACATGCTATGAAATGTTATCTTTAACTTTAAGGGGTCCAATTTCACATTTTTATTCTTGGACCTGATGATGCTATTACTGGAATTCAAATAGTATGAACAATATCTGCTTATTGACTAGCCTCCACTCCATATTTTCATTATTTTGTTCCCCCCATCCATTTGAGTCTAACATCCTGTTTTATTCTTTTAATCATCGTGCATCTTGTACTAAGAAAAGGTTGTAATGATGTTTAATGTACCAGGTGGAAAACCAAACAGGTTTGAGCCTTATTTGTCACTTCTATAACAAGAAAAGTGTGACAATAGCCAGAAAACAGTCTGCTTCTGTTTTCTTAAGGTAACTTATTAGAAAGGTCTGTTTTATGGTTAATGGGTATTGCGCACACAAAGATGCACATTCTTGTTTGCATGTATTGAGTTTAACATTTGGTCGATTTATAATCCCCCATTATTAAATGTTCTGAAGGCACCCAATATTAGCAAATCAACCCCCAGAAAGCGAGTCGCATGTCACAATTCAACTTTCTGATCGTGGATCTTTTGCTACTTCCTCACTTGATATTTCTATTATAAAAACTCGAGCACTTGCTTGGAGAACGCGTATAGTGTCACTTCAAGGTATGTCCCCACATTTATTTGAACTAAAGTATTAGCAAACTATGTCCAGTTAATTAACATACCAAAGCAAATTGTCAGCTCTTATGTACAGCATGCTTTACTGACTCAACTAGACATGCTTACTTAATTTAACTTCTTGTGTCTGTTAGTTAGTTGTCTTTGAAGTGAAACTGATTTTGGCTTTCCTTTTCCTTTTGGTAAATGATGGGGAATGAAGGAAGACAGCAATGGTAATGAATATTCTATTTAACTACTCGGTAATAACTAAAATCTTAAATAATACTAAAAATCTAGAATAATCACACAACATTAAAATTCCTAATAATCAAGCATTAATTCCCATTGTTTGCCTTTCTTCATTCCCCAACAGTAAATTTCTTCGAACATTTTACAGGTATTGTTGCGTCCATTATGGTTTTTAATTTTCCATTTATTTTATTTTTTGACATCAGAACATCTTTATGGATATATAGCTGATTGGTTTAGTTTTCCTTTTATTTTATTTTATTTCTAATCTTTGGATCTTAATTCTTTGTGTAAATATAGATAAATCTTTAACTATGGGATGAACTCTTGTGGCTCTTATAATCAAAGTTATTTCCATGCCTTCTTAAATTGCAAGGTCCCAACATCGCTGTTACTAACTCATTTGGTTTTGCATTAACTCTGAACAAAGACAATTTTTTTTTCTATGCATTTGAGTCACCTTTTGATTTGCATTGAGATAAGAGAGATTTCAAAAATTGATGTCATATGACTTTCGTGTTAGTTACACTCAACACTTTCGTCCTTAAACAGATTCAAGAAATTACCCTGGGCCATTTGTGGTGGTTGACATTTCAAGGAAATCTGAGGTAATTCCTCAAATCACCACTTTATCTCACTAAATTGGTCTTTTTCCTCTGAAATTCTTATCTTTTCTTCTTTGATTGTTTGTAGGATGGTTTGTCAATTGTGGTTTCTCCTTTAATAAGAATACATAATGAAACTGAATTCTCCATGGAACTACGGTTTCGACGATCTCAACAAAATGAAGATGCGTTTGCTCCAATGTTACTGAAGAAGGGGGCTTCTACTGATGATTTCATGACAGCATTTGATGCTATAGGTTCTTCTGGTGGAGTAAAGAAGGCATTGATGTCTTTAAATGTTGGTATGCTTTCTCAATTCAGTGCTTTAAATCAGATCCAACAAATATGTTGATATACTTGAAGTATTATTTTTATTTCTTGCCATTCATGCATCTTTCTGATCCTCTCTTTTCTTTGTTTTTTTTTGTCATACTCTCCTATCCTCATTATTGTATATTGTGTGCGAGTAGTAATGATTTTCTTACAATAAGCTATCATCTGTAACTGTTTATATGGGGAGGTGTGCATGGAAGAAATTATCATGCTTGAGTTTGTCTCTGCTTCGCTTCTTACCCATTAACCTTGCCAATCCTGTTGCCCCTTGCACTCGCACCTGGTCCAATCGGCACTGGTGACTGATAGCAAGGCAATGGTTGGAGTTTGGCTATGCTGAACTTCTGAAAATTTTGATTATGAAATGATAAGAAGGAATGGTTGGAGTTTGGATATGCAGTATCTAAAGGAGAATTTGTAAGAGAGTTCTGTATCATATTGGAGTGGAAGATTTCAGATATAAATTCGAAACTGAATCATAACTTTGTTTGATATTATCACTTTTTTTGTTTTTGGTGTCATATTAATATCATTTAAGTTACTTCAATCTTAGAATGGTGGTTATGAGGGGCATAGTTCATGAATCGCGCTGTTGGCAAAAATAATGGCGAGAATTCTCCATGCTTCTAAGTTAATGGCAGATGTTTTATTGTCTCAGAATAAACTAGCTTGTCTTTTCTTTCCTGTTGAATGTTATCATGTCTTTCTCCTAACTTTCTTGAAACTTGTGTCTGGTATTTAATTTGCAGGAAACTTCTTATTTTCTTTTAGACCTGAAATGACCGATGATTTGATAAATTCTAAGAGTCCGCTTTCGGCAGAATGGTCAGATGAGCTTAAAGGTGGAAAGGCTGTTCACCTTTCTGGAGTTTTTGATAAACTAAGCTACAAAGTCCGCAAGGCGTTGTCTGTTGAATCAATTAAGTGTTCCTTTAGTACTGCTTGTTGTACCCTAAAATCTGGAGATGCACATACTGGTAACCTGCATTTTCTGATTCAGAGCATTGGAAGAGATGTGCCTATTATACAACCTGATAAATCTAGTGGTAGTTCTGAAAATATAAGTTCGACAGTTGCATTACGAGAGCAGAAGGAAATTTTTCTACTTCCTACTGTAAGGGTGTCCAATTTACTGCACTCTGAGATACATGTGCTTTTGACTGAGAAGGGTAAAATCATAAAATATCCTTTAGTTCTAATTTCTTTGTTTTTTTTTGTTTGTTTAAGAACCATACTGCTTATAACTTCTATCTTGGTGCAGATCTATGTACTACTGTTGGTAGTGACAATTTTGGCAAGCAGGCAGACATACCCTGTGGATCAACAGTTGACTTTTATGCCAATCCTGCTATATTATATTTTACTGTTACCTTAACTGCTTTTAGTACGAGCTGCAAACCAGTGAACAGTGTTGATTGGGTCAAGAAGTTACTTAAGAACAAAAATAATGTCCAATTTTTGGACATTGATATGGAGTTTGGTGGTGGAAAGTATTTTGCATCCCTTAGATTGTCTCGTGGGTACAAAGGCATATTAGAGGTTGTTATGGATTTATTTATCCCAGGTTGTACAATTTATTTGGCATATATATTGTAGTTGCACGAGCACATGTTGTAAATAGCATGTCTGGCTACTTGCAATTTCTCTTACACTGATTTTTTCTTTTTGGCAATTTCTTATGCACATTCGTGTGGAAGAACTACAGTTCATTTTGGTGGAAGACTGACCCCATACTGTTTGCAGGCTTCTGTCTTTACACAATATTCCTTGAAGAATGACTCTGATTTTTCCCTCTTTCTATTTGCACCACATCAGAAGCCTCTGTCTAGGTACTTGTTATGTCTGAAAAAATACAAAATGAACACTTTAAGAACTGATGTCCCATGATTTACATATTTGATGGTGGTACTATTTGCAGGGATGAGGTCAGGAAATGTGGTTCCACCATTCCTCCTGAGTTGGGATTGTTTTCTCCTCCTCGCTCAATAAGATCATGGTTTTTAAAGTAAGATGGCTTGCTTGCTAGTGTCATATAGCATTATAAAGTTCTTACCCTTTGTCTATTGATACAATAAAATTGCTACATTGTCTTTTATGGGCTTATAATAAACTCTGCTGGTGTAATCAGATCACACAAGATGCGGCTTAAATTGTTAGAGGACTCTGCATCAGAGGCACCGTTAGACTTGGATGCTCTATCTGGCCTCACTGAGATAAGCTTGGAAAAAGAAGAAGGGTCTGGAGTCAAATGCATTACAAAGTTTGGGGTTTCTTTGGGACCTTGTTCGAGTAATGTGATGGTTCCATCACAGATAGTGACTATGTGCCCAAGACATGTCGTATTTAATGAGTCAGAGGAAATCATCACTGTCCGTCAATATTATTCAGAGGTCTGCTCTCTGTTCAATTCTAGATGGGTGTTCTGGTGCTGGATATGTTTGGTGATTTTGTACAAATTGCAATCTTATTTCTTTTCTTTTTTTCCCCCCATTTTCAAGAGGGACGAAGTGGCAAGCCTTGTCCAGATTAACAGTAAACAGAGAACAGCACTGCTGCTTCGGAGTGGAATTAGCAAGAGAAAAGAATTCAGTATATTTGAGAATCTCATCAGGAAGCATAGAAATGATGTTAATACTTCATTAGTATATATCCAGTTTCAGCTGAATAACCCTGAATCTAGCTGGTCAGGGCCAGTTTGCATTGTTTCATTAGGACGTTTTTTCATAAAATTCAGAAAACAATCAAATCAAGTGCAAACATTAGAAAACAGTGCACTAGAATTTGCTGCTATTCGTGTGGTTGAAGAAGGTTCTACTCTTGGTGTGCACTTCCACAAACCACCAAATGTTACTCTGCCATATCGGATTGAGAATCACTTGCATGATGCATCTCTCACTTTCTTTCAAAAGGTGGTAGTGTTAGTTGATTTTGCCTATTCCTGCTTCCAATTTCATTCCTGTCAACTAGAATCGTTATTTGCTAACTCTGTATTGATTATGGTTGGAGAATTTTTCAGGATTCATCAGAGAGAGAGGTTCTTGGATCTGCCTGTAGTGCTTACTATGTCTGGGATGATTTGACTCGTCCACATAAACTGGTTGTTCTAATCAATGGTAATCACTTCCCTGCTATTTCTTAGGAACTCTTGTTCATGGCTGCGTCATGCGTGGTAGGCGCCACATATTTATAGTTGTCCATATAGTGGCCTAGCCAATTCCTAAAATGGTCTGGGGAAAAAGAAAACTTCAGCCATCACCTAATGCTGGGTTGGTTTTGTCATGGTTGCTAGTGTCCTTAAATTACATGACTTCTATTTTCATGCAGATCTACTACGTGAGATTAAGTTGGATAAGGTACGGGCTTGGAAATCTTTTTTCAAATCAACAAAACATCGAGGCTTGGTATCTCATTCAATTTCGCACAGACAATCCAGAGACCAGAAAAACTACTTTGGTCATTTAAACAGCATGGAGATTGTGAATTGGGGGTATGAAGTATATGCTGAGGGTACCACACGAGTTTTAAGGATTTGTGAGTTTTCGGATAGTCACAAGGGAGATAGATTGCCTCCGTTATGTGCAAAGATCCAAGTGAGAGTGTTTCATTTTGCAATCCATTTTCTTGAACAGGGAAAACAGGTCAGCACTCAACCTTCCATCAACAGAATGCCTTTTATATGTGATATTTTCCCCTTCTGATAAGCCCAAAACGAGGCTAAAAATTTTGCTGTGCTTGTTTAATGACTGTTACACAATGAGGGAGGGAGGAGGGGTTCTTCATTGATCTCACGAGTGATAATTTATTTGGTTTCTCTTTTATTAGTAGACCTCATTGGCTTTCTCATAAAGAAACTATTTAAAAGTTTTTTGGCAATATCTTAACAAGGAATGACATGGTTGCTTGATTTAGTGACTTCTTCTTACATGTTATTATTTTTGAAGGATTTTGATGAGGTTGAGGATCTCTCTTATACGCCGCTTATAGTTGCTAGGCTTGGAAATATCAGTGTGGACTCTGTGTTCACTGATCAGAAGAAATTTAACCAGATCAGTGTGCAGGTAATAGTTTTTACATCTTGCCCACCTCATAAAGAGGACCAGATCTCAAAATATCTGCCTACGAATTTCTGATTCTGGAAGGTTTTATAATCAGTTAAAGTCAGGATCCTTAGAATTACAATAATGTTGTGCCTGTACTTTCAAACAATGCAGTCATTAAATGTGGATCAGAAGTGGGTAGGTTCTCCTTTTGCGGCAATGCTTCGGAGACATCAATTAGACTTCAGTGACTCAAATGCTTCTGTACTCCAATTTGTCTGTGTCCTACTTTCAACCAGCTCCGATGTTAGGCAAGTTGAATACTCATCCATTGTTCTGCAGGTATAATTAGGCACTACACATGGTGCTTTTTTCATATGTTTGCCAGACCTTTTTGGTCACTGTTCTTTTGTTTCTACTTGTTTTTAACAAAGATGAGTAGCCTAACTTCATGAATTTGTTGTCCATAGCCAATTGATTTGAATCTTGATGAGGAAACTTTAATGAGAATTGCCTCATTTTGGCGTTCATCTCTCAGCGACTCAAGTACTCCAAGTCGGCGATATTACTTTGATCATTTTGAGATCCATCCAATAAAGGTTTTGTGCTTTTAACTCTTTAGTTATAAAAAACATTTGCCGCAGGCACCTGACCTGTGTTCCGTGGTTAATCTGACTGGTTTTTTTTTGTAAATATTGTAGATTATTGCTAACTTTCTTCCTGGGGACACTTATTCAAGTTATAATTCAGCACAGGAAACCCTAAGGTCCTTACTGCATAGTGTAGTAAAGGTGTGTCTCTTTTTCTGTGTGTGACAAAACATTTTCATTTATCTCTTCTTACATTTTGGCTTTGAAAGCATAGGTGCTGCTATGTGACTTGGTTGTTTTCCCTTTTGTCCTCATCTGTGCAGGTTCCTCCCATAAAAAATATGGTTGTTGAACTCAATGGGGTCCTGGTTACTCATGCTTTAATAACCATGCGTGAATTGTTTATCAGATGTGCACAGCATTATTCATGGTAAGCCTACTCGAATTCTTTTGTTTTTATACATAGTATGTGTCTTTAAGTTGTCACAATAATCCAGGTATGCAATGAGGGCCGTCTATATTGCAAAAGGAAGCCCTTTGCTTCCACCAGCTTTTGCATCAGTATTTGATGATTTGGCTTCGTCTTCTCTCGACGTCTTTTTTGATCCTTCCCGTGGGTTGATTAATATTCCAGGTTTCACTTTAGGTAATTGTTTGGCATTACGTTTTCATCTTTCAGTATGTTGTGATGTACTTTGTGGGTAAATTACAGTTTGCTCCCAACTTTCAGGTTAGTAATATCCATTAATTTCTGATCCAGTTAGAAGTAAGGGCAGCTGCATGTTGTGTAAGCCATATGCCATTTGACTAATTTGTGAAATACACTCGTTCCCCTATTAGACTTTGTCTTCCTGTGATTCATTCTCTAACCATGTTTGTGAGTTTACTTTTAGCCTCTACAAACTACGGGGTTCAAGTGTAGAAACAAACTATTTGGCCTTTTCCCGGTTTCCTTCTTTGGTGCATCTTTTTTATTTGCAAAGTAGCTCAAAATAAATATTTTTTTTTCCAAGAATTAACAAATGATATTGATACCGATGATGTTATCATCATTGATGTCTTGACTTGTCAAGTTGCCTGATCTTGTTTAACTGTTTGGTAGAGCTATTTGGTTCTCCTTCTCCATGTGCGCCAGTGTGAGTCCGTCCATGAGTTAAAAGGTTTTCATTGGTTCTTTATTCTGATACTTCATTGTTCCTCTGCTTCTTGAGGACAGGTACATTCAAATTCCTCAGTAAATGTATCAATGCTAGAGGGTTCTCGGGGACAAAACGTTACTTTGGTGACCTGGAAAAAACTGTATGTTCATTGCCTTTTTCAGTTACAGATTATGTTTTCATGTGACAAAAGCTGTTAATTGCTTGATGACTCTGCAGTTAAAAACAGTGGGATCCAATGTGCTGTTTGCCGCTACCACTGAAATATCAGACTCTGTTCTGAAGGGAGCAGAAACAAATGGTTTTGATGGAATGGTACTAATCATCTTTCTCTGCAAATACTTTTCTCACACTCCGCTACTTCTCCATGTTGATTCTACAATTAACCATTAAACAAGGATTGGAAAGTGTAATTAACCTTGGAATCATGAATGTTCGCATGTCCTCTTTCCTTGATATTGTCAAGGTGAGTGGTTTCCACCAAGGAATTCTGAAATTGGCTATGGAACCATCACTACTGGGGACTGCTTTAATAGGAGGTGGCCCAGATAGAAAGGTGAAGCTTGATCGAAGTCCAGGCATCGATGAGGTAATTAACTTTGATGTGTTATGCAAAAATGGTTTATACAAACGTTGTTCTTTCCTATGGTATGTATACATTCTTTATTGGTGGAAATGGTAGATAAATTGATTTAAACCTATGCAAACCTAGTCAGTGTGTACAGTAGATCGGATGTGTGGTAAGGTCTGAGTCTTGTACTGAATAAATGAAGAATCAGTTAAAAATATGCACAATTAAGAAGTTGGGCCTCAAGATCCTGTTTTTTACTTGCATTTTATTATTGCAAGCAGATTATAGAGCCTAACATATTGCTAGTTTTATATCCATAATCAGTCAATCATTATTCTTTTGGAATATTGCAGTTGTATGTCGAAGGATACTTGCAAGCAATGTTGGATACAATGTACAGACAAGAGTATCTAAGAGTCAGAGTAATTGACGATCAGGTAATTACTGAAGGGAGATATTAGATACATTGACCGATAAGATAGAGTATAATATAATTTGGAGGGTAAAATTATATAAATAAAAAAAATTGACATGTTTTGCATCAAAAATTTTTTCAAAATAAACGGCCGTTACATAACTTAACAGCCGGTAAATAACGGTAATGGAACACCCCATTACCGTTATTCTACGTTATAGATGCTAATATGCCGGTTCACATATATAACGACGTTACTGTTATTTGCCGTTAGAGATTTAAAAAAAACTCATAGTTCTAGCCTAATCAAATCACCAACGCAAAAAGTTGAAAAATAAAACAAGTAAAAAAAAAAGAACAAACGGGTCTTACATGAAAGCTAGGTTGAGAATGAGAGAGAAAGGAGGATGAAGTAAGTAAAACCTGGTTGAGAATCAAAGAGAGAAAGGAGGATGAAGAAAGGAAAGCCTGGTTGAGAAATAGAGAGAGACAGTAAGATGAAAAAAGGAAAGTCTGGTTGAGAATCTGGAAGAAAGGAGGATGTGAGTTAGAGCAGAGAGAGACAGACGAAGAAAGAAGAGCAAAGATATACCCACGTGATATTCACAATCAGAAGCTGGAGAATGCAGCTTTAATTGAAGAAATTATAAATTAGTCTCTTTAGTTTGGAAAAAAATAAGTTAGTCCTTCTTGTTTTAAAAATCAATTATTTAGTCCATTTGTGTCATTTTCTAATTTGTTTTGTTTTTTATTTTAAAAAATAGAAAAAAATATTTTGTGAAATAAAATAATATTACAACAAATATAATCGACATTCATCAAAAAAATTAAATAATTGATTTTGAAAAAAATAATTAATTCATTTATCAAAACTGTAGGGACTAATGTGTAATGTAATCCCTATTATTCAATCATATTTCAGTTTGCGTGCACAAAATTCAAAGACCTGATGGAATGCAGGCTTTAAGTGAGTAAAATATGTATTCGCTCCTTTAGGTTGGAAAAGATAAATTAATTAGTTCGTATTATTTCAAAAATCAATTATTTAGTTATTTTTTGTCTATTTTATGTTATTTTCTATTTTTTTCTTTTTTATTTTAAAAAATATAAAAAAGGAAAAAAATAAATTTATATCATAAAAAAATTGATGAAATTTTTTTTTTTGTAAAATAAAATAATATTACAGTAAACATGATCACTACTAATTAAAAGATTAAATAATTAGTTTTTTTGTGATATTAATCTATTAAAAATATTACTAATTTTTTTATTAAATTTAACTATTTTTATATGATATTAACGATATTATTACTTATTAGTATTCTTAAATTAGTAAAACTCGTTAAAAATATATGAATTAGAATAAATTTATTAACGAGTTGTTAATGTATTCACGATATTGATTGCCATGATCGTTATTTTACTACTATGATAAGTTGTGATATGTGATTGTGATCGTTTTTCAACCGTACAGCCATACTCGCTATTTAAAATTATGATCCAAAGTCTCCAGACTTGCCTATCTGCTAAACTAGAGTGTTGAAATTTACTGTATATGCCATGGATCTGCAACTTATGACCTTTACTTGATAATGTTAGGAACGTTGTTTCTAGACTACGTATTCAGAGTACTAATGCTATCCTATGTTGAAGGTTTTTGCTCTCTTTTTTTTTTTTTTGGCTCATTAACTTTTGGTAGTATTATTTATGCATTCAGGTTTTCCTTAAAAACCTACCCCCAAATAGTGCCCTCATAGACGAGATCATGGATCGTGTGAAGGGGTTCCTGGTAAGCAAGGGATTGCTGAAAGGCGATCCTTCAACATCTTCTCGTCCCTTGCGTCATCTTCAAGGAGAGAGCGTAAGCATCCATGAATTTTGTATCCATTCATTTTTTTATTATTAGCATTTTGCGGGTCAATATATATATTTGGACATCAAAGTTATATGTTCATTGGCATCAAAATATCATATTTAATTGTTGTCACACCTTCGAGTGACATCCTCTCACATTTAAATTCAATGGATTACGTACTAGCTGGAATCTTGTACTATTAACGAACTCTCTTAACCATTACCTTACATTTTTGCTTTAAGCTGAATCTTTGGATGTGTAATATGGCGCCAACTTCACCATATAAATCATATGCAAAATTTACTGCAAACTGATTTAAATGGCTGCATTTGTGTTTCTTTCTTCCTTTCAAGTTACGCAACGATTGTTAATTTCAATATCATGCATGCTTGCTTAGCCTTGCAAGTCCATGACCATGACTGTCAGTGTTAATGCACCAGTAGTCGAGCTATGCATATGGATTATACACTCCTATTTGCTTATTACTCCTCGAAGAATACTGCATGCACTATTTCATCTTCAGAAAAAAAGTTTAATCTCAAGAATCTTTCTCACAGGAATGGAAAATTGGACCAACGGTGCGGACATTGTGTGAACATCTTTTTGTGAGCTTTGCAATCCGCATGTTGAGAAAGCAAACTGGAAAAGTAGTGGCCAATATTAGTTGGAAAAAAGAACCAGAAAGCAAAGATGACAAAGCAATTGTCCCTGCAGACCCCGGTGAACAGGAGCAGAAGGTGAAGTTTATTTGGAAATGGGGCATTGGTAAGTTTGTGTTGTCAGGCATTCTTGCATATATTGATGGAAGGCTATGTCGTTGTATTCCTAACCCTGTAGCTCGACGAATTGTGAGTGGCTTTTTGTTGAGCTTTTTGGACAGAAGCGATAGTGGATGATAAAAGGCTACGATGGATGCCCTTCTCATTCACTTTGATATTCTGTTCCTCTCTCTCTCTCTCTCTCTCTCTCTCTCCACGTTAGTTTTTACTTGTTTTGCCTGTGTTATGCTGTTGATACAAAATCCGGCGAGCAGTGGGCTGATAGGATGTTAGGTTAGTGTCATTATTGTTATGGAGTACTGTGTTTCTGCTTAGGAAATTAGGATGCTTTCAGACATGACAAATTGCCAAATGCAAAATAACATAAAAATATTTATCTTGTACAAAATCCATTTGCTGATAGTTCAATTTTTTATTCCTTTTCTTTTTTCGCTTTGTTTTTCCTTCAGAAAAGACGACAAATAGTTGGACCATGTATGGTCCAGCCAACATCTAGTCCTTGAAAAATGAAACTATGACTTGTACAAGTTTATCTCGCTTTTATTTTTGGTAGTAGTTTCTTATGGACGGTAATGTTAATCCAATTTATCAGTATTAACGGGTTAATGCTTCTATACATTGTTTTTCTATCGATTGTGTCCCTGTACAAGATCTATGAGGGTATTGTTAAATTCACTAACTATTTTGTTATTTTCACTGTCTGATTTTTTTAAATGACTAATGTACCTGCTTTGTTAAGCTTTATTACATTCAAGCTTATTGTATCTTTTTCATAAAAGATGAGATGAAGGGGTTAATGGCGGTTCGCTTCAGCAAGTTCTATTAGTTCCTTCTCATGGCTGCATAGCTACTCTTTCTTTTATTTAGTTCTCTCTCTGTTTAATTTTGTAAGAACAACCCATATGCCATTTGAATTTAATTTTGCCTCTAAAACCAACTGAGTTGTTGTAGCTCTGTGTTTTAGTCCCAGACGACAAAAACCCAGAAGGAAACTTGATGTTTTGGTTGAATGTGGATTTCATTTTAGGGTTGCACATCTCATCCAAAAGAAGTTAAAAAAGAAGCTAAATCGGTCCCATGACTTGTGAAAGAAAAGTAGATTCAAATCTTCTAGTTAAATTTCTACTTTTGAGCTATCAAAGTTGTATCTCTGATGAAAGCATGCAATCTAATGTTGCTGAAAATAGGATGGGACGTCTTGTCAGACGTTGTCGGATAACCTTCTGGCTCTGCCCAAGACGTATAGGTCGATCCTGATGGATCAGTTGCGCAAGTCAGTGCTGTCTTGGCAACGAAGAGCTAAGGTTAGCTTGGAGTTGATCTCTGAGGACTGTTTGAAGCCGAAGTTGACATTAGAAGGGTTCCAAACCAACCAATAATCAAATCCATTCAACATGATGGCCATAATTGTTGCACTCTTCATTGTATAAACAATAGCTTCAATAATTCCCTATCAGAACCAAACCCATCAAAACCTTCTTTAATTTCTTTTCAAACCCTTGTAGACAGATTGCTGCTCGACACCAAACATGGTAACCAATCACAGGACCCAGCAGACATAGGCTACCCAGCAGGCATAATGGCAACAGTCATTGGTTGCATTGAACAGAGATTGAAAGCATGGGAAACTACACTTCTTTGGAAAAAACGGGGTTGCTTTCTAATAAGAATAAACCTTGTAGAGATTGGTTTAAATAAATTGGAGGGTTTTAAATTATGGTTTCGAAAGATTTGCTAAAGCTGGGTTCTTCAGCGAGCATAGCCATTGACGAAACAGAGACTACTAAAGGAGACAAACTTGTTTCGATTGATTTATGAGAGTTTTGACGGTAGACCCAATATTTTAAATAGAATGGCAAAATCAAAATTCCATCGAAATTTAGAAGCAGGTAACCTTTTTTAGCATCTAAATTGGGCAAAAGCAGAATCGTCCAGAAAAGACTGGCAAAGCAAACTCCGGCGAGAAAATCATTGCGTCAGCCTGACCAGGGCAATCAATACCAACAACACTAAACATTTCACGGGAAACAAAAACAGGTCTGGATTAAAGGCTAAGCATTCAATAACAAAAAAATATAGAAAAAACCCAAGGCCATAATTTTCATCTTTCAGAGAACAATTATAAGCTCTGTTCAGAAAAGGGATGACATTTCTAAGCATTCCAAAACTGTAACACCATAAAGTAGAACTTGCTTAGTAGAGGCGGACTGGTGCACCCATGGTAGTCTTTAGGTGCAGGGACTTGACCTGATTTGCAACAAAAGACATCAGATGAGTTCAAAGACAGTAAACAGTGCCAGAAAGTTGCAACAAGTTTAAAAAGATCAGAACTCACATTTTGCCAGTTTTTCTTCAATAACGAGACAAGGAAGTTCACAGACATTTGAACATTCTGGAAGATCTGCTTATCCTCCATGTCGCAGTTACCAACGGCAACACCCATGCAAAGGACTTTCTTCAATTGGAACTTCACTGTTGCCTTGATCTCATTAACTTTAGACTCCAGTGACTCTTGGTGAGTCACAAGGGTAGGAAACTTTCCTGCATTCACGTAAAAATTGGCAGAAACCATAAGAAACTACCATATATCCAAAAGCTAGTTCAAGTGTTCAACCATGGTACATGATCACAGTTTGAATAGCAATACACAGACATTGAACATTCATAATAAACTTGCCTGCCTTGTTGAGACCAGGGCCTAAAAGACGAGGAATCTGCTTGATGACAGACTCTGATGCCAAAAAGGCATGGTACTGCTTGGAAAGCTTCTTGACCAATTTCTTGTTCTTGTTCAGCTTCTTCAATGCTTCAACATCCATCCATTGCAAGCCTATGGACGTTGCCTGCCAATATAAATTAAACAGTTAATACTATTAAAAAATTTCATAACAAGTGAGAAAATTCAAAGTCAAAGTCAGTAGAATTAATGGCCTCAGTAATACATCTCACAGAAACAGACATATAATTACAATCTCCTGAAAACCTCATCCCAAAAGGACAATAGCAATCCACTTTCTCTATAACTTGCAGCAATGATATTTTCATAGTATAGGAAGAACTTCCAAACCATTGCCAAAAATGATTTGAAAAGAGGCAAGATAAATATGCTACTCAGGGAGCAAAACAGAGAACATTATATACATACCAAAACTGAAACCTCACGAATGATTCAAAAACTCATTTTAATCTATGTATATTGCCAAATGGAATGAACAAATTACCTCCTCCACGTGTTGAGCATCTCCAAGCATGCAGACCTTCATTTTGGGACGGGGTATGTGAGGCAACTTAACAGAGCCGCTGAACCTCTTGTCCTTCTGGGGGTCATAGTTTTTCAATCCAATCTGTAGCTCAATGGTCTGAACGAACTTGCGGGGCTTCTCATTCACACCAGTTTTGATAGTTGTAACAGCTTCACGAATTGTATCACCAGCAAGCTTACTGCAGTAGACAAAATATAAAACATTCACATCATGTAATTTAACACAAGTCACTCCTTAGCTCAACCTAAGATGTTTCAATGTGCTTTAGGCTAATGGGTTTACTTCTTTACCTTACAACTCACAAAATTACTGTCACTTACTTAACAATCATCTTAAGGAAATAGTAAGACATCCAGTTCAAAAGCAACCCAACTAATTTAACTTCTCTTTATATCTGCCATCATAAACTTAACTTTTATAGCTCCTAACTTATTTAACTTCTAGCATTCATTGTAAATAACCAAAGCCCTCAACCAACTGCAGTAGCTTTGGTGATTTTTTTTTTTTTTTTTGGGTGTCTAGTTTAGACTTCATATTGAAGAAATCACTCAAGTAAAACAATCAGGACCAAGTTCCATCTCAACATAATCAAAACTTCAATTCATTATGTGACCATTATAACGATGTAGATAGACAAGAGAAACCATACTAAACGCTTCAAAAACAAAATATCAGTATAACCCCGGATCAAATTTTCTTGCAATCCATGAAAACACAACAGTGATACCGAGCTAACTGCCAAACATGAAAAAATCGACAACCCTAAAAAAAAAAAAAACAAAAAGAAAACAACTAGAGATCTTAAGACATACCTCATGTTTGAAACCTCTTAAAGCAACTCTCTTCAGAGTTTTTTCCTGCAAATATAATAGCAAATACATTAAGCTAGGAGAATAAAAAAAAACATTGGTAGAACTCAAATCTGAAGCTCTAAGCTGTTGAATCGAAAGATAACCCACCAGAGAACAAAAATGAAGGAAGCTGGCGAAGAGAAGAAAGCGGCTAGGGAGTGTGGTTTATATTTTGGAGAGATCATTAGAAGCAATAAAACCCTAGCTACTTTTAATGGGCTGGGTCTGGCTGTTTAGAAAAGACAGAGACTCGGCCCATTCATTTAGGGCATTTCAGAGTAAGTTCTTCTCATAATATCTTAATTTTATTATAATATAATATAACCTCTAATTACTTCTCTTTTTTATTATTTTATAATCTCTTTAATTTTGAAATTAAAAAAAATATATATATATATTTAATTTGAATACTCTGATTTTTCTTCGCACTGGAATTGGAAATCATAGTTCGAATTCGGTGTGAAATTTATTTAAATTATAAGTCAAAAACATCAATAGATACTAATTATAATTAATTATAGTACTCCTATTTTCTCATTATTATCATTGCAGCCTTTCTAAAAAATTTATGTTTTTATTAGTACCAACATCAACTAAAATATGTAAAACATGATTAGATGTTCTATAACCAATTTTTTTAAAAAAACAATCACGCTGTCACATGCATATAAGTTTGTCAATGGATTGAATTCGGATTGAATCGTAATAGATCCAAATTTGTTTAATAAAACAAATCGGATTGAATCTTATGAGTTCGGATCGAGTTTTAAAAATGTGAATTTAGATCCAGATCCTAAAATATTTTTTTTATTGGTATCGGTATCAAATAAAACATGTAAAACATGGTTAGATGTTCTATTTCAGCAAAAAAAAGGAAAAAAAAAACGATGTAACATACATAGATACCAAGTATATTTATATTGATATATCAAAATAATTTTTTTATAAGTAATGTATCAATTTTTTATTTTTTTTGTTTGATAACTGATATATCAAAATAATTTGAGTTGAAGCGAGTGATTAACCTTTGTTGATGTGATTAGTGAATGAGGTGAGTCCAAATAATCAAATTGATTTAATTTGTATTATTATGATTAGTTAGTAAAGATTTCGTCTTATATCTCTTGCTATCTCACTGGACTACTCTTGCACGCTCTGCGGCTTCATATTTATGGGCTATGAAACCAGATCAGGCTTTGTGTCTTTGGTCCCATCTAGGGCCTTTGAACATAATTTAAAAATAAAAAAAAAAATTAGAAGTCAGTGTTATTTTTTTCTAGGTTTTTTTCAATTTCTTATTTTCTTTTCCAAATTTTTTTGACGTTATAATGTTTGTGGGATTTTGTTAGACTTTTCAAAATTAATTTTCTTTTGGTGGTTTGAGGGCATTTTTGTCCAAAAGGGAATTAAAAAACATATGAAATAAAATAGGATTAATTGCATGAAAGTAGAGTACTTTTGATATTTTCTTAATATAGTTTTTTTTTCATTTATCACGTCCTTTTACTCTTAAAATTTTCTTAATGCAGCCCATCTAATGTTTTTCGATTAATTTTTCTATCAAAAGTGACATCCAACAAAAAATAAAAAAAATTCCATACTTTGACATGTCACATTAATTTTTCACGTATATTGGAAAAAAAAAAGAATTTAACTGTTATTATTAATTAACATGCACACCTATATGTATCGATTACCAACTTCTCATGTAACTATGATAATTACAAAATTATATAAATATTCATATTAGCAATGCTTTAAAGCCAAATTTTAATTGAGAAACTTGTTGTCTAATAATCTTTTCATCATTTGTTAGTTTTAAGAAATTATCACCCAAAAAAAGGAAGCAGTCTTTTTAAAGATATAATTTTTATTTTATTTTTTTAGATAGAGCAAACACATTACATATCTTTTGTCATCTTTATACAAAATCATTTTGTAAAAAAATTTAAGATGATACTATCAAATATATGGATCGATCCAATATTGATTCAACTGGTATCATGTTTACATAATTACGTAAATTTTTATCTAATTTTATATATGGTCATGAAATGTTTGAAATACGAATGAACGAAGGAATAACGAGAATTTTTATTTTTTACTCAAATTAAAATTTGCAACATATACAACTGGAAAAGAATTGAGAAATTTCACTTAACTTAGACTTATAGAATTTTATATAAAATAATTTGATTGGAGGAGTCCTTTATTGTGCACTTAGAGCTTAGTTTAACATTTATTTTATTATTTTAGTTTTAGAAATTTTATTTATGCTGTACTTTATTGACTTAACTTATGTTCAGTCAATTACTTCTTTGGAATGCTAAAAAGTGAAAAACCCATGTCCTTGGCACAGAGCATCTTTTAGAAGAAACCACTAACTCTAACACAAAACAACTTACACATTCAAAGCAGAATGCCTAGAAATACCATGAGAGGATGTAAACCCTAATGGAGGGTAAAAAAGGAAAAAAAAACTGGTTTGTTTATGATTTTTTATTCAAAACCTATACTTTATTTTAAGATTAATTGCATAATTTACCTCAAACCATTTGTTTTATTATATTAGAATTTTCAAACTTAAATTATAATTTAATGATTAAACCATGGGTTATCAGATTGACCCTAATAAAAAATTTGGAGTTATCTCAAGTTCCAATCATATCAAAATTCGTTTAAAATTTTTAATTAACTCGATTAACTTATGCCCTAATTAAGAAAGTTTTGACTACACAAAATTAGGTTTGAGGAAAATGACAAGCCTATTAGTTTTTAAAAAATATAAATCAATAATTGTATAAATAAACAAAAATGTAAATTCAGCTAACCCGAGTTTTTCTTCATTTTTCTCGAATTATCCACTCTCCAAAAAAAAAAATTTAATTTTTTTTTTTTACTAGTACTCTCCTTTATGTGTGGTTACAAGTAGCAAGTCATAACATAAATAAATAAATAAATAAATATACATTTATTAGGGTCTTTAAGGTTGTCAAAGAAGGGCCCTTGCAAGCATTGAACGATACCCTTTTATCCACTTGGTAATTAGATTGTCTCAACAATGAACGACAATACTCCTGCACAATTGTCTCATGATGTGATAAAAAAGGGTTAAATTCTGAACTTATCGAGAATTAGGTTTTGTAACAAATGGATAATATATATATATATATATATATTGCAATACAGATTTATTTATTTATAAACTCTTATGTTGCGTGTGACTCTACGTACCTTCTTGTTAAAGGGTAAATTATATTGTTGACATATTTCCGTTCTTTCATGAAAGATTAGCTCTAATCTGTTGGCATATTTCCATTCAAGAAATCTTAAATTACTCTAAAAGTTATCTTCATCTAATGTTCGTGCATCGTTCAAGATGAGGTTACATCAAACTCGCTCATAAAGTGAGAAGCTGACATGTATTTGCATCAAATTCTCGATAGTATGACCAAAACCAGAAAATGGACGTAAATGGTTTCACCGATATAGCTTCATGCTGTCACCTTAGCCTTTTACTCCTTAGCCCCCCACTACCACCAAAATCCAAAACCCACAGATTCGTGGGAAACCAAACCACTTGACAAAACAGAAGGAGGCTCCCACTGAAATCTCACATCCCACGCATATTATATATATATAGGACACTGCCATACGATTTCCACTCTCCTATATCTTTCCGTATCAAGAAACAATGGCTTTCATGATATCTAAAGCCCAGCAATCTTTCTCAGAAACCGAGAAGTTGAAACTAAACCACCCAGGGGTTGAAGACAACCAAGCTCTTACTAGTACTATCAGCAGCCAGCTCCATTTAAAACCATCAGTTCATTCAATGGACAAAGATGTTATCCTTAAACGCATCCGCCACCATAAGACCGCAAACAAGGTAAAAAACGCTTTCCGAGCTCTGGCTACAAGCGGCTTAGGCCAAGAAAACATGGTTTTAGCGAACCAACGAAAGTGGCTGGACCCTGATGATATGTTCTCCTCTCCTTGAACGTGGCAGTATCATTGATGGGATTTGTTGCTCGGATAGTTGGATGCATCACTTCCTGCAAGCCGAAGAGAAGGGCAATGAATCTAGCTGCTCTCACCTTTTGCTTTCGTTACTAAAATCAGATTGTAACACTGCTTGATTGAAGCCTCATTATGACTAATTATGTAATTAACGATGTTGTGACCACGTTTATGATTGTTCTATGCTATATATGTATATCTATCTGTCTTTTAAACATTTATGTTCTTGTATTGCCATGTTTAGTCAGTTTCTGGTTTCTTTTTTACCTATAGTACGCCGCTAGAGTTGTCTCTCAGTAAATCTCCATAAAACATGAGCATTTAAGCATCTATGGTGAGACCTGATCCACTAATATATCCGGTGATCAAAATGACTCAGAATCAGAAGCAAGAATAGTTTGTAATAATTAATTTGTTCTTCTTCAAGGTACAGGAATTCTTACAAAGGAAACGGCTTTTTGTTCAACAATCGCAGTTTAATGGACTTGCCTCCAAGAACATTTCTCTCTATACAAGCTCGAAGCTTCTTCACCCCCACGTTGTGATCAGGTCTCAAGCGAAAGAGTCACAAAAAAACCTTGAGTGCCCATAATGCACTAGGGTTTTTATTTTTTTTATTTATTTTTATCCAACTCAAAACTCCCAGTCATGTTGGTGAAAAATCAGTTATGGTGGTGGTGGTCTCGGATGATACAGCAGCTATGGAGTACGCGAGGACAAGTTTGTTTACTGATCAAAGAGACGAAGAAAAGTACAGGAAACCAAATATTATATCCACTGAGCAGATTCTAAGAGATTAAATCCAGTAAGTTACCAAGATACGACCCATTTGTTTATAGGAGATTGTATATCCAAATTGCAGTGGTCCCTTCAGAACGATTAACCTATATTTTCCTCATCAATAAGAAACCAACATATTCTAACTTTTGAAGTGCCAATGAGGAGAAGGAAAGGAGGAATTGTTGGAATCCAATAGGAATCATAAAATACTGATTAGATATTCCATTATAATCAACAATCAATCCATAGGAATCATAAAATACTTCAATAATACAGTCCAAAAAGGTGCGCTTTACATTAACTGTATAACTCAATTTTGCATGCGCTTCAGTGGAGTTGAGCATGGTGTAAGAATTACAATGGCGCAATAGCGTAAAAAGCTTTGGGCAGTTGAGTAACTTGCTTCTTTTCGATATGAATGTCTCTTACACTTGCTTTGACTGGCTCAGTATCAACTATCATAAGGGCCCGTTAACAAGAAACTGATTCACAAGCTTGTCATTTCTTACTGAGCAAGCCAGAGGTAGTCAAGAGGCGAAATGCTTGGTTGGGGTTGTTCAAAACAGACGATGACCTTGGAAGCTGCATTTTCTTTTTGTTCAAGAACTCCAGTGAGTTTTGTAAGCATCTAGGAGGTGCCATGTCCTTCAAAATAACAGTTTCCTTCCTGCAAATTTAAATTCAATAACATGAATATTTTGTTTCAAAGACTTTATTTCCAAATTTTGCTTTCAATTATGCCTCACCCTGAGCTTCTGGGCTTTTTCCTTTTTCGAACCCGGTTCTCTTCAGCCTTCTCATCCTCAGAGTCGGACAAGAAAACTTTTCTGCAGACAGCAAAAATTCTCTTGGTTAGGATCCTTCATATGGAGATAGAAAACATCTGTGTCTACAAATTCATATGCTTGTCTGTGTGCACATGGGCGCGTGTGTGTTTGTGTGAGAGAGAGAGAGGGAGGGAGGGAGGGAGAAGGGGTATCATACTTCTCCCGATCTGCAAGCAGTTGAACTATGTCACTTGGAAGCATCCCCCCAGTGCCCAGATACTCTTTCTCTGTTTCTGTTTCTGTTTCATTTTCAGTTTCTACCACATCTTGGACGCTTTCATTCACTTTAGATGGCTTTGGCGTTTTCCTCTGCGCCAATTGTCTGCGCTTTTCTTTAGCCTCACGAACAACTCTATTCAAAGTTAAACAAGTTTGTAAAACAAACAGATAACTATATCAAATTAAATGGAAACATACGAACATTAGAATCAACTTTTCAAGAAGTATATAACTAAATCTAGATTTGGCTTTGAATGAGAGAAACTAATAGGGAAAAGGAAAAAGGTAAAGCAAACCAACAAGAATGACTAGGAATCTAGGAGCAATAATGCTGTTTGCAGCCTTGGGGAAAAAAACAGAGAGAGAGCTAATGTTCCGTAGAAGTTGCATTTCGTAGAATAGGAGAACACTCCATTATTTTTTAAGAGTTTCATTTCTGCTGATTATTGATTTGCTACTGACATAAATGATGTACAGATGCCTTCTCCGCATCTATGCACAGAATCAAATTGTTTATCCTTTTCTCCAGTATATCCCAATTCATGAAGCGGAGTACAAGCGATGCATGCACTGTGATTTATTGAACTCTAGCCATCCCTAACCAGTGTTTTCTCAGGCTTCAAAGCATGCCCACTTTGCCAAATTAAACTTTAGTGCCACCCCCCAGAAAAAACTGACCCACATTGTCCACCTTGCCGCTGAGAATGTCTCTATTTTTCAAAGGTTTAACATCAACAGGGCCTCTTATCCAAAGCCCAAGGCTTGCATGACATTTAACAAGAGCTAAATGGGTAAAGCCATTATAAATCTGCCACCACTAATAAGCTGAGCCTAGTGGGTTGCACTATTAGAATAGCAGAGTTGCAGCAGTAATCTTCACTATCCTCACATCAACAACTTAATCTAAAGCTCGGTGTTTTCTGGAAATTCAAAATGGGCTGCATCTACACATCAATAGCAGTTCAGAAGACCACCTAAGCAAAACTTACTACATTGCCAGAGCCAACTCCTAATTCATAAACAAACTAGAGCTCTCTAACTAACACAACACCATGCTTGCCGAATTGCAATTAGGCTTTAGAGGGCCATATGGAAATGAAGGGGACTAGAAACATAACACAGAAAGACCAGAAATCCAGACATCCTAAGAACAGAAAGAAAGTATTGGCAGCCAAGAGAGAAAAGTCTGAAGCTAACTGCAAATCTTTAATAGAGAAAGTCAAGTCAGGAAGCAATTTGGCAAATCAAAGGAGAAACCAGGAAAAGAGAAGTCGTGCACGTTCTGGTAAGTAAATAGCATTTCATTAGTATCACTATATTTTCCCAAGGACTTTTACAATTTGCAATATCAGTGCTTCTCTCATGCCATCTGAATACCATAACCTTGAGAAGAAAAGAACTGTAAAGCTTCAAAATTTGCCAATCAATTTCACAGCATTTCATCGATATATAACAATTCTCCTAATACGAGTTATTTTGCCAAGCAAATGGCATGAGTCATAAACATCAATGATTATAGCTAGTACAGTTGCCTAGATGTAGTTATTCAAAATCGATTATTCAACCAACGCAAAACTTCTAGAAAATGCTACCACCCCTTTTTACTGTTCGACCCCATATAGCTAGAACAAAAGAAAAACCAAAAGATTACAGTTTCTATTCAAAACCCCAGAATTACTATTTGGACTCAAATCAAACTAAATTTTTTTAAAAAAAGGTAAAAATTAATCAGCGCAATCCAGAAAAGAAATTTATTTGCAGGGTCTTGTTTGGTTAAATTTGAGATTTTATAACGTGAGAGCAAAGTAAGTACCTTGCTTTACTTTCTTTTTGAACTTTTCTTATCTCCTCATCTTGTTGTATTCCCTGTAAACATAACAAAACATCAAAAACCCAAACTTTGATTTTTTTTTTTTGAGTAGAAACATCAAATTGAAAACTGAAAAAAAAGATAAATTTTAGAACCTGCTCTGCAGTGAATTCCTCAGGTGCGTCCGATTCCGAATCTTCTCTGTCCGACATTTTGTATTTCTCTCTAGGGTTTTAAGGTTTAAGGATGTTTTATTATGTGCAATGTCTGCCCCGTGAAAGTCACAGAGAAGGAATAGGTTACAGCTTGCTTTAGATGGGCTTTTTCTTTTGGGCTGTCATAGTTAATGTGGGCCTAATACTCATCTTCATCTTCAGTTTTTAGGCTTCTTGGTCTTCTAGGCTAGACCTCTGATTCTTTTCGTTTTTAGAAAAAGAAAGCCCATGGACTCAGGTGACACGTATCACCTCCTTCTTCTTTAATCGATCGCACGCAAAATCCTCAAGGACTGGTCATCTTCACGAGAAAGCGATGGAGCTCCTGCATTTGAAGCATCCATTCCAGACCAAAAAAAGAGTCCACAACACTACCATCTACAATGACAAGTGACACAAAATATTTAATAAATATGTTCTTCCAAGACTATCTTAGTCTAGTCTTCACTCGTCATGACAGAAGAATGGATGATTTTGCTTTCTTACAAATGCAACTTGACAAAATCTTATCTATATCAGAATTCTGACTACCAAAAATTTCAGATTCCTAACTTTTTTATAATTCTCTTTGACTACTAACTTGATCGTTAAAAGGTTTCTCAATCAATCGAAAAACTTATTTTTCAGATACACAATATAGAAGAAGATAAAACACTTCATCTATCTTTTCTAGTTACATCCAGGTATAAAGAGTCATGTTACTTTCATTTTAGTGATCTGAGTTTTTTCAGACTCATAAGAGCATGCATGTTTCAAAATAAAAATAATGAAAAAAAAAACTTGAATTTATAACAAGCATAAAATAAAATTAATTAATGAAAAAATATATGAAATTTACTAGTGATAGTAAGCTTATGCCCTTCAATAGCAAAATTTTATAATACTTAAGAAACAATTACTATAAATTACTAAAAAAAGGGAGATAAACACCAAGAGAGAGAGAGAAAATTAAAAAAAAAAAAACTAAGATGAAAATCTTCTTATAACTTATAGTAGGTTTTGATGTAATTTTTTTTTTATGGGTCTATTTTTTTGAAAAAATAAATTTATAGAGTAATTATCGTATTTTCCTCTTTAATGAAAGGGAGTGAAGATTTTTATATATTATTATAAGGGCATATGTAGTATAGACGTATAAGTGATCAGTGAAACATTTTAGCAAAAGATGACTACGTGAAACAAATAATTAATTAGTTCAACAAATGTAAAAAAAAGGAAAAAAAAAATTGATGTGGTCAAAACAATATTCTTGTGTCAAGAAAACACACCGGCGAGGAGGAAACTTTGCCAATTTCGTTTTTCCAAAGTAAGGTTTTGAGAAGAATGTAGGAACTAAGGATGGAAAAAATGGGGTGGATTCAACTAGCCTCTACCAAAAAAACGTATGTTTTAATCAATAATTATATTAAAAATCATATTTCCTTTGATATTCAAGTTCATCTACAGTCTCTTGGTTTTCAAAGGCTATGGAAAACCCTGACTTAATGGTTAAGGCACATCTTCTACTCATACTAGTCGTCGTCCTCTTGCAGGTAGAAAGTTATTAATGGCAAATGAGCAACGGCTCTGAGAAAAATCAAGGCAGCTTGCTTCCTTCATTTCTCTTCTTTCTTCGGTTGATAGCTCATTTTACGAGTGCTGTAACAGATGACATTTAGTAGTATTAAATATACCCTGTCTGTAGACAGTTGACGTTATGATAATTAAATGTGGGCATCAGGGATTCTTCGTTTTTTTAAGAATGTCTATCTTTACTTTAAAAATACATAACCAGAAGTTTTTTAAAAAAAATAAGGGCATAGTTGACCTTGTTAATTCTTTGTATCTTCGCATGACCATATCAGAATACAGCTTCAGATTTCTGGTTCTTGATCAATATTTGCAAATATAATTAAGGATGAGTAAATGGTTAAATGGTTCGATTTTGTATAAATTCGATTCGATTTCCGATTAATTGAATTGAGGAAAATTAAAATCGAAACCGAAATAAGTTTGATAAGTTTAATTTAAAATCGAATTATTTTAATTCAGTTTCATAAACATTCGATTTTAATCGAAATAATTCTTTTTTAATTGATAAATTCTAAAGATGGACTATGCTAATATTTAGTGGTTTTTCATTTTTTAGTGTATGGGTTGGGCTAATAAAGGATATGTTTTCTCCTTGAATATCATAATTGAAATCTTAAATTAGGTGTAGAAAATGAAATTTTCATAAACCCCTAATCTCGTCATAATTTAGATTTTTTTTTAAGTGCTGGTCAGAGGCAATTTTTTTTTTTAATTTTTATTTTCAATATATTCGGTTTTTGGTGAAAACTGTAATTTTTTTTAAAAAATCGAATCGAATCGAAATAATTTCAATATTTCGATTTGATTTATAATTTTATAAATTTAAGTTCAAAACTGAATCGAAACACATAATTCGGTTTGGTTTTTCAGTTAATTGGAATTGTGCCCTTCCCTGAATATAATTTGTATTTGCGTAGGTTACACGACACAATAGTACATTACACGTAGCATATGTGTTTGCCTCATACTAGACAGGTAGCTACCCCCGTGTTGTGGCTTCCAACGAACCATGTCTCCCTGCCTCTTAACACAATACTTTGGTTAATACAGTTGCTTCATTCAACTAGCATGTACCTCGAAAAAAAAGTTTTTTTAAAAAAATTTCACGATAAAAATACCTTGGAATCAATTTATATGCTGATTGAAACTATTTTTTTTCCAAAAAATTTTAAATAGCTCTTTTTTTGTTATCTATACAAAACAAAATAGTAAAAAAATAAATTAAGACGAACCAAAGGAAAAAAAAAGAGTTGGTGTGTGTGTGTGTTTTTTTTGTTTGGTAATTCAGAGTATTTGAGTCGGTTTATGCGCATCGTGACTAATCTCTGAAGCCTACCGAACACCCTACAAGCCCAAAAACATACAAGACACCGCGAGAGTGACGGACGTGCACATCTATTCTTTTAAAGAGAGGTTGTGCACCTCCTCGACAAAGCGAAAAAAAGTATCTCCTCGTTAAAGAGTGGGTGAGTACCCTTCATTTGCATTTTTTTTTCTCCTTTCTCATAAAGTTTCAATATATATCTTTCCTTCCATACATGTTTTATTTTATTTTTTTAATGATGCACAACTCTCTTAAAATAAAATAAAAAATTGAATAAATTTTCCAATAAAAGAGGGAAGAATGTGTGCTTTGCTTAAAAAAGAGCAAATGTGCATCTATTCTAGACATGAGCAATTGCACATCTACTAAAAATTTGAGCAAGTCGCTGAATATTTAACAAAAAGGCTTTTTCAAATGATTTTAAATTATCATAGAATCGTCGTTAATTATAATCAACGATGATTTTTCTTTAATGACGATTTAAATCATCGATAAATGTCGTTTTTTCATAGTGTTATGCTTCATCTAATTGTATAAATACTGATATCATTATTTCATTCACATGCTTTTAACTCATTTATCAGACTCAAAATAAAATTGGATTTAAAAGCTTTCTTTCTAAAAATACTCATTTCGTAGGTAAATCTTTTAGTACACCCAGAAAACTACTTGCTTAAATACTTTCCCTTAACAATTGCCTGCATTTCCTTCCTTAAGCTACTTTCTTATTCACTTATTTATTTACTCGATAGGCACAAGCAGTCTCTTTCACAGGCTGACGAGTGAAAGATTGGTTCATAGACCATTATTCATGATAAAGTGATCAATTAAGTCCATATATTCATGGTGATTTTCCAACAATCGAACCACTTTTTCTTCCCTTTGATTTAGGCCATGCATCACAAAAAATCCTAAATAAGAAAAAAAATAGTGCCAATATATTTGTTGAACACTTTAAGGCTAGATTGAACACCCAATTACCGATCCTAGTGAATCGCAGAGCTATATATCAAGGATTCTTCGTTTTTCAACAATGTTTATCTTTACTTTAGAAACATAACCAAAAGAAAAAAAAAAGCAGGGCATAGTTGACCTTGTCAATTCTTTGTATCTTCTCAAGACCACATCAGAATACAGCTACAGATTTCTGGTACTTCATCAATATTTGCAAATATAATTAAAGATGAGCAAATGGTCAAATGATTTGATTTTATACAAATTTGGTTTGGTTTTGGTTAATCGAATTAAGAAAAATCAAAATCAAAACCAAACCGAAATAAGTTTAATAGGTTCGGTTTGAAACCGAATTATTTTGATTAGGTTTCGTAAGCATTTGGTTTTAATTGAAATAATTTTTTTTAATTGGTAAATTCTTAATATGGACTGTGCTAATATTTAGTGGTTTTTCATTTTTCAGTATATGGATTAGGTTAATAAATGATATGTTTTCTCCTTAAATACCATAATTGAAATCTCAAACTAGGCGTTGAAGATGAAATTTTCATAAACCGCTAATCTCGCCATAATTTAGAAAAAAAAAATTGTAAGTGGTGGTCAAAAGCTTTTTTTTTTTTTTTTTACTCTCAATATATTTGATTTTAGGTGAAAACTATAATTTTTTTAAAAAACCGAACCGAATCGAAGTAATTTCGGTATTTCGATTCGATTTTTAATTTTATAAATTTAAATTCAAAATCGAATCAAAATATATATAATTTGGTTTAGTTTTTTGGTTGATCGGAATTGTGCTCGTCCCTTAATATAATTTGTATTTGTGTAGGTTAGACGACACAATGGTACATTATATGTGGCATATATGTTTGCCTCATACTAGACAGGTAGCTACTACCATGTTGTGCTTCCAATGAACTACGTCTTCATGCCTAATGCCACAATACATTGGTTAATACCGTTGCTTTCAACTAGTATGCACCTCAAAAAGATTTTTTTTTAATTTGACCGTAAAAATATTTTCGAATCAATTTATATGTTAATTGAAACTATTTTTTTTTTCAAAAAATTTTTAAAAGCTTTCTTGTTACGAACCAAAGAAAAAAAAAAAAACGAAATTCTATAAGATAAAGTCGACACTATTTTAGAG